AGTAGTAGTCATACGTACCTCTGCCTTTAAGCAATTGACCGTCGTACTCAGTCTGGCCTATTATCCACTGCGTAAAAGTAACCTGCCTGCAACAGATTTCTCATAGGATTTTTTCTCGTATTCATTGTCATCAAAGTCATCGAACCAGTCAATATCTGTATCATAGATACCCCTCGATGGTCCAATTCCTCCTGTAACACTACCGGCTGCGCAGGACAGTCACCAACTCGTTGCCCAGCTTCGCCGTCAGAGAATTACCCCTCAGCCGACTCAAATGGTCTTCTCAAGGCCGGAAAGGAAAACAGATGGTTTTCCAGAGTTTAGAGATATGATGCCCGATAAATGGACAGTCGGTGCTGGCTGTGCGTCCCTCATTCTATACCCAATACGGCCTTAATCGATAGCTCCTTTGTAGATGGGCCAGTTCTTGACGTTGAAAGTGTTGCCGAGTTGCGACTTCATCCAATGCTTCATCCGATTCTTCTGCTAACGATAACCGTATCGTATCGTCCGGAATATGACATATCCTCCGGAAACTGCTATACGAGCTCGAAATGGCGTACAAGAAGCGTTCGATGCATTCTGTTTTGAGCCAGCTACATTCCCGCGAATGTTAAGGCTCAACATCGTGTCTCGTTGCCACCCATGGGAATTTATTGTCAAATCCCATGATGATTCTGCCGGCGTTACGGTTGGCGATGTGCTAAGGATTTTATTTATGTACCTGTCTGTCGGCCTCAACGACATCGACCTGTAGTCTACTTCCTTCGAGCATAGGCAAGCCATTACAGCTGCTCACGATGCGAGGACACGGGTTCTACAACCCGAGGAGGAGCTGGATATCACTATTCTTGATTGGTTGCTTGGGAAGACTCATTTTTCGGGTTTCATTCATGACATTGAATATCTGGAGGAGCGTTTCCGTGAGATACCTTCGACTTTACATATTATATTATGTTCTAAATCTCGGCCAGTATAGATGTAACACAGTTGTATGTATACTTACATGCTCAACAACTACACTGTCTTCAATTGTACTACCTTGCCAAAGTGCTCAGAGCCCGAGTGAACGTCCAAGAGATACATTTTTTAATGTATGAGTGGATGTTTAATCAGGTCGGAATGAAGGGTCCCGTTGCACAATGCCCAGAGATCACCCCTCCTTCGCACTGACAGTCATGGTTGATCGTTGATCCCCTCATCCTACGCGTAAGCCCTCCAATAAGGCCGTACAACCATGCCAAGTTCCCAACAGTATTGACAATCGGACGCCATCCGAGAGCATAAAGCCATATGTGCGTCCAGAAGAGCATGATATCCGATGTTGTAAGATCGCCGTGGATGATATCTCAACCGGGATCGGTGACAGTGACAGCGGCATGCACAGGGACCAGAGAGGCTTCCTTGAGAAGAGATAGGGTATAAGAGAGATATACAGAATTGTTGAGGATGCACGAAGAAACGGTGATACGAAGAAGGGCAGGAAGATGTGAACGGGAGGGAATCCTTGAGCCAGGGAACCGCTGACCATGTTACTGCTTAGTGGTCTTCGTAGCTACTGAGATGTCACCGGCTGACTCCTGGCATGTCGGTGGAGGCGGTCCCCGAGGCGTCGTGACACTCAGCAGAAGAAACCTTCTCGTCGGTTCTCTGCCCCGCAAACTGGCACCCGGTGATAATAACGTGGGAGCAGATCGGAAAGCAGCCGGTAAGCGGTCGTGATAGTCTGGAAGGAAAGACATCACCAATAATGCATGTTTCTCTGCAGCGACTACCATCGACAACGACTCCTTCAACAATGGATTCCTAGACAACCTCTTTATCTCTTGAATATGAACCGTGGCCTGAGGATGACCTCACTAACAGCCCCCTCCCCCATTCGACGTTGAACCTTGATGGCTCCGACGAGAATATCAACAACGATAAGTATCCGAGCCCTACCGTTGTCGTTTCGTCTCTGTCTCCTCCCTTGGACGGCACCAGCTTGAACTTCTCGGCCCGTAGAAGATCCTCCTCTCGCACTCTACAGATCCGTACCAAGGAAATTCACGGTGATTCTGTAGCAGGTGAGTGCTTGCATCGACACATTGACTCGAGTGGCCTGACGAAGAGTTTCTTAGGCGAGACTGATTTACTCCAAACGGACAGGGATGGTCCTCGTTTGCCTAACGGCCGAGCACATGAACGCGCAAGAGAGACAGAGAATAATAGCCACAGTGTGGCGCATACAGCCCCATACTCGGCAACCAACCGTCACTTGGCTCGGCGGAGCGCTCCTACTAGTCAGGCCACAAGTCCATCGACACCAGTGGCTCCTTTACCTCCGGCAGGCAGTCAGTCCATCGGCGGGTCTCTTCCTGGAAACCGGTGATGCTACGTCTCGTATGTCTTGTTAGTCTACCTGGCATCCATTTCCACACTAAAATCGTATCTCAGAATTCACATCGACAACAGCCCAGGGGCCACGGCTGCGTGCAGGCACTGATGTCAAGTTGACACTCTGGGATTTCTACGACCACGAAGCTCGTGCGTCTGACAAGGATGTGCTTAAGCACTGGCATGATGACATGAGGACGCTCCTCATTGTGGTAAGCTATAGTCATGATATTTAATGACTAATTCTCACACATTAACAAAGGCTTGTCTCCTTTCTGCTGTGCAGATTGCATTCATCATTGAGTTCTACGTCGGTCTCAAACCTGTACGTCTTCATGAGCCGAGCACTCCGTCTGCACTTCCAAGGTCAGACGACTTGGTGGAACAGGCCGACGTTAGATATGATTTTGCATTATTTTGGCACCGTGCTTATCGAGATCGAGTTTCGTCAGACGTTGAGAGCGATACTTTCGATAGCGCGTGCAGCGTTTGGAGAGCCGAAGCGTGGAGAGACAGAGTATGAGCGTATGAGAGTGTGTGCCCATCGATTGAGTAATAAGATGGGCTCAAAGTATGTCAATGCTAGCAACCATGACATGTCTCGGGTTGAGTAGGCAACTGAAGAACACGAGAAGACTCAGAGAAAAGCTCTATGAAGATGTTTTGTGTCCTTTGAGGCAGATAACTGATCGTTTTAAGGTTTGTCTTGTCTTGTATCGACCTATAAGTCCGTTGTGCTTATTAGTATTAGGTGGATTAGTAGAGAATAGAGATCAGCACGGTAATTATAGCCACGAGATGCTTTGTTTCTTGGTGTTCTACCGTACAGTTCAGTAGTAGACGTTATACAGCGGGAAGTATCGTGCAGCATTGGTATGCGCTTCGCGTTAGGGATAGCTATACTCATGGTCTTCCCTGCAGTCGGCAAGAGATCACGTTGTGCATCTTGAAGTTGCAACGTCGAAAGTCGGGCCCATATTCTTCTGGAGTCTACCATCTCATGTATATCCCAAACGTCCCTTCCTTCGACTATCAGTCAAAATTCCACCAAGGCCTCGGAACCTCGCTTATGTCCGCTCCTCTCTCGCATAAAAACTTGAACACGTCCCGTCCAAAGGGATGTCTCGACGCCACTCTCACAGCCGAGTCCCCAGCCTTATTCCGAGCATGAAGATCAGCATGACAATCCAACAAAGCCCTGACGATAGGCAGAGCATTTTCGAATGCAGCGTGGATAGTCGGCCCTAAAGGAGGGGTTCCTTGATGAAAGCACGTACTCCGTGCCCAGCGCTCGACCTGCGATAATCCTAGGCTACCCTGCTCGTAGCCACGACATGCATAGTGCAATGGTCTGGACCCTTGCTTATCTGCAGCATTGACATCTGCACCATGCTCAGTAAGGGTTTTAACAACGCGTTCGCAATCTCCAGTGAAGCGCCATGCATTGTGAAGGATCGTTACACCCTGGTGATCAGCAATCGTTGGATCCGCCCCCAAACGAACAAGCTCCAGGACGGTCTCGACGCGAGCAGCACAATGGAGAGGTGTCTCACCTGTAGAGTTCCGAGCATCGATATCTGCGCCTGCTTCTAACAGAAGACGTACGAGATTGAGATTTTCCAGATGGCCCTGATGGCCAACAAAGTTTCGCGCCACGAAGTGAAGCGGCGTATCTCCCTCGTCATCACGAATATTTGGGTCTGCGTCATACTTAAGGAGCACCTTCATCAACTCCACGGATGGAATTGAGGAGGACCCCTGGAGGAGGTGTGCTGTCCCACCGTTCCGCATAGAAGAGGACGCAGGTTCCCCGCCTCTCCGGTCTTCCTCGCGGTGAGACCAAAATTTATGAAGCGCCACGTCACGACAAGCTACAGCGTGTAACGGAGTCCGCTTACGTACTCTAATGTTAACATACAGCCGAAAGCCGTGTTCCAGGAGGTACTCCATCAAAGGAGGCGAAACCGTTTCGTGCAATGGCGTTGCTGAAAGGAAGTCGTCTTTGGGTATCGGTACTTTGGCTCCTGCTTCGATGAGGGTACGTACGACTTCGACGTCAGACAGAGCACCTGTAAACTCATGCGACCTGAGGAGAGCAGTGTCTCCATACGAGCTGGGCGCATCTACATCTGCACCCAGACGAATCGCCATTCGTACGGTCTCCGCGGACCAATCCGCTACACGACGATAAAGGGGTGTCCCATCAAGCTGGCCTTTGACAAAGACTAGTTCAGGACATATCTCCATTAGACACTGGGCCACCTTGTCAGAAACGGCGCGGTGCAGTGCTGTATCTCCAAATCTATCCTTACTCAACGGATCTGCACCGTACTTGAGGAGAACCCGAACGATGTCGGCGGATCGGGCAGTATGGAGAGCTGGAGAATGGTGGTAGCGGTCGGGAGCATTGACATCGGCGCCGTTTTGTAGCAAAGCTTCAGCTATGTCTGCAGATATACATGAATGAAGAGGCGTAGAACGCTTCAACGCATTTACGTTCGCTCCGAACTCGATTAATGCTCGTGCAGCTTCGGCGGAGCGAACTACATGTAAGGGCGTCTCATCCTCTATGATGTCAGCGGCATGAACATCGGCTCCCTTGCTGAGGAGCGCGTGCATGACATCGACAGCGTCCACGCGAACAGCCAAGTGGAGGAGGGGACTTCCATATTCACCGAGCTCGACAACGTCACTTTCAGCAAAACGTCGCAGTAAGCCCTCCATGATGCCTGAGTCGCGACGCATGAAATAGTGAAGGGCGAGTCTGATGGTGGTAATCCAGTCGGATGGTCTCGATTGCATTGAATTTTCCAGCTCCCGGAGAACAATGTTAGCATAGGCGCCATCATCAGCAGTAGACTGCATAGACCATTGGTTAGTAACGAAAACGTGAGCAAAGCAGGACGCACCGGCGACGGTATCGGGATGGTTGGCAACCATAATCCTTGCGATTGGAAGATGTTCCAGGACATTTCACGTTGACGACACCACGATTGAGTGAAATACTAGGGATTCATAAGTTATATGTAAACCGGGCATGAAAATTTTGTTCTCACTTCGACAAAAGACCTATCGGGATCCGGAGACAAACAGCGATTATCGCTCGACGCACAAATGACATCAAAGATTTCTTGCCACTTGATTCTTCTTCGAGGGTCTCTCTGGACTGCTCCTTTGATAGCAGCGAGAGGACCCATCATGGGGGCATCTTCCTTCCCGTGAAAAGTGATAATGAGATGTTTGGCAGCGCTACCCTCTGTCCCCAACTGCAGAGCCGACACATCTCTATCATCTACACCGATAAATGGCATATTTCCATCATTGAAAATCTCCCAAAGCAACACTCCGTACGAATATACGTCCCTCTCCGGCTGGTTAGCATACTGCCTCAAAGACGGCGGGGCCTCCGCCAGCGCCTCTGGCGCTCTGAAGCGAACTGTACCTCTCGACGCAGCATATGCAGCCCTTGACGACGTGTCTGGCACGCAGAAGCCAAAATCCGAGACCCTGGCACAGAGCTGAGGCACAGTCGGGACGTCCCAGTTCTTGGCATCGTAGAAGATGAGAACATTGTCAGCTTTGACGTCCGCGTGAACGATTTCAACCTGATGCAGCGCCTCAAGACCTGCCGCCACTTGGAGGCTGAACTTCATCCTCAGCTCCCAAGGCATGCCTTGACCGTCGTCGTTAGATGATTTTCGCAGCAATGACCCTAGCGAACCAACAGCACGATCAACAATGAGCCGTGGTAAAAGCCTCTCTCCGCCACTCTTCTGAAGACAGATGCCAAAGATGGAAAGCACGTTTGGGTGCAATGAAAAGTACGACATTACTCGAATCTCGTCGAGGACCTCCCGGATGAGCGAGCTAAGGATGAAAGTATCTTTATGTATGCTCTCGCGAGGTGTTTTGATGGCAACCAGGGTCGAACGAACAGTATAGTTGTTTAAGGTCCCCTCTTGGACGTAAAATGTCGCCCCAATGCCAATGGACTTTCCGATGGAGAGATCACCGGGATCGATTACTTGGACAGCGAGCATACCAAGGTAATCGATGAGCTGATTATAGGTTGTTGGGCGTGTAGATGGATCGGTATGTGCCGAAAGGATGCTGCGTTTGCCGCCGTACATGTAAATGTCGGATGAAGGGGGTATATGACTGACGTTGGAATCATAGTGCCCGCTGTCCAGCGGTGCATAGCCACTGGAGGATTGAGAAGACGAATATGCCATGGTGGAAGGGGTACGTCAATTGGTGGTCCAACCAAAGGCCAATACTTCAAAACCGCAAGTGGTAGTCAAGATCAGAGCGCATTGATTGAGGCGGTGATTGACCTGAGTGCCCGAAGCTTACCGGTATTGTGCCGCATCTCGGTTGCAATGGCCAAACCTGCGCGCCAGCGATAATATCGATTCAGTATCGAGAGACCGTATGCCTCGTCCAATCGTAATGCCTATAAAATCAATTGTTCGTCCCTGGGTGCAGTACTCGCAGATATCCTAGAGATACTTCGTTGCTGTAGCTGTACATGCACCGAGAGCCAGCAGACAAAGGCTTGATCTGCATTATTCTATCCAATTCATGGCCTCAACAAAGTCGAAGCCTTCGCTGATACCTTGCGTCTGCAGGCGAAATGGACGCTCTCAAAGACGATGAACCCCCGTAAAACGCGAAGAGAGCTCTCAGAGGAAACGAGGATAGAGAAGTAGATAACACCATCGGTCCTGTACTCACGATTCTTCCAATAACATACAACCAGGAATACAGACACCACAGTGAAAGCACTAGGAAAATTCGCGGCGACGGGAAAGTTGTGTGTGGTCCAGTGGCAATGGCATAGTGCAAAGATAGCCAAATAACGCGTATCTTTCTGTCTTCAACCACCATGGCCGATAATCTACTCCTTCGCATCGTTAATGAGGAATGTCCGTTCTCCTCAGTTCCTATGCAACCAGATCACCACGAAGCAAGCGCCATGCTGGTAGGAGGTACCGTCTAGCTCCACCACGTTCCACGTAGCCTCTGCACTTTGAGGGTTCCACCAGACGCTTCCTTCCTATCTGCTATTGCTGCCAGCCAATGAAATCTCCAGCTTTCAAGGATAACTATAGTTATGATAGCAGGGCTGAATAATTTGATTACTCGCCTGTTCACGCGCTCAACTTCTCGCACCATCACATATACTAGGCTAAGAATCGTTTCAAGAACCATCAGGGTTTGCTTGGATAGTGGTGAGTTTGTTCATGGAATATTAACATTCAGGCTCGTTTTAATATTCTGTGTTTGCTTCTTAGAACAAAGACGAATCTCAGATCTCCTTCGTCAAATTTTCTATATTTTTTAATCTGCCGACGCGATGATACCGGAACATCAGCAACTGCATCAAACACCAAATTCTCAGACTGAATTTAACTGAGAGCAAGGTCAGCCGCCATCCATTTATTCTCGTTCGCTGAACTGATGACGCGCTCTAGGGTCTGCAGTCGCTGCGCTCCATCATCCTGGCATCATCCTTCTCCCGTTTAATTCTACCGAAGTGTTTTGGACCTAATTCCAGGTTGATCAATGATCACAAAAGTACCCCCTCTTCCATCGTTGTGAAGGGACTAGTCTTCTCGCGAGATTCAACTATTCTTGGATCCCCGTATCTTTTTCCGCTTTTCTGTCACGTACCTTTGGCTAGTTTTGTCAATGTCCTCCACATGGGTGCATGTTCGTCTCGGGATTCAGTCCACGAACCGCGTCAACTAGGGGCGAAAGAACGGAATATGGCCTGGGTCGTTTCAAACAGGAAACCACTCCAGGTCAAGCTCTGGGCATCGAATGTTTGCGCAAAGCGGAATTTCGGGACGCGCTTTGATCTACAGCCGAAACGAATGCCTCGAGTAATCCGATTTAGCACTTGGCTCCTATCCTCCTGTGCTCTCGTTCAATTACCAGCCCTGCGCAATCGCCGCTTCCCTATATTTGTCCATTACGAATAACTCAAGCCCCGTATACCTAGACATGTAACGGACTGGTTTCTCTCTCCGATACTCGTTCTTTTCCTACGATTCTGGGAGGCGCCGGTGCTATATGTACTTGCCGGCCTTGCTACCGAAGGGCACTGACGGCCTGATCTTGCGGCTTGTCGCCGAAAGTATCTCAGACCTCCGAGCCCACTACAAGAAAGAAACATGTGGTACTACATCCCTACATTTCGTTGACTGATCAGAACTTGTCAGTCTACCCGAATCATCACTCTCCGGCAAAAGATGGTAGGAATGTGCCAGAGACGCAGACAAGGGCACAAGACTGAATACAGAGGTCTACTGCAATTTGGCCATGAAAGAGTTCCAACCTCCTGTATGATACCCACCGTGGTATGCTTCATCGGTCGCGCCGAGGGTCTGGGTCTTGTCTAAACTTTCCGGAATCTCGATATTGCTTACCCTTCCTTGCGGCTAGTCCTGTCAACATCATTCTTCGTAGCGCAGTTGACTACAGTAGTACACGCAGCTGCTGTAGTATCGTCCGTATCTTATCGGCTCATCGTCTCATAGATGGCTGCACGGACTTCTTCAAAAGACTGTCGTTTCTTTACTTGGTTCTACCAAATAATTCGCGTCTCCTCTGCTTCCTTCTGACGTTTCGAGATCGTATTCACTGCCGTGTGTCGCATTTCGTGCGTATGCCAACATACATTCTATGGAGATGATGACATCCCTTTTTGTCTGCCATCGCTTCGCCGTACTTCCAGGATCGTCGCTCTCAGCCTATATCACATCGTCGGTCGAATAGTGCACTACCTTAGCTTGACTCAGCATTTATTTAAGTTGACACTTCAGTGCGTTTTCTCATGATTACATCTCTCTCCATGGCTCGTGTATTTAGTCGAGTTGGCCTGCGTATCAACCTAGTGTGTCACTCAATGATAAAAACTTCATTCAACCCTTCAGCCGAAGTTAGTGAAAAAAACTCGCACGCCCGATGCATCGCGGGCTTTCAATTCACACCTAAAATGTTTTTTAAATCAAATGAGCAGTCGTCGTCGCTGTCTCCTTAGGCCTACCTCGTCGTGCTGCTTTCTAATTCAAGTGTTTGCTTGTCACACCGGAGATTGAGTGCTTAATTGATGATACGCTGATATGGATGCAGTGGAAGCGGGCCTTCGAGCATGGGAGGAGAAGAAAAAGGAGAGCATGCAAAAACTTTTCGGCAACGATAAGGTTGATGTTCCCGGATCTTCCATGAGAACACAGCGAGCTGACAAAGTGTGTGTATGTAGCAGAAGCAGAATGTATGTCATCAGCGCCTATTTTCAGGACTTTTTGACTGATCGTGATTGGCGCCCAAGGACAAGGCCAGAGAGAAAAATATGAACGGGAAGGTGAGTTGTCGAGTCGTTCAACGAAAAGATTTGAATCCCAAGTCTTAATACCAAAAATGTTAGAAGAATGCTAGAAAACTCCCAAAATATCTTGACAATCCCACCTCCGTCTTCCCTCCGAAACAGACCGCCACGTCCATACCCACAGCACCAATTCCCAATCTCAATCCATACCCACGCATAGCTTCACCTTCAATCCCGGTGCACTTCAACTCGAAAGGCGAATTTATCTTCCCTCACCCACTCGTACAGACGATCCCCAATCCACCACAGATGATCGCCCCCTGCAGCATCCGCATGTGCATGCGCTTCGGCTGTGGCTCGATCTTGACGCCGCGAAATTCGACCGATGAAGACGTGTTTTGCGGGAGGTGCAGACCTTTGGCTGCAGTGGGACAGTTCCCCAGGACCGTGAAGCACCGGCGCGCGTTTGATGTGGACGGGCTTCTCATTTCGACGAAAAAGAAGAGGGAGGGAGTCGCTGGAAGGTCGAAGGATTCGCCGATCGTTATTCCGGATGATGCTTCAGGTGCTAATGAAAGCGCTCGGATGCCTGACGATCTATCGTATCCCGAGGTATGATATCGATGCCCTGTATCTTCGGAATTGTGTTGATTTGGAGGTAGCCTGAGGTGACTATACACAATAACGTTGAGCTGGCGCCTGCGCCAGCGCCGCCAGCACCAGTGATAATATCGATACCACAATTGCCAACTGTGCCGCGATGGCCCCCGCCGCCTCTTCCTAAGATGAAAAAGATAGTGCCTGCGGTGCGTTCTCTCTGGCTCTTTGCCTCAAAACATCATCTCCTTACCCTTTCTTTTTGCGCAGCCTCTCCGTCCTTGTACGACACCAAACTGCAGCGGCCTCATCCACGCCTCTTCAGCTGCGCATCGTTGTCCAGCATGCGTGATGAAGGACTGGAAGAACAGAATAAAAGGTAAAGAGCGAGAGAAGAGGGAACGCGTGGGGATAATCATCATTCCAGCCAAGCGCAAGAGGGACGAATGGAAGCCCTCAGAACCAACTCGCCCTTCGACCTCAGTACCTAGCACTACCGCCCCTCCCCCTGAGAAGGAATCCACATCCGGATGGGACAGCGACCTCACGGATCTGAGCAGCAGCGATGAAGAGTCGCCCTTCGCAGGAATAAACCAACGACGAATGGCTGACTCTGGACATTCGGGAGATACCACGAGCGAGGACGATGAGCCTCTTCCCCAATCAGCACGTCAAGTACGTCCGCCCGCACAGCCAGTGAAGTTGGTAATCCGGATTCCTCCTAGAGGCCCAGAGAAAATCGCTGCTGCTTCTGCTGCTTCGTCGTCGGTCGCCTCATCTTCTAGTGCAACTCCCGATCCCCAGAGAAGGTGTGTAATCGATGCGTGTGCCGCTCCCCTTGACCATGAATACGCATGGAAATGCTGCAAATCCTGTCGAAAGCACCACCGAGAGTACCAGCGAAAGCGGCTCGGAATCACGAAGGGAACGTATAACCTCGACAAGGAGGAAAAGAGCCTGAGTGTGAGTCGTCCTTCCTTTCTGTCCTTCAGTTCTTTTTCTGATGTCCTGTCAACAGCCAAAACCGGATGAGCAAAACCTCCCGCCTGGGTACCGGACATGCACCATCCGGCATTGTAGCACCGTCATCCCACCTGTGGAGGCGTACAAGTGGAAAATGTGCACAGGGTGTCGTCAGAGGACGAAAATGCTGAGGAAGCGTAGGCAGGAAGGAGTAGAGGTGGAGGCGACCAATAGTGAGCCTTTTCGGAGGGTAAGGCTCTATATCCCGATCTTGAAACATGAACTGAACGAGGGAGCATCAGAGGGCACGCAATCCGGCATATCCTGAATACGGCTCGTTCCCACAGCTCCTCAGCGATTATCAACAGCGTCTACGAGGGTTCTTCGAGGCACAGGCAGAGTGGATTATCATCAAGTATCAGCAGGAAAATAGCAAAAGAAGTAACACGAAGAAAGACGACGAAGTTGATAGGTACTCGTCAATGGACCAACAAGATACGGGGGGCGCTTGGCAGGAGAAGACGATGACTAAAGAAGGCGAACTTTTTGGCTTTGATGGTGAATACTCTGTTGTCGCTCTGGACTATGCAATCTGTGACCGCCAAGCCGCTGTGATCGATTTTGTCGGCAGGTTGAAGGGCGAGATGGAGAGGGTTGGCGGGGTCGCATTTGAGTCAGTATACTATTTCCTCCACTTTTCAATCTTCGCTCCATTGACTAGTCTCCTTCACAGCCCAAGGACCCGCCACGTAACCCTTGCGTATGGAGGCATCCTAACGCGTTATCGCTGTGTGCACCGTATTCACGTCACAATGCATGACCGAGCGGAGAAGATTGACGATATAAGAATCATCAAAGATATGCATGGCGAATTGGAGATTGCTACCCTCCCAGAGTACTCGCATCCACTTTTCCCTGGACAGAGGACTGTGGTTAGAATGCGGCTAATGGGATGATAGGGATTTCCTTCCGACATGGATGTGGATGATGATGCATTGATGTTTCATCTATCATTATGTGTTGCTTACAGCCTGTATCTCGAACCCGTTTGAAGTCTCCAAGTTCAATGCAGACGCATTAGTGAAATCAAGTGATGATGATCGAGATGCTGAAACTTACAGCGTTTTATGAGCCAGAGCCAGAGGAATGATGACTACAGAAGCGTGAGCAGTGCCATCCGGAGACGACGTAAATCTAGTCAGCAACAAATTTATATCCATCAACGGTGAGCATGCTCGAGTTCTGAACTGAAAATGCATTCGACGGACAATTAACCAGAACGTCGTTCCGTACCAAAGGAGCAAGAAATCGGTAATATTCTCATAATGCAAAAGGATAGACTGCAAAGATCTTCAAAACTTCCATTCACTGCTACAGTAAACACAGACATTGTGGCCAACTCGTTTACACCTTGAACATCCAGGGATAAGGATTCGTACTCACTGCATATACAACACACAAACATGCTAAAAGTCACCTCTTGAGAAGAAGACTTGGAGTCAGAAAACGCGTTCGGCGCATAAACTTCGACCTTGAGCGAGCTGGGGGTAGCCAAGGAAGCACTGCTAGACGTGGATGGCACGACAATCGTCGAGTTGTCAGTTGAAATATCTTGTATCGTCTCTGAGAGCGCCGATGCCGTACCACTGACGGTGGCGATAATGGTAATCGTGTGAATCTGGATCACGGTTACGATAGATGCATCCGACTCGTCTTCGGCGCTGGCGTCCGGACACTTGGGGCGAATAACTTTTTTGCTTCTTTCGACACCTCGTCCTGCTCCTCGAAGTCCGTGGCATCCTCTTCATCACCACCATTGACCATCTCCCAGCTCGGAACAGAGGCATTGCTACTGGAGTCATACATGGTGGGATTGATGGCTCCAGTAGTAATGTTGCGCAAGAATGTCTGACGAACCGCTTTATGGTGCTTCTCCTTGTCCTTCTTCTCTTCCTTCTTCTTGGCTCCCTTCTTCTCGGTCTCCTCACCTTTGTGAGATTCGGGCACAGACTGGTGAGCCACGTAATGAAGAAGGTGAAAACTTGGGACCTGTTCGCGAAAGGCAAGCTTAGTACTCGTGACGTCAGAGCGAGGTATAGCGGCGGCATTGACAAAGAGCGAGTTCTGAGAAAGGGCAGCCAGACAGAGAAAGGAGGCGAGAACGATGAAACGTGCAGTCATGAGAACCATGTCGAATGGGATATATGTTGTAGTAAAAGAATCGGGGAATATAATAATAACGATGTGCAGATAGGTTGAATGTGTTGAGATTCAGTTTTCACGGCTTTAATGTCATATTCTATTTATATATATTTACTGCTTACCTTATACTTTGACATTTTCGTACCTATCGACTTGACTCGGAACCCCCACTGTCCCTACTCTGTACGATGAAATATACCTTCCCTTCGAGTCCAATACACCTCCTCCCGAATCACCAGCACCTAAATTCCAACAGGATGAACTAGAATGTAAATGCTCAAAGATCACCATGATCTGAACAAATGCAAGTAAGAAGGAAAGGAAGGTGAGATTTGTGTTTGCTTCCCACCGAGTTCGTATACTCCATCGATGTTTGTGTCGCTTTGGCTGCCTGTCCAAAGCATGGCGGATTTGATCATGTGACCGCGTTGCTACCCACCCTTGACTTTCAAATTCGTGGGACTGGTCTTACATCAGAGACAAGATCTGATGAGGGACATCTCAGTTTCATTTCTGCGCCCAAAGATATCCTCTAACTCTCATGCCTTGCTTAAAAAGGAGTCTGCGGCCCCTCCTTTCTCATTCTCCGAGTCACAATGTAACGAAATTTGTATGGTCCTTAGGCTCGAGGCACCCTACCTACGACAACTGTTGCTAGGCGCAACCAAAAAGGATCACTAGGAACTTAATCATCATCAGCTAGTTTTTTCCAGGGACAGTCAAGCACGACGAATGCTACCTATAGTGGACTGCGGATGGCGATGCAAGAATTTGACACCTGTCGATGATACTGCGTGGCATTTCATCTCAGGGACTTGTGGACTCTTGTGTATCGTGCCAAATCATTCATATCCGAACATTTCGCACAAGTACTAGTACGTATTTTTCGCCTCGCCAATTTGTTCCAAACGACTCTCATGGATTAATATTTACCTTTTTGACGCTGAAATCAAGTATTCTTTCATATCCAGGTGGCGTCCAATGCGTCATGCTAGTCTATGCTTCCAAGTGAAATAGCAATAGGCACAGATCATCTCCCGTTCTTTAACCATACTATCAAGGTATGACCACCATGGCTCGTGGACGAAGACTTCTGGCTAAATTGCATTCGTTCTACACAGTAAATCTTTATAGGTCCCGACCGACAATGTCAGAGTATCCTTTCAATGTTTGAACGCCATGAATCGACGGTGCTGTAACGACGAATGTGTTTCGATCTGGTCTGGTAAGATGTTGAATTAATAAGACAATTTGGGCTTCGATACTGAGTCTTATAACTCAAGATTCCTTTCTTATTTTTCAAGCTACTGGTCTCGTAATGATCTCTCTCATTAATGAGTGCTATACATGATAAAGATCACAGCTTCAAGTTCAAGTTGCTGAAGAGTGGCCTTTCAGTGGGCCAGCGTACAACCAATACCCAAAGGCCGACACTACTGCCATCGGCATCCGTCAACATTGGACATCTTTGATAGTGGTCACTGGTGGTTCACGAAGTGGTAGAGGTCTGACCCAGCTCACGTGTTCCCGGGCCAATGCCGGCGGCAAGACCGGTACCATGGCATTCAGTTCCGCTCTGTGTAATCAGCCTCGTATCATCGCCTTTTTTTTTTGGTTGTGGTTGGAGTGCCAGGAAGGTCGAGTCTAGGCACAGGTCAATGCAGCTTGGCATTAACTATACTTCCATGTTGGCGGCATTCTCGACCTTATCCAGCTGTCAGAACCGGAGGGATCTCTCCGCACCTAAAACTATAACAATATTCAACGTTCGTCGTCTTTTCACTGTTATCTCCGCGAGTACCTGTCTACTCAGGGTCGCTGTATCAAACCTTTCGGATTTTTTCATCCGGACAAGTATCAGAAAGCCAAGGCAGAAACGCTGGGATGGGCGGATTCTCAGTTCCATTGAGAACAATACAATGTGGATTATGGACCTATCAGGATTCTTCACAGGATACGCCAGTGTCTCAGAGTACCCTAAAATTTGCGCGTAGGTTTCCGCCAGTGATCTCCGTCTACCAGGTTCTTATCATGGTGGTTCCATTGTCCCGTAGTACCAATCATTAGTTTCTTTGAACTGGTGCGGCAGTCCCCATAGTCTCCTGAACATATTTAAAGTTTCTTCTATATATTAGGCAGGCCGTCGGAAGCGGAATTTCCACCAGCATCTCAGAGTCGTGCTTTGTGATACGATTTCCAGTGCGACTCCCCGTTTCTCATGACCCTACAAATCTCCTTGGCATCTTCTTTGTGACAGCTGCATACTACGCTCAACAATCGTGCTGCTCATGTGTTGCACTGACCTCAAGAAATCCCAAATATTGAGTCCGCCTGCTTTTAAACCTAGAGGCTACTGTCTTCAGTGTGTAACTGTCAGCAAATTGCGGCAAAGATGACGCACACAAGGCGCATCACGGTGAACAGTTTTCTCCGAGCAGTTTAAAACATTGACCCTTACTCCTCAAAGTCGTTAAACCCTCTCCCACATGAACACTATGTCCGATACCATACTGCACCATGCGTCTCCGTCTCCCAGCCGTCGGTACTCCTACTACGTAAATTCCTTGAGAATAACATCCCCGTTATCGCTCTCGCTCAATTGTACTACCCTCACCGAACATCGACAACTGGGGTTTGCATAAGAACGATAACGACATATTATGACTTAGTGCCTCGCTTAATCATTCCCGACGCTCGACTCGGAGGAAATAGTTCATCATCGGCAATTACCATTTGATCTATATACCAGACGATGCGTCCGCACCCCCAAAAAATTAATCGTTACTAAGAGCCAGTTGTCTAGCCAAAGCTGCAACACGACGTTGGCTAGAAAGAGGAAACAGCAATTCTTTAAGTCTGGGCTACGGATTTACTTGAATAGCTTTCAATTCTGAATGGACTCCGAGTCATTACCTCGTTGGATGATCTGACTCCTGTCCGCTTCACTTCTTTCCTAATCAAATTTCGCGCGGGCATGGATTCGCCCGTTTCAACTCTCAAGGCATTGCTGCGCCAACTCCTTATGAGGCAGATGGGGACCTCCATCCAGGCTCTCCATGTGTTGGAACGGTATAAGTATTATTGCGCTAGTTTAGCACACGATACGATCTATTATTCAATGAGAACATACATTCGGTGGGAAACAGGGAAGCGTCTTGAGTACTGAGACTTGCCAAGTAGGTTCCATGTTTCGAACGTTTTTCGACATTGATATCCATCGGTGAGACACTTGGAAGTCTTGTGCGTCGGGTGTTAGCGAGATCCCAAGGTTCCATTGTGGGAAATAAAGAATTTTAAAGATACCGACGCAATTACATGGGAATGCGCTCTAGCGTATCCATATGGTCAGGACTTCCAATAGAGTGGAAGGAGGATTGAGCGCTCTGTGTCTGAAGTTCGGGCCTTTTGCAGTCGATACGTTAGATATCTCGAGTTCAGTTCATGTACAGATAAGGGCTCAGGGCGGAGGTTCGAGGACCTTGAAGCCTACCTGAAGCGGGAGACATTCGATAGGTTTAACGGGTTCGGCTCATTTATTGGGCACATTTTTGAGCCGCTTACTTGTAAAGTAGGACTCTCAGGGAGGTGATTTGGTGGCATTCTGATACACACACCCTGATAGAACGATAGAACCTCTGCTAATATGAGGGTTTAGGGGTCGAAATAAATATTGAAATTTTTGAGAATTCAAACTCGAGTTTCCATCTTTGTCCTTTGTACGCAGAATCTTCTGTTCCCAAAAGTGGCAGTAGTCTAGAGAAACACTATCTGAAACGGTGTACTAAGGGCCTTATGTGTGTTGCGTGGTAGCAACATATATCCCGTCCTTTCCCTGCTTTTGTCAAAACCCTATCTCTCGCTTTGAAAATGCCCCGACAACTCCACCTCAAAACCTGCAACCCTCCCGTTGAATGTTATGGCCCCGGGCTCTCAATGCACCTCGACACGCTAGTGCAGCCGACACACAACCCGAAACATGGGCGGCAGCCGGTTGCCCCGAAGCATGTATACTTGGCACGTACTAAGTGCGTTCTCCAACTTCCAAGTTCGCCGTTTATTTCAAAATCGCATGCAGCGATCGACGCCGGGAAGATATCACTACATGGTATGATTTTCAAGCCAAGAGCATTCCCGAGGACAAGGACCGACGGTAATAATGACGAATAATTCTCGATTATGGAGTTGTTCTGATATCTACAAATACGATTGAAAACATTCTTGCTTCGATTTTGTTTTGCTATGTAACGTACGTTCGGTGTAATTATCGAGAAGTCCATTTTTCCGTACGGCCCGACTTGAGAAATGAGTAAAGGGCCCTGTTACTGTAGTGTCGCTATCGGTATTCAGGCAACCCGAGAGCGAGTTAGAGAAAGATAAATGGGGCCCACGTTTGATGTGCCAACGCCCGACAGAAAATGCCCAATACAAAGATTCCCGAAAAGGACGCAGCACGAGCTCTAATTGGCGGACTCCAAAAAATGGACCTGAAAGTTGCCTGGGGTGTTACGAGAGATAAGACAAACATTAAAACCAAAGAGACTGGCAGAACCTGAGAGAGTACGGCCTGTAGGGTACGAGGCAGGCAGTTGGTGTCCACTGGAATTCCAATGAATTCCGGAAGCTGGTGCCTCAGTGATGTCGGCAGCGATGTCAGTGAACCTGGAATGCCAAGCCTCTGCTCCGTCGCTCTTGGCAGTGAGTAATACCTTTATTTCGGCGTTGTCGGTACGCAGCGGTGACCCTGGCAGGCGACTTGACAACATGCGAAATGGAACGCCGGTATTTACGTATCTTTGTTTCCATCTCTTTGAACTGGACCGCCCATCAAAGTTGTCTGTCGAACTTCTTTTTCCATGCCGTTCGTTGCTCTGTACCGCGAGCGAACCGGTCCATTCCTTCGTTGATCTGTTTAGGTGCGCGGTTCGTTGCAAAGGCGACCAGCATAGCAGTAGCGATTTCTTCGTACTGAAGCTCATTCGAGCCACAAAGCTTGGTACGAAGAAATCGCAACTGATATCGAGGTGGCACCTCACAATCAGTGGAAATGACATATGTTCCCAGAGGAAAGGACGATACTTGCCTTGCTTTTCGTCATAGAAACTCGTTGAGCCTGGTACGTGTTTCTGCCGGTCCCGCACTCTGGATCCTCGTAAACGAAAATTATTCCTTGCTTCGATCCAATTGCCAAATTGAGATGATGCGTTGGCCCGCTCCCATGGGTCTAAGAATGATCGAAAAATTTTTCTCACGATTATGACATTAGGTTAAGACGGTTTTCCGTCGCTTATATGGTTGAATGTGAAACCCCCACCCCGTGTGCTTCCTGACAGTTATATTTCGTTGATTGGCTCTTTTTAAGCAGCCGGTCGACGTCCTGCACTCAAGCTTCCCCATCCCCTTCTCGTGCCACGACCCAGAGTCGGATTCACCCTGGAAGCCCATTGATACCATGTCCACCCCACTTTCCTTCTTAAGCGACCTCATTCCTTCGTCAGGAGTCTCTCTGGGAGACCTCATTGATGAACGTCTTGTTAGTTCAGGACGGGTCCATACCCTGCTAGATTGTCTCTGTTCTATCCCAGCGCCTGCCATTTATTCACAGGATCCCTCTCGCCCGTCGTTAAACCATGACATCCTCCGCAATTTTGTCAAAACCTTTGCCCTTCCCCACTCCCCATCCCGGTCACCTCTGGGTCCTAACGATAGAGTCATGATTGCGCTTCCCACTGGACCAGAGAATGCTCTCGCGCTTCTCTCTCTTGCTACTTATCACACTGTCGCTCCTATCAATGCGAGCTGCACAGCGTCGGAACTTCGAGAAGATGCGCATCGCTTGAACGCCAAGGCAATCGTTTCTACGAAGGAGGCTGGTCACCGTTTGGAGCTTCTGGCTCTTCAAGATGCCCTCGATTGCGAGATTGTTTACATAGAAGGATATCCAACGGGGCCCGCGGGATTATTCCACATGACATTGGTGGGTGGTAACATGGTCATTCCTCCGCCATCGACGCCACATGGGCTTCGTGACCAGTCGCTCGTTCTCCACACTTCGGGTACTAGTGGCAAGAAAAAGGTTGTGCCGTATACTCTACGCTCTTTGATTGTGGGTACTTGGGCCGTGGTTCATTCATGGGATCTCCAACCACGCGACGTCAACTGTGAGTGACATATCTATGTACGTACCATTATTCTAACTTTCAAACTAGTAAACATGATGCCACTTTTCCACGTCGGTGGGATCATACGCAATCTATGGGCCCCCGCATTTTCTGGTGGAAGCGCAATCATGTGTGCCGGTTTTGACGCGATCGCATTCTGGAATCTCGCTTCCCAGCTACATGCAACTTGGTATGTCATATTTTATTACTTCGCCTATTTAGTTGACGCTAGTGGCAAAGGTACTATGCCGCGCCTACAATCCATCATGCTGTCCTTACGTCACAACCTGATTACATTGACCCAGATCGCGACATTAGTATCCGTATGATCTGCAATGCTGCTGGTGGTTTACTCCCTTCTCTTGCTGTTGAACTCCAGAATCGATTCACAAAGGCCACTATTCTGCCTTCGTACGGGATGACGGAGTGAGTTGAACACAAGTCCCTATTTCCGCACTCGATCATGGCTTTTATTTAGATGCATGCCAATCGCCTCTCCGCCCACGACGTACCGACTTGAACGTCCCGGATGTTCTGGAATAGCGTGCGGTCCATACATCTCAATTCGTGATCCCTATGATTCAGAGTGCGAATTTCCAACCGGGAAAACTGGAGCGGTGTCGGTCCGCGGGCTGCCCACATTTGAAGGTTACGAGATCTCTCCGGACATCAACATGCCTCTCGACACGTCCGCTTTCTCGAGTGAAGGCTGGTTTGACACAGGAGATGTAGGATATGTGGATTCTGATGGTTATTTGTTCATTACCGGTCGTTCCAAGGAGATTATCAACAAGGGAGGGGAAGTCATTTCTCCTTTCGAGATCGAGGAGGCCATTATGACGGCGGCGAGAGACCATGTCAAGGTCGGCCTCATCCATTCGTGGATCTATTCAGCTGCTGACCATTTATCAAAGGCTTCTCTGGCTTTCGCAATTGACCACAACGCTCTGCAGGAAGCCATTGGTGTTGTTATAGTTCCTATCCCTAATCGGCCTCGAGTCGGGCTTTCTCAGCTCCACGATCTACTGAAGTGAGTGGAGCTGTAGTTAGCTGTTCAGTCAACTGAACGATAACTTTGTTTTAGAGACCACTTGCATCCTTCGAAGTGGCCATTTGCGATCGTATATATGGCGGACTTACCAAAAAACAGGTGCGGCTTTAAGCTTCAATGCATATTATATGCCCACCAATGACCTTTCATTATTAGTGCTGGCAAACCTCTTCGAATCAAACTAGCGACTCGGTTCGGTCTTGGATGCATGACCGACAGTGTCCCTGTTGTCCAACGTCATTTCGAAGCAGAGGTCCCTCCTCCATTAGCAGCACTTTCGGAACCTATTGCATGCTCAAATGTGTCAGTTGATCTTGCCGAGCTCAAAATCACGCTGCTATCAACACATGGAGTGTCCGATGTTGCTGTACGTTTCCGCCACGACGGCAATCCCGAAGCCTTTGTCTCCTTGATATCCCAGGACGCCCCTGGTGAGGACGCTCTGATGGAGTACATCTCCGGAATTCTGCCAGGCTACATCCTACCTGACCCCCTTCGCGTACTGAGGACTCCACTATTGAAGAGCACTGATGGCCAAGTTGATTTCTCCACCATGGAGGAAGAGTTCGCTCGCCAGAACGCTTCAACGATGACGCCACGTGAACTTCTCGTCCGCGACATCATCTCTGACCTTCTTTCCATCGAGTCGGACAGGATAAAAAGGGACTCCGACTTCTTCCTACTTGGCGGCAACTCTCTTCTTCTGGGAAAATTATCCTACTTCGTTCGGAAGGCCACAGGTGCGGCTATACCTATCTCTGCAATCTTTGCCAACAGCACTGTTTCCGGGATCGCAAAGCTTATCCAGATTCAACAAGAGCACACCCCGTCCAATTCCACTTCCATGATGACTCTCCCTTACAAAAGGCTACCCGACACACCTTCAGATTCAACGCTAAGCTATGGCGAGCAGGACAGCACGAAATCACCCAAAGGATTTCGTGGGCAGAGTCACCCTCTTTCTATTTTGCTTCAATCCTTCCCATTTATTTTTTTCTATCCCCTCAAAACCGCTTTGACTTGTGAGTAACTTATAGTTTATGCCTTAGGCTACCACTCATGACACATTAGGGACACTTTTGTTGTATATTATGTCCCACCTCGCTAGGTATATTGACAACAGCTACTGGGAACGGATGGGCGTCTTACTTTGCTGTATCGTTGCAGCGCGGTTGGCGACACGAGTCGTTGCACCAGTTGTTGCGATAGCATTCAAGTGGATTGTCATTGGAAGATATAAACCTGGTACTTACAAGATGTGAGTTACTTTGTTTTCATCGCTTTATGTCATTTCTAACCATCGAGTAGGTGGTCACCATACTACTTGCGTTGGTGGATTGTTAATCAGAGTTTGCGGACGGCTGGTCGTGGTATATTTGCGTTGCACCCGGCCCTAGAGAAGCTCTATTTCCGTCTCCTGGGTGCTCGCATAGGCAAGAACGTCCGCATAGCGCACAAGGCAAAGCTCGGCGAGTACGACCTTATCAGTCTAGAGGACGGCTGCCGTCTCGACACCGCTCTTATTCGCGGGTTCTGTGTCGAGAGGGATGGACAGTTCCGCCTTGACCATATTGTCATTGGGAAGAATGCCGTCGTCAACACCTATACCCAAGTGGCACCGGGGGCTCGCATTCCAGATGGCGCCGTCTATGGTCCTCATTCATCCAGCAACGAAGCTCCTTCTCCATCGGCGTACGCGGCGCTCAACAGGACTTCTTTCCGGGGACCGCACTGGTTCTTGAAAGTTTTCGTAGCCTATCCCATTTTCGGTTTGGTGCTTTTCATATCCTGTAAGCGCATCATTTGACTAGCATCACTGCACTTCGACTAATCACCTTACAAGATCTACCCTGGTTCGCGTCCATCTATCTGATGTTGGAGGAGACTGTGTTTATCCGACCTCACGGTAACGCTCTCGTCGCCGTGATTTTCTGGTTTGCAACATCAAAACGAGTGCTCTATCACGCGATATCAAGAATAATCAGGGCCGTCTTCACTCCACTAATTCACCTCGTTGTCTCGATAATCGTGAAGCGCATCTTTGGTTTGAACAGGCCCTGCAGAGATGAAGATGTATCACAGCTGGTTTTACTTCGGCGATACATCAACTCTGTGCTCCTGTCTCAGGATCGTCTGAGGGACGCTTTCTCTATTCTGGGTACTCATTACGAGGCTGTTTCCGTGAGTCGTCGAATTTGTGGACTTGAGAGTTCATCTGATTAATACTTCACTTTCGATATAGATCGCGTATCGTGCAATGGGCGCCAAAATTGGCCGTCGGATCTATTGGCCTGGATCTGGGATGTACTGTCTCGAACCAGAACTGTTAGAAATCGGTAACGATGTAGTCTTTGGGTCACGTTCTGAGGTCTTCACTACGGATACCATTTCATCTGAGAGGATAGTCATTGGCGACGGTGGTAAGTGAAATTAGATTGTTCTCTCATCCTAAAAGACTTAGTTGATTTTGCAAAGCTATGATTGCCGACCGAGTTATCCTTCTGCCCGGTGTACGGGTGGGTCGTCGCGCTGTGTTGGGATCCGGTACTATGACAACTCGGGATGCTTACTATGAAGAGCGCTCAACATGGATGGGTAGCGGTATGTTGTATTATATATCTGTCTGCGGACTGTGCACTGACCTCGAAGTTAAGATCGCGGTCAGGCTATCTGCTTCAGCAAAGGTTCAAAGGACCCCGATCCAACTAGCGATACGACGACACCGTTTGGAAAGGCCTTCTATAGACGCCAAGCTGATTACTTTGTCCTTCCTTATTCCATCCTCCTGCTTATCAATGTCTTCGCTGCCTCATGCTCTGCCGCTTTCTGGTCGATCAGTGCCGTCGCCACAGCTCAGGTTCTTCGACAGTTACATATCCATTTCCCGGAGGTCCATTTCTTCAGCCCCGTGTGGTACCGTGTCGTCGTGCTCTATGGTCTCATCGCTATCGGTTTTGCCGTCGTGCTTAATCTTCAAGCTCTGGCCGTTATTCTGTGGGTAATCGTGACCAAATGGATAATTATTGGTCGCCGGAACGTGGGAAAATACGAATGGGATAAGAGCAGTTACTGCCAGAGATGGCAACTCCATCTGGTCCTTTCCCGTCCGCTCTACAAGGGGTACGGAAATGGAGGAATCCTACTCCCCATGACGGGAACTGTTTTCATCGTGTGGTATCTGCGGGCGTTGGGTGCTAAGATCGGCAAGAATTGCGCTATATACGTCGGTGGCAAAGCTGGTCTGATGACCGAACCCGATCTGGTCGAAGTAAAGCGTCCATCGTGTTCTATAGAACAACCTCCACTAATGACGATCTAACTACAGCTTGGCGATGATGTGTCCCTAGACAACTGCTCGGTCGTGGCGCATATCAACTCGAGAGGAAATTTCGCGCTTAACGGCCTGAAAATCGGTACTGGGTGAGCTGTTCGGTTCACTGGTACTATAGAACATTCTCTCACGCGAGATCTCGTCAGTTGTGCTATGCGAAGTGGTTCCAGATTGCTTTCGGGTGCTTCCATGGAGGATAGCAGCATGCTCTGTGAGCACACGCTTTTGACATCGGGCGAAGTCGCCGAGTCGGGTGCCGTATATGTCGGTTGGCCTGCGAGACGGGTCGACCACTCCAAATCATGGCGGGGCTCGAAGGAACGAACCGAAGTGAGATGAACTACTTCTTGTGTTCATTGTGAGTGTATATCAGGCTCGTCGCGGCGGAAACGAGTGTCTATGAATGTTTACGTTCATATTAACCATGCTGCTGTGCCATTTAGAATAAATGCTACACACTCATTTGTATCCCCTCTAACAAGCACTTATCTTTAAATTTCACCTGCATTGACACTCTTTCCTTGGGCGTCTACTCGAGGTTTGTAGATTTGCGGATTAATACAAGAATAATATGTATTGCAACGCTTTCTTGGTTAGACACCAAGTTTGTCGTTTGGAATTGATTCTATAACATTTTCGTATACTGCAATTGTCAGACAACTTACCACCACATGCTTTCTCGATTCAGGTTTGTGGTTCACGGATGGACGCGCTGGCGATTTGACCTGTCGTTTCGAGGATTACTTGTCCAGTTATCTGCCTAAGAATTCCGGCCCATATGAAAATTGTGCGTGCTGACTTTCAGATAACACGTATGCTGTCCCTGATGGATATGGGGTTATCATAGCAACTCGGGGTCGTCCATCTTTTAGTCGATAAAAAACCGATACCCTGTACGTGTGGTCTTGGCAAGGTCAGACTCGAATGTCGTTCCGCGCCACCCTAACCAACTATGCTCTAATATCCGTGAACTTCGCGCAGCAGCGGATTAACTAGAGTCAGGATGCATGGTAAAATGAGCCTAAAAGCGCCCCCGAGGCGTGAGAAAGTGAACCAATGACGACGTGAAATTTAGATTACTAAGGTAGGTATGTTATTGAATCACAAAAGATTCGAGTTATAACCAAAAGCCGTTCAATGAATGAATACTAATCGATAATATTCAACTCCCGCTTCCTAGCCTTGGCAAACTCATCCTTGTGGGAATCCCAAATCCTGGGTCATCATTCAGAACAATCCGCTAAGAGCTCGGGGAAGAAAAAAAGCGTACCGCTGCAGTTCCGCGATGTAGAGAGTTTGGATGCGCTGGACTTCCTCTATGTCTGGTTGATTGACTTGCTTCACGGGAATGGGACGTCCGACTGAGGGTAAAACATATTAGATAAAATCTGTAGTGGAGCACACCACATGCAGGTTCAAAGAACTTACCGACGGCGGTAATTCTTCGCCTATACGGGAGAAGACCAAGGTTATCTAACGCATCACTTGTCATCGGGGCGCCGAGGGAGAAGAAACAGACAACAGACAATTGAGCATCCCTCTTCCATGGAACAGCGGCAAAGTAAAGCCAAAGATCGCCTGAAACTTCTTCTGGAACATGTAGGTGGCAGTTCCCTTCTCGTTGGGCATTTGAGAAAAAATCTGATGGGAATTATTGTTCAGCTGTCCGGATTTTCATGGGAAAAAATAAACCGACATCGTTTTCTCCGAAAGAGAAGACCGGCACAAGGTCCGCTCTGGATGAATGAATAAGCCAAACGTTGATGAAAATATGGAAAAGAGACCTACCCTTCCTGAATCGCAATTTTGATAAACCCTAGTCTATTGCGATTTCGAAATTTTTAAAAAAAATAGATAGCAACGATTACGGTAAGATGACGTACCGTTTACGAAGAGTCAGATCGGCGGTTCCTGGGTGAGCGCTCAGACTCTCGGCGGCCCCTCCGACGACGATAGTGATAGACTGTCCCGGTCCGCTGTGTAGGATGTTACTGCACGACTTCTTGTTCACGCTCCCCATTCCCAAATGTATCATCAGTTCTCGATAGAATGGAAGCTTAAAGTTGCTCGAAAGGGTGAGAAGATGCGTTGTAATTCCAGGGAACAGTTTGGGGAAGCCAGTCACTACACATTTCCCAAATAAAAAAAATAAAACAATGAGTTCGTGAAGGCAACATACCATCGGTACCGAAGTTTGCAAAAGCCCCCCTGGAGATGACCTTGAGCTTGGCGGGAACGTAAAATAAACCAAAGCTGAACGACAAACGTACATGCCAATGATTCCTGTTCGTAACCTGTTCAAGAAATTTTAAAACATTTGTAGTGAGCATGTCGACATACCATGTGGATGGTAACCAAAAACATAAGTTCGATTTGGCGGTAAGTCTGCCTCCTAGATGCAATGGTCAAGGCCCGCATTTCCTCGTCAACGACGGACGGACCTTCAAGCATCTGGAAAACTGTCAACGTAGGCCCCGAACAGATCAGGAAGTGCCGTCCTCACGTAATAGGATAGTATGCCACGAAATACCTCCACCACGCACACCGGCGGTACCAGTGCCAGACCCGCCCTCCGTGCTCAGGCGATTTGTCAAGGTAATGCACCCAAATCGTATAGCAAGTAAGAAGAGGCCACAACGGCGGAAAGGAACTGGATCGCCGTGTCAGCTCCGTCCTCCAAAACTGGGATACCAATGACACACGCACCACAGAAAGATGAACAGCGTGCAGGATCCGACTATCAGAATCGACCAAATGGACACTGCCAGCATTTCCAGCCTCCGTTGGGCCGGTATCGAGGATGGAACAAAGCTGCACGACGCCCATTTCAGCACACCGCCCAAACCCAACGAAACGGTACGAACTCGATATTGTCATGAAGAGACTTCTTTACTGGCAGTAGCGGTGTCGTTGCGAATCCCGAGAGCCTCTTCCGAAGTGACGGCTTCGACAGCGGTGGTGACTGCTTCGTCGACATTTCCGTGGTTGCGGTGCCAAGAAGAAATTTGTCCGCTACTCTGTTTTGCCAAATTTCTGGGGATGATGCCCTACACCGCGTTCAGGACTGCAGTAATTTGGGAACAAGTACCATATTTCCACGTGGCAATCTCCGCGGCAAGAAATTACTCATAAAGCACATGTAACGAGCAATAACATTGACATTGGATCGTCTACCACTCATCTCATGAAATTAAAAACGTACAAAAACAAGAGGGTCGAAGATATACAGTCCTTTTTTCTTACGCATACAAGTCATCGTCAGCATTCTCCTCCGTAAATCCTGCATTGCCCGAAGCGACACCAGCCGTAGAACCAGAAGGCCCACCCTCGGGGAACTTGAAGTTGTTTCCAAACCCTCTCGACTGTTGCAGATTCTACAAGGAAAAGTCAGTTCACTTCAGGTTATCGGAAACAGACATAGCATACCTGAGAGAACATCTCATAACGTCGAATGTCTTGGTCGGAAACCGAACGACGGGCATACTTCATCGCCTCCTCAAAATGCTCCCTGCAAGAAGTCTTAAACATGCAATGTCTCCACTGAAGATCTATGCGTTTACAAACCTTGTGATTTGGGGGACGGGGTCCTCCTCCTCCACATCTTCTTCCATCTTGTCATCACCAGCAGCCTCCTCCTTTTCTTGCCTTTCCCGTGTCCTCCTAATATCCGCGTCGATGGACTCTCTGATAGCCAACTTTGCAGCACGTTGACAGATTTCGGTCAAATCCGCGCCGGAGAAGCCGTGCGTGTTCTTCGCCAGGAAACTAAGGTCAACTTCTGGGGAAACAGGCGACTTCTTCAGTGTAGCCTTGAGGATGGACAGACGAGAAGGCTCGTCAGGAAGAGGGATGTAAATCAACTGATCAAGACGACCAGGACGAAGCAGCGCCGAGTCTATCTGATCAGGTCTGTTCGTCGCGCCAATAATGAAGACGTTTTTCTTCGTGTTCATCCCATCCATCTCGGTGAGAATCTGATTCAGCACACGGTCACCTGCACCACCAGCATCCCCCGACGAGCCACCACGAGCCTTGGCAATCGAATCCAATTCATCGAAGAACATGACACACGGTGCAGCAGCCCGAGCCTTATCGAAAACGTCACGAACGTTGGCTTCAGACTCACCGAACCACATCGTGAGCAACTCGGGTCCCTAAAAGATCGTTCAAGACTTATTTGCCAAGGCACCAAGCAGAATCAGCGAACCTTAATACTAATGAAGTTGGCGTTGCATTCATTGGCAATGGCCTTCGCCAAGAGCGTCTTACCGGTACCAGGAGGGCCATAGAACAAGACACCCTTCGACGGCGACATGCCATACTTGATGAACTTCTCGGGGTGATCCACTGGGTATTGCACGGTCTCCTGCAGTTCCTGCTTGACCTTTTCCAAACCACCAACATCGTCCCAAGTGACGGTAGGCACTTCGACAACAGTTTCCCGAAGAGCAGAAGGATTCGATGTGCCCAATGCGAATCGGAAGTTGTCCATGGTAACACCGAGAGAGTCGAGAACTTCGGCATCAATGGTATCCTCGTCAAGGTCGATCAAATCCATCTTTTCACGAATTTGCTGCATAGCTGCCTCCGAACAAAGGGAGGCCACGTCAGAACCAACGTAACCGTGGGTGTCCGCGGCGATCTATAAAACATTGTAGCTCAATGACCGTTTAGAAAAAGCAGGACTAGCATACCTGCTCGAGGTCAACGTCGTCGGCCAATTTCATGTTCTTGGTGTGTATACGCAAAATTTCGAGACGGCCAGTAGGGTCAGGGATACCGATGTCGACCTCACGATCAAATCGACCGAATCGTCGCAAAGCAGGGTCAATAGAGTTAGGTCGGTTGGTCGCAGCCATAACCACAACGTTAGACCGCGCCTTCAGTCCGTCCATCAGTGTAAGCAGTTGGGACACAACACGACGCTCGACTTCTCCATTGGTCTTTCAAACAAGTCAGTCACGAGTATATAGATGAAGCCTCGTAAGATGCACCTTTTCACGCTTAGGAGCGATTGAATCGATTTCATCAATGAAGATGATAGCAGGCGAGTTCTTCTCGGCCTCTTCGAATGCCTTCCTCAAATTACTCTCACTCTCTCCGGCCATCTTACTCATGATTTCGGGACCATTGATCAAGAAGAAGAAAGCGCCAGTCTCGTTTGCAACCGCCCGTGCCATCAACGTCTTACCCGTTCCGGGTGGGCCGAACATAAGAATACCGCGGGGAGGTTTGATACCAATGGATTTAAAAAGTTGAGGATGACGGAGCGGTAGCTCGACGAGTTCACGAATCTGAGCCATCTGCTTGCGGCATCCACCAATGTCATCGTATCCGACGTCATTGAGATTTGATTCCTCGTCCTCACGCTTGACAGGGTCTCCCTCTGGAGCATAGGAATGAGTGAGAAAGATATCTGGTTAGTTCAGACAAAAGCTTACCGGTATGAATGACAGTATCCTGCGCGACTATACAGAATTCGGCGGGGTCTGTTTCGATGACTTTGAATTCGACAGTTCGCATGCCTCCTCGCACAAGGAAGGTGTCACCCTTCCGGACGGGTCGGTAAGCTGTGAAAGGTTAGCGTCGAGAAAGATAGTCAATCGCGACGCGTACCTTCAAGGAAGTACGGTTTGAGGTAAACGTCAAAGATATTGCCACTGAGACCCTCAACGGAGTCATCAAACGGTAAAATATGGACTCGTTTTCCGTATTTGATATCGAGACACGGGTGAACATTGACGAGATCACCGAGTTTGACTCGCAAATTGTTACGGGCGACCTTGTTCATCTGGATTCTCCCTTCTTCGACATCATCGGAACTTAGGCAAATCAAAACGGTATCCCGTCGCTTCTTGCCGCTGTGCTACTATTAATTCTGAGTTCAACGATAGCGGTAGGTACTTACCGGATGATGATAGTGTCACCTCGGAAGAGAGACAAGGTCTCCATCGTAGCTGGGTTGATGGTCGCGACTAGAGAGATGCGATTGTTAATGCTTCATCTCCCTGCAATGGGCACTGTCACTCACCAGAGTTGTCGTCTGCCGACGACTCATCAACAATCAAGCGATTTGGCCTGGCGAGGCGTCCGGATTTCAGTACACTTCACCGGAAATAATCCAGGACCACTCACGACTTCTTGGGCCGCAAAATAGCAGTTGAAATGTCATTGGGACCGGGTTGCGGGGGCGCACCACTAGGATCAGCCATTATAATGGAATCGGAGTAAAGAAATAGTAGGAGAGATGAACGTTACAAAGAAAAGAGGTGGGACGCGCGTCCACGACGTTAGTGTCTCTGGCAAATAAGCACAAAGAAAAACACGTGGGGCCCCCTTCCTGCTGTTTCTGGAAGTTACTGCTACTGTCTCGAGTACCGCAGGCGAAGTAGAGACAAGCAAGAGACAGATTGAAACCATCACTGACACGAGGGGGTGCCAGTAACATAATATTCTTTTAAAGGATACATTCACATTTCTTCGTCAAAGTCGATTTCCTCAGCAGGGAAATCACCAACTTGCACCTTCTCTGGTCGTACAAAAATACCATACTTTGGCCGGCATTCAAAATATCTTTTCCCTTGTATTCTGAGAATATTTTCAGTGGTTGTATCAAGGACGCTGTGAAGAGCGACTTACGACCCATCATTCTTACCAAAAGGCTCATCATACTCTACCCCTACCCATATCCCTTCACCAGACCCAAATTTTGTTGGCCCAACGAAACGTACGGTCCCTCGCTTACTGAACCCAGGTTCTGAGGATTCAATTTCGCATCGAGAGCCTATAGGGATATTGATTTCGGGAGTGGACTGTATCTTGACTTCGTCCTTAGGCGCAAATCTACCCACTTGGTGGCGTTGCTTATATGCCAATACAGTATCTGACGCGTTTTGATGGGTACGGCATATATGATATCACTTCATTTGTTGCACCTCACCTGGTCGCGCTGCGTACTCTGCTTCCGTTAGCTCGAACTTGTCTACTTTTGAAGTGTCTGTTAATTGCCCCGTAAATGATGTCGAAGGGTCCAAATCATCTACCTGACGCAATCAATCCCTCCGCGATAATATATACGACAGGAACGCGCATACTTTCAATACTTGTAGGCTTCTAACGCCGTAAAAGCCCAGCGGCTTGCTATCATCGGACAGTTGCGCAATGATTGTAGGGTCGCTATCCGAATTTAACAGAGATATAGACTGATTTGCAACCGGAATGCCCGTAATCAGTTCCAGCTTTCCCTAGCGGAACAATGTCAACGGTTTTGTCGCCCCGGTAGTAATCATCATCTAACCTTTAATTGTCCGATTGTTGTGTGGAGTTCGAGTCGCCTTTCAGATCGAGTATCAGGGGAGACCACGAATATGTTCACGACACCTGAAGACATGATTCTCGTGAATGAGAGTGGTAAAATTCCTCTATCATTGAAATTCGGCGCGAATTCCGTGTTAGACAACGGTCACGTGCATTGATTGCCTTAGGGCGACGTTCAATTTTTTCATCAACTTGATTTTAAAGGATGATTGCAAACGTGGGGAAAAGTAAATGTATGCTAAGGCACCGGCCTCGATCGACAGAACACAGTAACTGCCGTGAGTATCGAAACAAGTAATTACATGCTCGCTATCGCACTCGTGTCTCAGAGATACAACTGAATTACGCAAGTATCGACAGGGCTCAACCATCTCCCTCGCATTAGTCTGCTAGGTCCTCAAATCTTCGCGAAGACCGTGACGATTATGCTTTCCAGAAGCGAATTCACGTAGACTTCTTGTACAGAGAATTGATAGCGAGGTTGTAGGCACACTTCTACGGAAGTGGACAGTGTTAATATATCTTCTAACATATTCGCATTCTTGAAAAAGGCGAGACCCAGCAGTCCTGTTGCGAGTATAAAACTTATTATGCGGATATCGCAAGGATCGCGACCTATCTGTCGACGTTGTCGCACCCATCACTCTGGACCTAGCTGATCAGTTTTCTCTCCATTGGTGCGTGCAAGCCGTGCATCTGCTCTAGAATCAGTATTGGCAGTGCCTAGAGCACAGGTAAATCTCACCGATAGACTGCAAGAGTAATGCGGTTACATTAAACAACTACCAAGAGATGAGGACGTAGTGAACGCACAGGTGGTCATAGGTTCGTCTGCAGAACGGATCTGAAGCTGATAGAAATATGCCTTGTCGTTGTTACATTTACCGCACGAAGCTGTAAAAAATTGAACTCATGGCGTACACAGATTTCAGAGGGCAGACAGCACCTTGTGTCGCATCCGCATGCTCCCATGCTTGATCTCCGCCAAGAACATCGTCTATTTCTTTTCGTTTTAGTCTTGTTCTTGAAGTCATCTGCAGGGCGACGTCAATCGATGGAGGGGGGATGCAGAGATCTGTATACCTGCTTTGTTATCGGGAACTCGTATGGACAGGTGTTGCACGCCCATTTGTTATATCCCTTTTCTGAAGAAATTACCAAGAGATTCGCACAGGTTGGGCAGAACAGCATCACAGCCGACGAGGCGTAATGGCAGTGGAAAGCAAAAATGTCCGTGACGTAATTCGATCTTGTCGGCTTCCGGGCCGACTACTTATTGAGGCCTGCAGCGGCGGCGGAACATATCTTAACCTGAACTCTCATTCTCGCTTGCCTACCCCTAAGTAATAATGTTCGGTTTCCTCAGAAATAACAGAGCAGGATCTTCACGCACCTGTCTGTCCCAGGCTCCTCCTCAATGGTCTGCTGCTCCTGAAGTTCCAGTACAGTGCCACATCTCATTCTTTAAGAATCTCTGCTCATATCTGTAACATAGTACGAATATGGCTTATACAACGAGGCTTCCGAACAGGAATACGATGATGCGGAAGATTTTTGTAATAAATATCCTGTACAGCTGCCTAGAATTCTGCCCTCTTATGTCGTCGAAAAGATCAGCAACAACGGCTGCCGATCTTGGGGCATAGAAATGCCTCCTCCTGGATCTAGATTCTCTGGTACAATCCACAACATCGACACCAAACCAGACTCCAAAACTCCCCCGATTGTCAGAGTACGCACCGACAGGAATTGTCGTGATTACTGCCTCCTCAGTGACCTTCCTGTGATGGCTGGACTGTACGAAACTCCTGGAAAAGTGGGCTTCTACTATGAAATCCTTATCCACCGGATGGACGGGTTTCTTGCCATCGGTGAGCATCTAAAGTACTTCACATCACACTTGAGCTGACAACTCCCCTCGTAGGCACTGCATGTCAGCCTTATCCGACATGGCGGCTACCAGGCTGGAACCGTCTAAGTGCAGGCCTACACCTGGACGACTTCAGGAAGTTTTTCGAAGACCCGAGTGGTGGCCGTGACTATACCAATGCCCTACAACGCATCTCGTCTGGAGATACGATAGGGTGTGGCTTCGAGTTTCAGACCGGGTCCCTATTCTATACATACAACGGTATTCGTCTCCCAAATGCGTTCACTGGCATCTACCTTCCCCGCCACAATCACGATGTATATGCGGCTATCGGCGTGGAGGGGTTGTGCGATTTCGACGTGAACTTCGGCGGCGAGCTGGTCAAATGGCCCGAAGGGAACGAGTGGCAATGGAAGCTCGACGGGATTATTAGGAGACTTGGATATCCATGTAGCGGAAATAGTTTTGACGAGGAATTACCCTCTTACAGCCGGACGTAACCTAGCAATCGAGCTCGAATTACCAAGTGTTCTTCGTATTGAGTGCAGAGCCCGTACATCAAGTAAAAGCAGATACGACTATTCAATAGCGAATTGTGATTCCATCATAAGGACCACTGTTATCTTGTATATCGCCAGAGAAAATTGGTCTCGACAGCACTATCAGTACATTCGTGTGAAGGGTTTTCTTGCCCTGAACATGCGATCTTCCTATCAACACGTCTCCCGGCCGTCAAAGCTCAGTGTATCTGGACAAGAGTTCCAATTGTTGTTGTCTTCAATATGAATCTCGCCGGAAGGGTGGCGGAATCCCAGAAGTTTCGCTGATTAATTCTGTCCTCAGTGTGAACTCTCACTGTTGTATCTACAAACCTGGCAACGCCAAGATGAAATCTTTCTAGAGCGTTAAGATTGATACCGTCAGAAATCCGAAACGCAGGCTGAGGCTCACTTATTATTGACGTGTGTGAGGTTCCCAGCCAGAGCAGAATCCACGTAGTCTGCAGACTCTTGATTTCCAACCTGACATCGTGAGAGGAGAAAAAGACTTAAAATAAAGATCCATAGAAGGTACTTGAACGTACGCGAGGCATGCCATAACCGATCATCTTGAAAGTAGCATTCGTCAATTGGAGAGGGAGATACACAGCATCCAAGAGTGATAGTGCGGCGGCTGAGGGACAAGTCAATTAGCTTAGAACGGAGACTAGGTGTACAACAAACCGAGCGAATGTCCAACAAGTGTTACGCTGTTGGCGTTATGATCAGACAAAGCGGCTGTCACAGCTCGTAAGATATCTTTCGCGGACCTAGGTTGAGGCCAAAATATAAGTAGACACAGGAACAGATCTGAGGAGCCAGCTGATTTTCCCTGGGTCTCCTTGAATCCGCTGTGAACTTGGATATGAGAACTGAGGGAAAAGGTCAAAATCCAAGTTGGTAGGCAAAAAGTCGACGTCAGTAAGTAGAGATTCGCTGGGAGAGTATAAGAGAAAACGACTACGATGAAAATATAACTGGGACATCTCAGTAACAAGAGTGCCTTGATGAGCTACGGTCACCGTCTCCGCCAGATGCGATGGGGATGGAATCCGGGTTTCTCGTACAAGGAACTAAGTTTTGAATCAATGCCAAGAATACTCAGATACAAATCAATGGTACTCACATCCGCAATCCCAGTTAATAGTAGTACTAGGCTGACAATACGCTGTACTAGCAAAAAATGTGTACGGTTTGTACGCTGTGATTTGGTCGTCAGTAACGACAGTAAGATAAAAGCGGATGTGGAAGGCGGAAGGGTTCCCGCTTAGTCCAAGGACCTGAAAGATCGGGAGAAAGGAGACATGTCTGAAGAGGAACATGATGAGGTGACGGTTGGCGGGAGTAGTAACCAGCCTTTCATTAAATATATCGCGCAACTTCTCATTGATGAGTCAAAATTGCAATGTAACAGGAGACTGGCAGAGAGATGTGTGATGATCAAAAGGCGCAGCGGGCCAGTGTGTGATACCAAGCGTTAGGCGCTCGTAAGTCGCCAGTTCGTTGTGAACAAGAGATTTATGATGTGGAAGAAAATCTGACAGAATAGTTCGGCTGCACATTTTTTCACAAGCCGACCAGCTAAACTGAGACGATCATTATACATGTCGACGAAGAGGCAAAAGAATATCAAGATCCTGATCTTCCGGAGATGTTGACTAGCAGTTCCGATTCGACCTCTGTAGGCGCGACAGATTATACAGCATCTCGGTCCAATGGGGAGAAAAGCTGTTAGGCGTGCTACAGCCCAGCATGATGAGCATCAGGATAGCAGGCAGTGTCACAAAGTAGTAAGGATCTCCAAGAATGGGCCAGCAGCCTGCAAACGGTCTTGATGTGACGAAAGGGTTGAGCACTGAGCAGCCCTCCAGTATTTGTTAAACTGAACACATTGGTTGTCGCTCCTCTCGTATTTCAAGGTCTACTAGCACTGAAGGTCGCGACTCGCCATTGGCAGCGAAAGTTGATATTCGGAAGGAGTCCGGATGCTCACGTGAGTCACGTGATTGTTCCATTTCCTATGGCTTCGCCTCAACGTTTCCCTCCTTCTGGGATTCCATCCCTTGGAAACGACGGCTGTGTGCCGAAACCACGACATACAAAACTTTGTATGCGAAGGTCGAAATTGGAGTTGATCCTACTTGACTTTGATTACTTAACTGAGCCCGTCCCTGCTGCTATTCTCAAAATAATACTGAGAGCATTTTGCCTTGAGAGGATAGCTTCCCTCGATCCTTAAAAGACATTAAGTACAACATCATTCTCCCCATAAACAAAGCATCGACAGGCTGCATACGCGACGAAACGGATAGGGAACAATGCGTTCAACAGCTTGAGTCCATTTCGACACCGTCATAGGGTCCGTCATGGTCATTTAAGTCACCAACAAGTATGCTACTGACATCCCCAACAGTACATCCCTTTTCCGGGTTGTCTTGACCTGCAATTTTTTCAGCATAAGTGAGGTAGAATGCAAAACGTGCTCTTGCCTGGGCAGGAATTCCAGTCGTTGTCGGAATCGATATGGATCTCTCCAGAAGGCTGATGAAATCCTAGAGCCATCCCTACGTGTTCAACCAAAGTCAATATATCTGTCGCGCATACAAATGTCATAGCACACCAGGCAGAATTGGAACAGGATCCTGCCTAAAAGGATTCACCGGTTAGCCTCAAAGAATGCCTGCGAATTTTGGGGTGAAACACGCCTACTTGTTATTTATGTGTGAAATCTTGCCGGGAAAAGAAGCATCCAGATAGTCGGCGAATTCTTGGTTCCCTACCTATGCATTGAAAAGTGGGTCAAGCACGCTGAAACTGTGGAGTAGATTCATATACTAACCCGAGGCAAACCATAGCCAATCATCCTGTATGAAGCATCTAAGTGGAGGGGAAGATAGACAGCGTCCAAAAGCGACAAAGCAGCCCCTGAGAAAAATGTTTCCATTTAGATAATGTCTATACTCGAAAGTCGAACAACGGACCGAGGGAATGTCCAACAAGGGTTACATTGTTCGTACCGTATTCTGACAAAGCAGTAGTGACGGTGCTTAAGATATCCTCCGCCGACCTATACAAGGATAGAAGATAGAAGGCACTGCAAGCGAGCAGGTATCATCATGTAATGGACTCACCTGGCCTGGGAATCTCTGAAACCACTGTGAACCAAAATATTAGAGCTAATTCCAGGGAAAAGATCGGGGTCCAAAGGAGACAGCGCGAAATCCCCATCGGTAAGGAGCGATACACTGATATTGTAAGATAAACGGTGAGCATTCTGAGGCGGACGTGTCAAAGACATATGACACCCACATTTGTGAAGGATCCGTCCCTTGGTGGGCAACTATGACCGTCTACTCTGTCCCGTCAACATCATACGTGATCCGAACCAAATGGAATGCCGGAACGTACGGATAACGAAGGGGAATAGCCAACATACCCTACAGGCTTCAATGAATGGAGTACCGTAAATAAGCACAACGACAACTTACAAAATTGCACATCACCTCCATCACCCCCAGACGCGACGGGCTCAAAGTCTGAGTTTGCTTCGCAATCGGCTTTCAATGAGCAAGTCAAAACAATATCAATGAAGAGAAGAATGCATGATAGGTACATCCGCAATTCCACGCCAAAGTCGCGTTGGGTTCGCAGTATCCTGCACTGGCAAAGAACGTGTACGGTTTAAACGCTGTGATTTCTGCTGAACTTAGGACAGTAATCCCTTGACGAGGATGTAGAGTAGCCTGGACTACTAGAGCGATTCTAAAGATCGTGGGTAGGCCAAGGAGGGCAAAGATGGGGGTCTTCATTCCTCTGGGGGAAAGGATGAAATATTCGGTGTCATTAAACCAGTCTATATATGAATGGCTATACCTTTCTTCCAGAGAAGGGCGAAAACAAGCGGCATGATGAGTAGAGGTTTGTTTACACATGCATCTGCTGATCTCGCAGTAACTGCCTGTGCGAAGTCTTACGGAGGTTTTAAGTCCAAACTCAGAGGCAGGCCTAATAGCAGTTCTAAGAATATACCATGTTACGTTGTCTGAGATAGCCATATGGACCACCAGGATCTCTACATCGTAGAAGACCAGACTTAGATAATGCAAATGGTGATCGTAGATGTCGTGAACCCCTAGATACCGCGTTCAAGTCAAAATAGTTGTGTTCATTATAAGTACTAAGTAATGTATAACTCAACAGTTTCCGAATCTTCCGTATCTGCACCCTACAGTCCAAGAAGTACATCAAGGACCCCACCAACATGGAGACATAACAAAGCATAACGGCTGCAATGAGGACAAAAGATCATTGGATATAACCATCACAAACGTTTGTATCATTCAATTTGGACGGATCACGTGTGAGGAAGCCCAGTTTAACGCCTTCCAGGTATGACCTAGAGCATATGAGATCAGCATGCAGTTTGATCATGGAAGACACATTCGCACTGACCATTGTCTGGCGAGATCACCGGCCAGAGTTGATATCTCTACCTTGAAGTTCCAGAACTGAACGAGACGGAAAGCCATTACACATGGGAAGTGATATAAGGTGGGCTGAAACTCACGATCCAACCAGCGCCTTTGGTGTAGGCCAGCTTCTGAGCATCCGCCCACTTGTAGAGGAATTCGTCTGTAGCATTGAATTGCGTTGATAAGCCCCATTCTGGAAGTAAGGTCAATCAAAGGAAAGATTGTTGAACACATGTTGCGAACCTCCGAATACAAGCGGGCTGTTGCCTAATGCGGCATCAGCTTGTACGCGTTGAAGGTCTGCTCCATGGTTAAACAAATATTCATGGATCTTCTCATCACGTCAACTTACTGCAAATACTCTCCAGGTACGCCTGTTCATTTGGGTCTGCGACACCCTATAATATATTCTCTACAATCATGCAAGGATCGCAAAATGATCAAAGATCACCCACCCCGAACCTAAAGGATCCTATGAGGACAACGGAAAATCACGGAACGGTCAACTCACGAATAGTATAGATGGTTGTCATAGATTTGAGGTCCTATTTGTGCGTCACTTGGGTTGGGGGGGTTGTCGTATTGCCAGTTGATGTCCATGAAACTAATAAGCTATTTGAGAACCATTGTTGTATCAATACGTAAGAGATATACCTTGTGTACAAGGGCTCACGACTGGAGTGGGGACTAAACCGTGTCATGCTGTCCAATGCGAGTTCCGTAATAACCTCGACGAGGATCGGCACTGCTTCCAGGAGGGCGGACTGAACTTCGGGAGTAAAATTTGGCAAAGATTCTTCCAAAGCTACTGTGAAGTTCGTCGTATCCGTAGGGGCTATCTTCGTCCCAGACCAAGGAACATCGATGCCTAAAGTAAGTTCGACTGCTCGCACTACCTGAACGAAATTTTTCTGGACTATTCATAGTGGTTTTAGTACGGAAAATACAAGAGATGCTAAGAACGCACAATCGCCATATCCTGGAGTCTGAGTAGCATTCATGATGGGTTCATTCACGGCTTCGATGGCAACAACACTGCCGAAGTCGGGATCAAGGTGGGAAAGCGCGGTCATAACAGCAGTCCAAACAAGGGCACGACGATAATTATAATCAGTCTTGTAAAGATTGCTCAGTATCTGGCGCATCTCTTAGAAATGACGTAACTTACGTAGAACTCAACGTCGGATGTACACCTAAATTAAATAATGTTTAGGAGTATATAATTCATTCAGGCGACAAACCTTCCGGTAAACATTTGATTCGGAGTCTGAACGCCCGGAAGGGCGTGATGGTCAAGAATTGCGATGATACCAGAATCCTTCAGCTGCCTCAATCCTCGTTTCTACACATACTTGGTCAGGCAATCCCCAACGAGAGTCTGGGGAACGCACAAGCTGGTGTATACCTCCTCGCGGATAGAACTCGGTCTTCCGGTCGACAAGAGCTTCAACGATCCAATAGCCCAACTGATCGGTACAGTTAACATACGATCATCCGCATAGAGAAGTTGACTCACCGGAATACGAACGGTATTTATGCCTACTTCCATGAGGTCATGGACATCGTCTTCGTTGAACCACGAAGACCTATCATGGAAAAGGTCAATACCGGCCCAGATAAAAGCATATTGTCTGTTACCAATGCATGTTGAATATTCCATCTACTGTGTCAGGGTATGCACGAGCAAATGCGCTGGTGTTGAGATACATGAGGCCCACTAGGGAATGAATGAGGGAGAAAAGATAGTACAATTCTGTCGCGATACACTGGGAGCAATCACTGCATTGTTGACCGCCCATACGGATCCACTCTATGGATTGAGATCAGTGTGGTTGTAATCAGTCAATGCAAAAACGAAGATACCTGCTGGTAACATCCAAGACTCGAGAACAAGCCTACGAAGGGATGACATGGGATGACGCGTAAATAAACATTGATAGGGCGCACCAGGACCCTAGATTCACACCGTATATTTTGCTGGGCAAGCGAGCATGCACAGAAATAGAGAGAAAGGAAAAGAGTGACACGTAGAAGATGTAGTACATGGGGAGGTACATTGAATGACAGGTCAAGCCTAGGAGTCGGCTTTTTAAAGGCCACAGATCGCTCCTATATTCAAGCTCCCTCATGTGTCTATTTCGCGTCATGACAGGCTTCTCTTACCTTTGAGCGTTCTTCATTTGGCCCGTCAGGCGAAAATAAGTGGAAGTAAATCAGAGCTTCCCGAACCGAGCAGCGCGAAGCCTAAACCAGCGCGCGCTCGTACAACATATGTGGGGAAAATGCGGGAGCTTGATGCGCCTCGAGTGGTAAGCAGAGCGATCATTGCATCGATATCGACCAGAGAAACGAATTCTCTATCTGAATGGTAGCTCCAAAAAAAAAAAAAAAGAGCTTTCTCCCGCCTTCCCGATAGAGCCATTCAGCTGAAGAAACCGCTTGAGAGAAGCTCAGAAAAGGAGCCACAATAATTCGGTTCAATGAGGCTTTTACTGGTCGAGTCAGAGCACAAGAGACATAAAAAGTTAGAGATTCAACGATAACGCGCCGTACGCGCATTCTCTTGTAAAAGTGACGCATCACACAGAGGAAACAGTCCAAAAACAGGTCCTGCAATAGTGTGGTTGAGGAGGAAAGGATATTTCACGCTCCGATTCGACCGTGATCGCGTGATCATCAGTTGTTCCTTGCCAGTTTCCACATGGCTCACGACTCTCGTCCTCTTCAAAGGAAAAACTCTGAAGAAGAACCGAGTTCCATTGTTCGCAGAAGAGCAAGCTTTTCTGGAGAACCGGAGTGGATAGGCATCTTCACACAGAGGACCCAGCGCCAGGCCTCCCAATCCTTCTCAGGCTGGCTACCCCACAAGCGCTTCCTCAGTCCTGCAATTGAACAATGTCCCGGAATGATGGCAAGTAGAGATCTCAAGAAAATCTATACCCACATTCACAACGTCCTACTCTTCGCGGTTTTCTTAAATAACATTTTGTGCTGAATACGAACCAAGACTCAATGTGTAAATTGCTTTCGGCTATATTATTATCGAAGCATAGATTAATACTCCTGGCGCGTGTCTATCAACGTGACTAGCATCTGGGTAGCTCTTATAAATTTGGGAGATGTTTTCCCATTCTTTTCTTTCCTGGGAGACTTCTCGTCATGGTCCGTTTGTTGATCTGTTTGGCTGTCCTTTTTCTCTTTGACTTACTGGTGTCTGCTTCACCGCTGCAACCATCTGTCCTTGATCGGCGCCAGTTGATGACGACGCTGACCTCTGCGCAAGTCTCCGCTTTCAAGCCCTACAGTTACTATGCCAGTGCAGGATACTGCGAGCCATCAACGACGTTGACTTGGACCTGCGGTAGGCAATACCTACCTCGTACGTCACTTTTACTGACTAGTCTATGTAGTCCCTTGCCAGGCCAACCCAGTCTTCAAACCCCTTGGATCGGGGGGTGACGGCGGCGACGTACAGTTCTGGTACGTGGGTTATGATCCCAGTCTTGACACCATCATTGTGGGCCACCAGGGAACCGATAGTTCGAAGATGTCAGTCTTTCCATCCACTTATTCCGCAACCCATTTATGTATTCTTTTCACAGTCTGCCTATTATTACGGATCTCGACTTCTTTCTCACGGACCTCGACAGCAGCTTGTTTCCTGGCATAGACTCAACCGTACAGGTTCACAGTGGCTTCAAAGAGTCGCAGGCTGAGTACGTTTTGCAGTTTGGTTGATTCAACTCTTCGACCAATCATAATTGTCCAGCACGGCTACGGAAGTCCTTTCCTTGGTGAAAACTGCCATGTCGAAGTATTCAACAACCTCTGTCGCCGTTGTCGGACACTCCCTTGGAGGAGCTATTGCTCTTCTAGATGGTGTCTATCTGGACTTGCAGCTCCCTATGGCGTCTGTGTCCGTAATCAGCTATGGCATGCCCAGAGTAAGCGGTGCCTCGTTACTTGTACCTTAGCACACGTTCAACTCGTTGCTCAGGTCGGAAACCAAGCTTTCGCGGATTACGTTGACGCGCATGTGAACGTGTCCCATGTGAACAACAAGTACGCTATTTCCACTGCATTCCCGATTCCAGAGTGGCTTTCTCAAAGAGTTCCAGGAGAGACCCAGTGCCTATCCTTCCAGGTACAAAACGAAATGATAACCCTTCGACCGCTTCATGTCCTGATGAATATATTCTATCCAGGGAGATTCCTGGGATTTCATCATTGCTCTGGCGAGAAGCACATCACCGACTCCAATGCATGGGTCGCCTGTCCAGGTACAGGTTCCTACAACATACTTTTCGACAATCATAATGATTCTCTGCAGGCCAGGACAACGAAGACCGTCTATGCACCGTCGGAGAAGTCAGTAACATTCTGGTGGGTGATGCATTGGATCACGATGGTATGTCTTTCTCTTCATCATCCGGAGTGCTCTTGGTATATACGGCCGTTAGGTCCTTATGATGGAGTAACAATGGTATGTTGATACTCACAATCTACGGTGGCTCTGTTGGAGAGAGGCATTTCGGAGAGCCGAGCTGAGATGTAGTCCAATGTAGCCGGATATATCTCCCAAAAGAGGTAGCTATTCATGTTCTCATCATTCCAGGAATGGTGTATAGAACTTGGCTTCGTAACGAAATAAAGCGGGTAAATTAAAATAGCTTGAAGTCTCTGAATCGTGGTGGGTCTCATGCGATAGTCGCCTTGTTTATATGAATGGTCTAAGTACTCCCCGTTGCAGAGCACTTGAAGAAACCGTATCCGTAGCCCGCTATCACCGAGATATCATAATTAATGATATATCTTCACAAGTCGACCTGGGAGAAACTAGCCACTGTGATCCAATTTCCTTACTTCCTTTCAAATCGACGGTCAGAGTGGCACATAACACCGAGTAAACAGTCCAAAAAGCGGACAATCCGAGCTGAAGCTATGATTTGTGGCTCCGAAGCACATGTTGATGAATCATCCACTGATGTAGGCCTCGCAGATATTGTATCGACTAATTTCCTCCGATTCTTCCTTCTCCTGCAATACCAGGCAGGAAGAACTGAGAAGAAGGGCCCTTGTCCCATTATTTAATCGGCATCACAAAAACGTCTCTGTTGACCCGAACTCCACTGCGTCCGTCCTTCCCGAATCCTGGCAGGGATCTGCAAAACACTTCTTTCTGGCCCTTCACACGAGAGCTCTCCGCAAAAATGATGGCTCCTGTTATGGCGTAGGAAATTCTTTTCTTAGGATCATGGCCACTCTTCATTCTTCCCATCTCTTCGTCGAATCTGACGTCCTGTATTGAGGACCCAATGTGCTAATATCGAAGACATCAAACTACTTGCGCAGCTTTCTATCGCCGGAGCTGCTTGGCCGATATTTACAACACGATGTTATCCTCCGTTGGAGGCGTCCCACTATAGTTCCTTCTTTGAGTCGCTGGGTTGTTCTTTCTCTTGCCTCTTTTGTTTCTGCTTCACCGCTCGAGGCATCTATTATTCATTGGCGCCAGTCGGTAACATACCTCACGCCTGAACAGGTTGCCGCTTACAAGGCTCTAGGGATGCGCACCGTATCCGTACCGTCAGCGGTTTGGGAATCATTTTTTACGGCCATATTTGTATGGGTATTGTACGGGTAGGCGAAATTTGCACGGATACCTATTACTTTGGTATGTAATGAGTCAAACGTGATATGTGTCACTTTAACCATAAAGCTTACCTGCCCTAGGTCACCATCCTGTCATACGATGCCCATATACAGGATGCAGTCAAAACCCGTACTGTACCATCGAGGCCCCTTTCTCATATGGTATACGACCGCCATCGACGAACATTGAACTGGACCTGCAGCATCTCCTTAATGTATCTATGGCACTGATCGGTCTTTAGCGATGCCAACCCTGACTTCAAACCCATTGTGTCGGGAGGCAACGGGATTCGGTACAGTTCTGGTATGTCGGGTACGATCCAAGTCTCGACGCCGTTGTTGTAGGCCACCAAGAAACTTATTGTACGAAACTGTCAGTCTTCCAATCTACTTACATGTTCCGCTGTCCAGTGACTTATTCTTCGTCGCAGCCTAATTATTCTTACCGATATCAACATAATTCTATTGAACCTCAACGACAGCTTGTTCCCCGGAGTCGGCTTAGACGTAAAGGTCCACAGCGGCTTCAAAGAATCACTGGAAGAGTACGTCATTCCAACTTGGTTCGACCAGTTTTTTTTTTTGCTCAAGATGTATAGCACGGCCGAGAATGTTCTTTCATACGTGAGAATTGTCATGTCGACGTACTCCACAAACACTGTCACTGTCGTCGGACATTCTCTCGGAGCGCTATCGCTTCTTGATGATGTTTTTCTCAACTTGCAACTTCCCTCAGTATCTGTATCGGTGATCAGCTACGCGCCAGGCCTCCTAATCCTTCTCAGGCTGGCCACCCCACAAGCGCTTCCTCAGTCCTGCAATTGAACGTTATGTCCCGGAACGATGGGAAGTAGAGATCTCCGGAAATCTATACTATCTTAGAGCTTCACAACGTCCTACTCTTCGCGGTTTTCTTAAATGTCATTTTGTGCTGAATACGAACCAAGACTCAATGTGTAAATTGCTTTCGGCTATATTATTATCGAAGCATGGATTGATACTCCTGGCGCGTGTCTATCAACGTGACTAGCATCTGGTTAGCTCTTATAAATTTGTGAGATGTTTTCCCATCCTTTTCTTCCCTCGGAGACTTCTCGTCATGGTCCGTTTGTTGGCTGTTATGATCTTTGACAGCACAATGATGTCCTGTAGGTCAGGACAACCCGGATGATCAATGCACTGTTGGAGAAGTCGTTAACTTCCTCGAAGGTAATCTTGCGGATCACGTCGGTATGCCCTCTCTCTGCCTTCGTTATTCTCTATCCCTTCAGCTTACTTGTTCATCAGGCCCTTACGACGGGTAATCATAGGATGCTGATAACTGTCATCAATATCGTTTTTCATTTCGTTGGAACTTTTCTAATTTCATGCCCGATTTTTGCCCGCATCAACCTCCTAATTTCTCACACTCTGGAAGACCTCAAGTTCGACAGGCACTGTGCCTCACCCAGGACGCTGAATAAGGGGCACTTCAATAAGAGCGAGCATTATCTAGGATTATATAGACAATAAATCATCCTTAAACATACTTTTATCCGTTCAAACACACCGAGAGCCTCACTCAGGTATGTTCAGAGGCTAACGTCCATTCCGGAATGAGCGATGGCATCATCAGCCTCCTGGTCGTCCTCGTCCTCCGTATCCTTTAAACTCTGTACCACCGCCGGGAGATAATGTTTCAACTTCCACATATTTCCAATCGTCAGGCTCGCGTGGTCGAACGCGTGAACCACGACGCCTTCCTGCTGCTTGGCACCTGAAGATGGTAACTTCGGATATCTCGCCGAGAAGTGAGTAAGAAGGATATTTTCAGCTCGCATCCTACATTGGTTGGTTAGGAGTAGAACGCGGTATGCCGACAGATTGCCTACCGTTTGCCAATACCGACGGCTTGACTGTGAGTACTATGCGCTTTCGCACTGGCGAGCTCTTCTTGGTCGTCTGCCATTGTGGCTTCATGGATAAGTAATGTGGCGCCTTGTCCTGCATAGACGAGAGCGTCCGCTGGGGTAGTGTCGGCGGAGAAGCTGAAAGTTCCGTCATAAGGGACAGTCGATACATCAAAATCCGGTTTCTTACACTATGCTCCAACCATCCAGACTTTTGATGTCAAGACCATAGCACGTCGTTCGGTGACGAACATCTACGGTTCGGAAAGACTTCAAGTTCAACGCGGCACAAAGATCCTTCGCATGCCGCTGAGACCTAAATGGAAAACTGCATTAGGAGAGTCTTAGAGAAGATCATTACTGTACTTCGTACTCATCGATGTCTGTCCAGGGTTCGCGTCCTCCCAATGTCCATCGGCCAGAATCGGGATACGTCGTTGTGCCTCTCCAATGCAAAGCTTCACTCATCACCCCGATCACCCCGTTACCTGAAGGATGGTCGAAGCCCAAATTTTGAACGTCCGATACCTCTCTTAGTGAGAGGTGTACGGATCGAATAGAAACGAGATAAAGCGGGGACGTCGGTGGAGGATCGAGCTGGACAAATATTTAACAGGAATCAAGCATAGCATGTACAGAAAAAAGCATACCGTCAATCGCTCTCTTAGTATCGCAGAGAGCCCCATGTGATGATCGCCGTGAATATGACTCGCAAAGATGCATTTGGTGTTTCGGAGTACCTCCCAAACATTATTGGATGCAGCCTGATCCATACCGAACAGCCGAACAAGTTGTCCCCAGGTCCCCTCTCCCGCGTCTAAGATAATATTACCGAAGCCAGGTATCGTAATCAGAGTCGATGACACTACCAGAGGTCGAATCTGTCAGAGTTCAAATCGACGTCGCTGAAAGGAATAAGACAGACCATTTCTATACTTGCTGGGTACTGCGCTACCGGTACCCAACGGATGAACACCGATGTCAGCTCCTTTGCATGTAGTTCTGTTTTCATCCGATTCGATGGCTTTGACGGCGGCTTGTGCTTCTGCATACTTATCTTTGGTGATTGGAGGAAGGGCGATAAGTGTGGGTGAAGCTACGGCGGGGTGGAAAAGGTCCAGGTCCTGAACAGTATCCTCCTGGATAAGCTCCGTCGGTGGCCGTAGATGAATCGTAGTGCTCGATGACATCAAATGGCAGCGTTCAGGCATATTGGGAATCGCTGAAAATGATAGTTTAGGACAATGAGAACTCTTAAGTAGTATTGATACGAACCTTTGATGTCTTTGGCCGGTTGCAGAGAAAATTTGGGAACAGCAAATATCTCGGGGTCAAGGCTTTGCAGGCGGAGCTGCTGAAATGCAGCACTGGTGAAAGTTACGGGGTCGGGGCAATGCTCGCGCGAGGATATGACGTGCTGAAAAGATTACATTGTCAGCTAATATATAACTACAAAAAATTAGACATTTCCGTACATGACAGTCAGGATCAAATGCATTCATGAAAGCAGTGTACCTCTCGTCTTCGAGAACACCTTTACCGCAGATGTGGAACACGGTACGTATCTTGTAATCGGCCATGTCTTCAGTACTATGAGATCGAAACTTGGCGTAGAAGGGCGAATCGGTAAACGACGCTATCAGTGAAGGGATGTGTGAGACAGACGGGATGTCGAGGATGATGACCACTTGAGGAACTTCGGAGGGTCCGACGATGTCCTCTGGTTTCACAGTCCGCTCCATCACAGTATCGCCCTCCTTCACGTTGAAAGTTATCGTTTGTCCCTTGGTCAGTCTACTCCGGAGCGGCCCAGAAGGAATTTTCAGCATCTCAGCCTTTTCCGCGTCGAACTTGCCACGAACGCGCGGGCCGGCGATAATGTATGACAAGGTTGGTGTCAGCGAAGGATCGGAATCACGACGAGGATGTGGGGAAACAAACTTTGGCAGCTGCTTGTAAAAGCCCGGAGGAGCTCTTCGGCGGCGACGGTACTCGTCTTTCTGCGGCAGCGATGAGATTACCGCGATTGAGAGGGGAGTTGAGTCTCACATAGCCAGAAGTTTCTTCGGCGGCCTCCTGAGAAGGATGCTGCCTTTTCGCAGGCTTTTCTGGCTCAGGAAACATGGTTTGAACAAGCAGCCGTCTCCAGTCGTCAGCAGCCTCGCCCTCCAGATTCTCGGGGGATTGTGTCGCCTCTAAACCCTCGCTCTGGCGCTTTCGCTTCAATATCTTTGGCGTAACAGTCTCCATAACGAACCCCGTGTGCTGTGACATCGGTGCATCGGTGGTTGGGAAAACTGGAATGCTGTAGACAGTGATATTGTCGTCCTTGAAAGTCGGCGTAGGTTTTGCTGACATTTGGGTCATCAAAGGGACTTCAATAGGCTCAACCGTCATGGTGTCTCTGGGTAGAGCGATTAATATAGATCTCCGTAGAAATATACTGTTCAACGTACCTGTAAGTGTACAGACGCATGGCAGCCATTAGATGCAAAAGACCTGGTGGACCAAAAACATTTATCCTGTTAATCGTCGCATCCGCAAAGGTCATGAGGAGACCTAAAGAACGTTAGATGAGTCAAATTCAAACCTGAAAACTTACCGGGCAAGCCGCCTATGCGCTGCGAACTGACATCGGTAAAGAAAACACCTCTCGTCTTTCTCCAATTCCTTTTACTCTGCAAAAATGCACGCCCACTGTTTTCGCCAGCATTGAACAAATACTTAGCCCTGTCGAAGGTGATTATAATGGCAGGCTCCGTGTCTGAGGTTACGGTGGTAAGGACAGAAGTCGACCAGTTCATATTGGCTGTGACTGGGTTGGTGGCCAAGGACGAAAATGGGCGGCGAAGGAGAGGGAGGACGAGCGGAAAGGAAAGTAGACGTGCCAGCTTTTTATCGTCGTGGCTGGCAATGACATTGACCTTCGAATTTCGGAGGAGGAGCACCCATACGACTAGACTCCGGCCGCTTCCGGCTGTTGTAGAATTTCAATTTCCGACGGTCTGGATTCCTCCCGCACAATAATGCCGGGATTCGGCATGTTGTCGGCGACAGCTCCGTGTATGAATTCCGTTCACGTAGCCTTTCTTCACCAGCTGACGTCGAGGAAATGATTTTGGAAGCACTTGACCCTGCGCCGATCATTTGAGAAGACCAGTCATTCAATGCAAAAGATACATTTAGCTGCTACGGACGTGACAGGGAAGAGCTAGGGGGAGAAGAATGTATTGTCCCTAAGCGGAAGTCGAAATGCCAGGGAGATTGGGAAATGTATACCTTCATTTATTTTCACAGTATGTACATAGGAGGAAAGGTCAAAGGACCCACGCGAACGACAAGCGTCTTTGATGATGACTTGTTCGTTCAGCGGCTAGTGAGCATTTCTGTCCTGGGTCACATTCGAAGAGACGCCGTAGCCATCGGCACTACCAACAGCTCGCAGAGGGAAAGACCAGCTCGTAGTGAGAGGTTATGTAGTCGAGACGCGAGTCCGAATGCTCCAAATTGCTCCCCATGTCCCGATCTTTAGCGTGTTCTGCAAAGAAAGGCATTGCAGAACGATGTAAAGAGGATTGCCATCCAAGTCAGCGCCATAGCAAATTGTGCCATAGCTAGGGCATTGAGCGTAAGCTACAAAAGCCCCATGTCCTCAAGCTAATTCTTTATTCTAATCTTTACGCAGTGGTAATATGTCATGTCATAAATAAGATAATGCTAATGTTGTTGAATACGGATCAGTACGCGAAGAGCAGAAATGTTGACTTATATTAATATATTCCTCGCCAAAGTATAGATGTCATATAGCAGACCCTTCGAGCTGTCCTGCTGCGGAGGATCGCTGTGACGCGGGAAAATGCGAGATTTGGGAGATTGTGGAGAGAGGACAATGGATCCAAATATTCGTCCACAGCAACTGTCAGTTATTGTATGCCATTTGAAATCAAAGGTACGCAGCCCTCGTCAAGTCCTACTGGCAGTGTGCCAGTGTTGGATATTGATCGGCCTACGGGATTTGCCGGGGAAAGCGTCTGAATTTTTCATGCACCCATACACCTTATCCTCGTCCGCACACGGCACCAGCCTTTCTTTAGTAAATATTACAGGCATTGTTTCAGACTACGGGATGAGAAGGGGATATAACTTACGTGGATATAAAAGATATCAAGGATAACAATGGATAACAAAATCAGAGCAGAACACATCTACATAATCCGAAAAATAATGATAAAGATCGAGAACCCGAAAAGCTGAGGTCATCATCAATACATAGTGAATGAAGAGCCTGGAGAGACGGACATACATTTTTAAGAATCATAACCGGAGGCAGAAGAATCCATCACAGCTTTTACTCAGTCCTCGACCAAAAACCCATTAGCCAGAGAGAAAGACACGGTCGGGTGCAGCACCGTCAACGACGTCAACGAAAATGGACATGGGACGAAGTCGGCCATGTTCATCCAATTTTCCTCGGCGGAATGGCAGTCGCGGATGGTAACCTTGAGGGTCCTTAACACTGGACAGGAAGCATGAACAGTTTCGCGGAGAAACCTCATGTCCTGCGGGCCGCTCAGAGAAGCTGCCTGGATTTGGAACTCTTGAACACTATTTGAAGCGCTGACGCAGGCCATCAGGGCGGTGCAGGCATCCGGTATGCTCCCATAAAACTCGAGTTTAAGAAGGCTCGGGAAGAGGCAGGTAGATGGAGGAGGAAGTTTCGCAGCAACAGCGCTTTCAGATATGATTCTCAGCACCGTGAGGTTGGGTAAGAAACCAAGGGAACGAATTACGGGTCCATCGAATCCCCTACTGGACACGGTCACTGAACTGATACTGTTCGGGGAGTACGACGGGCAGACACCAAAACCGAATGAGTATGTGATGTCGGGTTGATTGGATAGCGTCCACGTATCGCCGGTGGTTTGTACGATGTGAACCTTGAGGTCCCTCGGCGTCTTTCGGGATAGACAGAGCAGAAGGAAGTCCCGTAACAAGGAGTTGAAGACACCCTCGAAGGCGATGACCTGGAGCTCAATGGGGAGGTAGTCGCCCAAGAGGCCTTCAAGGACAGGTATCAAGTCGGAGGTATGACTGACAAGACGCCCAAAAGCGAGGACGACACCGCAGGGTCGGGTGGGGAAGACGTCCTGCATATTCTCCTGGGTGAGGGCCCGCGTCGACGATGTCGGGGAAAATAGTTGGGCATCCCTGAGGGTCATGCCTGCGGTGATGAGGGGGTGACCCTGAGCGTCTTGCAAGGCATAACACTGGATAGCATCCATGGCGGGAGAGAGAGAGTAATTGAAAGAAGACACACCTTCAGCCGAGCTTATTTAACCAGTCCACTGGAGTCACAAGCATGAAGACACGCATTGTTCGCTGTTCAAACAGGCGCTCTTTCTTGATTAAGGAACACGATCCACCGACCGCAACCGGGATCGGTGCAGAAATAATAGAACACGAGCCGGCGAGGAGAGCCACTTAATAAAAGAAACAGCGTAATATAACACCGGGGCTTGTTTGAAGCAAGGCTGCATTTGAAAGGCTTGGATATTGTGCCATAGGTGGTCGGTGAGGAATCGAAGGCTGATCCCGAAACCTCCAATAGCTCGAGGACACATCCCTAGCATAGTATAACGGTGACTGATAGGTCGTATAGCACAGTCTGTCTTGTGTAGGCGGAAACAGTATGGAAACCAGGAAAGGCTCGGAGACCGCTGCCAGGCGGCTATCAGCGTACCCTGACCGTTTCGTAAAATTGAATCTAGATTCTTACCCGAAAGAGGCTCCAAAGAACAAAGACATGATATCCCTGAGTATAGTAAGCCCATATGGAAGAGATTGGTACCAACCCAAGGGGAAGGAAAGAGTTTGGTACCGAAAACGCTCAAATTTGGCGATGATGGAACCGAGGAGACAGGAAAATCTCGTTAATTCATCCCAGAGGCTAAAATATAGCTGAAAATCCGGTAATACTGGTGTCAATCTTCGACACGTTGAGGATGCGGTAAATGTAAACGTTGCCGCGGTAATATCCGAAAATGCGGACCGAGCTCCGACAAACATCTATAATTACGTAACCATTTTGCCGGTGATTCAACATCAGTCCGTTGCGACGGACATCGGGTCCATCGTAACAGTCGGTTGCTCAGCCTGTCTTACACGGCCATCCATGGCGCGCAATTTTTTCCTGCTCTCTGTTATATTTTCTCTGGCTTCATGTCTTGTACACGCCCACAGCCATCATGATCAACTTACCGACGAAGAGAAAAGTGCCCCAGTGGACGCCATCCTATGGATACATATCGTCTTACAGGCGCTCGTCTGGGGTCTCCTCTTCCCTGCTGGAATGGTCCTTGGAATAACACGGAGTCGATGGCATGTTCCACTCCAGGTATCTTTCCTCGCAGGAATGTGGAATTACTGACTGAGAGGACCACGTAGAGTACGGGATTTGCGCTGACGCTCGCCGGATACGTCCTGGGCCACAAACATAAAGGGAGAATGTTCCTGAAATCTGTCCATGGAACCTACGCAAATATTCTTTTTATACCAATATTCGCGCAGCTGGCCCTCGGTATTTATCTCAAACTGCATATACACGAGAAATCGATTCGTCCGTACATGGTTCGGCTGCATGGAGTGATTGGAAAGGCGTATCCGATATTTGGGTGGGTGCAAATGGTATTTGGATGTGCTACTTTCCGAGGTTATTGTCGCGGAGGACATCTGGGACAATGCCTTGCGCATTACATCATGGGCGGTGGATTCATCGCCTATGGCATAATCATGGCCCTTCTATTACTTGTTGGCGAAGCTTGGGTCAGGCGTAGTGGACGCAGCCCAGAATGGTGGGATTCATGGTAAGGATGTCAAATTTCTCTTGAATCACGCAGTGCTCAAGCTGTTGGTAGGGTTATCATGCTCTGGGTAAGCATCCGTACGCTTAATATCTATCGACCTCATTCGACGGCGTTGTTGATAGGGTATTGGTATGTTATCCTACTGTGAAATTGTCGTCCTTGGTGATAAATATGATCAGTCAACACCTTTACCGAACATCATGGTGGTGACTGGTCCGCCAAAGATATGCAACACACGTATGTCTCGATACCTTCGCACGGTCCATCTTCGCTAATTTTTCTCATATCAGAATTCTGGGAGTTCTGTGTAAGGTCACATTTGCGTTGTCGTCTTTCATCTTTGACGCCCTTGTGGTTAGGGTGGTGTGGTGGCGCTCTTGGTATTTTCCTCGCTCGTAACAACCAGGTTTGCTTGATGCCATCATCTCATTTTTTTTTCATCTACTCACTTCCTTCTAGCGCAATGTAGTGCCAGGATTGATGTAGGTTATCACGCCATCAACAACCTATTCGATCCTGATCATCTATGTCTAGTATAATCTTAACGGGCTGGGGAATGTCTGAGCATGCGCAGGCTCTTATGATCTCAACCAAAGTGCGGCGTCTGTAGGAGGATGTCCAACCCTGGTTTACTCACGATGTCCCAGGTGCACACGATGTTTGGCTACACCTTGATGCTTGCTGGCTTCACTCGTATCATTGAAATATGTTTCTTCTCAAATCACACGAATTCTGAAGCTCCTGAGGAGGACGACAATAACAGCGAGCATACTATTGCGGCTCAGAGCCCTCGCTTCTCCACAGGCAGTGTCTCGCTGTCAGAAAGCAGTCAGACTTCCGCAGCGAAAGTGTTCCGGCATTTACCTCCCTTCGTGAGTTATCACCCATTTTTCCCCCCAGCTCATAAATTGACAGTCGTGTCCAGCTCCTTGTATCGGCTGGGTAAGTTTACATTCGTATAGCTGATAGAGATGCTTCCTGACAGTTACTAGACTTCTCTTCATGTCCGCTACTGACGAGGAAGTACAGTTTGTGCATGACAGCGAGATGGATCATGTAACTTATATCTTGATTATGTTCAGGTAAGAATCAATCTCTTGGGCCATTTTCGGTCGCTCACAGTAGCCCATAGTTTGTCCTTCCTCCTATACACGCTCATCGTGTGGATGATCCATCTGTACACCATCAGTGGGCGAAATGCGCCTGACGCGAAAAACGATTCAAGCGACAGCATGGAAATGGCGTCAGGGATGAGAACGAAATGGTACTCACGCGTTCCGAGTGCTGAAGCATCCAATCATATCATTGGTGATGAGGAGGATGACTGAGCTGATAATATGTAGATTCTAATTGTATTTATTTGTCGTTTGAATTCGGGCCCGGCAGCCATGATGTAATCTTGCCGCCTCCATGAAGCTGTGCCAAGTAATTGAACACCAACCTTCCTTCCCAACCACCATCATCACCCTCCCTCATGTCTGGAAAAACAGCACTTATTATCGGCGCGACTGGCCAGACGGGCCAACATGTACTCAAGGAGCTGTTGGGGTCTTCGCATTATACGAAAGTTGGCGAGTACGGACGGAGGCTTACTGACCTCTCGACACTCTCTGCTGGCAAGGACAAGCTCGTTCAGAAGTCAATCGATTTTGAGAAGCTGGAAGAGTCTGGAATCAAGGACGGGAAATGGGATGTTGTCTTTATCACGTAAGAAGCTCTTCCGATGCTCACACCGTCTAACTAGACGAAGTATATAGGCTAGGAACCACTAGAAAGGCTGCTGGGAGCGCGGCTGCATTCGAGAGGATCGACAGAGAGTTCGTTAGTTTTCGCTGGTCCTGTGATTTGAAGTTCATTCTGTCGTCTTACAGCTATGTCATCAACTCTGCCAAGGAAGCTCGAGTGCCCGACCACCCCCAAAGAGTTGTCTACCTCTCGGTTGGTTCCCATTTCTTCTCAGTTTTCGGAATGATAAATAAATGGAATTGTAGGCCGCCGCTGCGAACGCGAAATCCTCATTCCTGTATCCCAGGTAGCCTGTCGTTTGGGTTTATCGCATCAGAATAACGGGTCTCACTCGTTTCAGGTGTAAAGGTCAAACGGAAGAAGCTCTAGCCAGCATGGGATACTCCGACACAATTGTATTCCATCCCGGTCTGTTGACCGGGACTGCTCGACCTCAATCCAGAATTCAGGAAACCATCGCGGAGTGCGAATTTTTTTTTTGCTTTTCGCATCGTTTCCCTGGGCTCACAAATTATTCTACAGGGGTATTTTCAACACTTTCCGTTTACCGAGCTTTTTCCCAAACTTGGAGATCAAGGTAGGTACGCGGAAAATATATGTAAAATCATTGTTCACTTGGACGTGGCAGGTGGCGACCTTAGGCAAGAGTATGGCGATAGCGGGATGGCTGGGTTCCGAAAGACTGCCATCTGTTGCCCAAGCTGCGGAGGAGGAGACGCCGGAGGGCAAGCGGTTTGTGTCTATCCCCAACGCTGGGGCGGCCGCCCTTGCACAGACATCTTGGGAGTAGTTCCCTATATCGGACTCGGAATGCTGTTCTCTTTCCCCGTTTCGCTACAGTTAATTCTCGCTGTGCATTCTATTATTGGCACGATATCTTAAAATATAGCGTACTCTTGATCCATCACTTCTCCATTTTGTACGATTCTAACTATTTAAGTGCAGGCTCCCCATTGACTATCGGTCAAATCGCAGTAGGTCACCGCCTCTACGTCCTCGGCAAATGTTACTGAGCATGCTGGTCGGGTTACGCGGGAACTGCGGCGTAGGGTTGCATACTATCTTTAGCGGAGAGCAAGGCCTGAATGACCACGTGTGCAACTGTGTCGGCTGTATCAAGAGTAAGCGGCGAAGCTATCCGGGGGTCATGCTGGGGCTTGTTAAACTCGGGATACCTCATTCAACTTTGTCTCCCTGAAAGCGTGAAGTCCATGGATTGTGACTAAATCCCCATCACCTTCCATGTGTGCGTGTTTTTCAGGGCGATATGATATGCCTGCCTTATTCGTACATTGCTGGTTCATAAAGTGAAGGTAGCGCATGGTTACGGACCGCAGCAGGCTAGTCCATAGTATTATACGTCTTTCCTTCTTGTTCTTTATTGCTTTTCATTGACGAGCCGCCAGTCTCGGCACCAGACGGGATTCCAGTCAGCCGTCGGACATTTTCTTCTCCATTAAATAATTTATACTTCCCCCAGAAATTTGAAATAAATGCAGCTGTTCATTCAAGCTCGTAAATTGAATTATGCTCCTCAAAGTCGACTTTTTTTGAAAATTATGTTTTTTTTTCCGATAACTGAAAGAATTTATCAAAATTTTGATTGTTACACGTGATCGTTCACTTACCTTGTTCATCAACAGACGCGGCCTAGTCCTTGATAACCAAGTACTAGCTAGTAGTATTACATTGTTGGTCGTCCACTTGATCGACAGCCAATCTCCATAAAATTGCAATCCGATAACCTGGTAATTTATCCCTTTCTGTGATGAACGACCGACCAGTAGCCGGGATCGCCGAGTCGGACTCTATTTAAAAAAATTAATCTCTCTCTCCCCCTTGCCATTCGTGCGATTCTTGTGCACTGCTGGTGGGAGAGCCTGCTGGAACGTGCTTTAGTCTGTGTCGGTCACGGCATTCTAATCCGTCGCTTATTAGTTACTCCTGGTATGCTCCCACGATCTTGGGGGTACAGGCATCGGCTAGAGTGATGAGTACTAGTAGCCGGTTTTCCAAGTGCGTTCTGGAGAACGTGTCTAGGTTCGCGGATGCCTGCTATCTATCTATCTATCTATCTATCTTACGGAACTGAGCGTTCACATTGGTGACTGGTCGAACTTTTTTTTGCCAGGAGACCGGTAGGGTTCATACCGGGTTTCCGAGTAGTGATTCTACAGCTTGTGAGGTTATTTTTAGTATCAATACTTGGACGTGGTTTTTATAGCTCTTAGGTCCTTTCGCTTTCGCAAAGAAAGCAGTGAGGCCGTCTTGTACAGGTCAACGACTCCATTTACTCCCATCTCTTTTTTTTTCATACATAATAATCACACCATTTGCTTCTGACATCAATCCCTGTCTCGTGTTGTGCTTGTGCGACTGTATCGCCGCAGGTAAACTCACTTGGGCAACCTCTCAGCATGCCATTCCCCAAGTATCCAATATCATGCATATTAGTGAATCCTTACATGTACACCTGTGCATACAGCTATGTCCCGAGAGTAAATAGTACATATGGTAGAGGGTCATAAATACGTGCATATAATCATCCTGATTGGGAAGACTTGCCAGAAAAAGTCCTGGCGATCACCGTCGGAAATGGTAATGAGTATCTCTTCGTCAACGACTTGAGTTTCATATAAGACGAGCCCTTCTGACTCTCTGGATGGGCCGTCATGAGCGACTCGACGCGTTCTGCAGGCGTCTGCGGCGTATCAGCATTCAGCCATATCGAAGGAATCGACGACCCAGATCCTAAAAGGCATCTCAGCATCTCAAGAAATTTTTTTTTAAAAAAAAAAAGATTCAGGACATACTGCTGTCTTGCCTATATATGCTAGCGCCAGCTAACGTGACGTTATCGATTGATCGTCGCGCGAGTTTCTTCCGCGAGGCATGGTCGTCCTCGTTATCCCGAAGAGGCATAATGCACATATCATCTGTAGTTGCGTGCCGAATCTCCTCCGGATCGCGAGCGACGATTTCGATGTCCTCAATGCTCGTACGGCGGGTTGGTGTGGTGTCTGGAAAGGGGACTGGAAGAGCATTGGGAATTGAAGGAGGAAGAGGCGATACTGGCACGGGAGAGCACTCTTTCGGCATGGTAGGTAGTGGAGGAGGAGGATGAGACGATTTGTTGCTGCGCAGGCTGAACGACCGTGGGAGGCGTAGGCTTCCCATCGATGCGCGCAGGCTACGTCGCCGTGCAGCCGATACCTTTTCGACACGAGAATGGTCTGCAACTCGGGTCCGTGCGCTCTTCGCACTGCGGATACTGGCACGGTCGTCGCCCTTGTTCACGGTTTCCACTTGAGCCTCCTCTGCTGTCTCCTCGGGTATGACGTCCTCAGGTATTGCCTTGGCAGGTAAAGGCTTCGGTGAGAAGACGAGGGGCGGAGACAAGGGAAACACGGGAGAAGACGAAGATGTGGGGGTCTTGGGTGCTGGTGGAGATGGGGTGGGAGAGAGGGGCGGAATGGTCATGACTGTGACTGGGGGAGAACGAGGAAGAGAAACAATTTGGGCTCTTCTAATAACGCCGGTATCCTCCTCAAAGTCGATATCGTGATCATCTTCCAGTTCATCTAGTTCCCGGGCTAGTTTCTCCGCCTCCTTCCACGAATCGTCCAACTCGGCCTCCAGTTGGGTGATCCGTGCTCGCGCATCGAGAAGGTCCTTGGTGCGTTTACCATAACTCCCGTTCAGCTGTAGATTACATCACAACGTCAGCAATACAAAGAAAGAACATGCATTCAAATCCTTCATTTACCTTTCTCAATGTAATTGCCAGGGCGCTGCCCCAGTGTACATCTACCAGCCTTCTGATTTGGCCAATCTGATCCGTTATCCTAACCAGTTGCTCTGCGAGCGAATCGCACTCGGCGCTTATATCCGATAGCTGAGATGCCACAGTCCCTACCAGACCCGTTCCGCCATCCTTCTCCTTTCCGCTTCCAGCACCACTAAACGACAACAAGGCCTGTAACAACATTGTTCGTCGATGCATGTTGAACCGATACTTGGATTGTGTCACAGCCTTGAGCGCATCAAGCCGTTCGAGCTCCGTGGGGAGAGCCTTGTCGAGAATATCGATCGACACGAGGCGGATGAAGGACTCTTGAGCGGATGATCTGATTGCACGCGAGACAATATTCTGAAGTTCCGCAGAGTCAAAAGTCCCTGCGGTAAGGAGGATGCTGATGAGATAGAAGGAAGGAAAAGAAAAGGTATCATGAAACTGGTACGTACAAAGCGCAGCCTCTAGTGGTAGACCCTTCCACTTGACGGCTTCCGAATCAAAGTTAACTTTTGGGGGAGGCGGGAGTGTCGGATTTCGAGCAATCGGTTTACTAATTGGTGAGGGTGATCGGTTGCTGGTACGTTGAATGCTGAGCGGAGCTACGTCGGAAGAAAAAGGTGGAGGTGTGAGCGAGGGGCGCGAAGTCGAGGAGATAGATAATAAGGGTTCTTGTGTGATAACATGTGGCGGCGGCGGCGGATGAAATACTCTCTGTGAACAGTCTGAAGTTGGCGACGAGGACTCCGGCATTACAATGGTTGGCGGCGGTGGTGATAGTGACAAAAGGGGAGGAGGGGAGGACGTATAGCTAATTGGTGCACTGGGTTCGACAGTGAAGGCAGGCAGCAGCAGAGGAGACATAGGAGGTGGAGGGGTTGCAATCGGTATAGATGTGAACGCAGGTGATAACGGTGTTAGTGGAGATACTGACGGGGGTGTCAATTTATGGGGTGATGAATGTGTAGCCTCGGGCAGCGCTGCAGTATCTGTGGATAGGATCGACGCAGAGTCAAGCTCAGCTCCGTTCTCTGCATCGTCCTGGGAGGCCCTTTCGCTTATTACCGGCAGCATTATCTTTTCGATCCTGAGCGGTGAGCCTCCAATAGATGCTACTGGAGATGATGGACCTGAACTCAAGTTATACGCCGTCGTAGTTATGGAGTAGCTGGTATGCGCAGGGCCGCGCGACTGCGCCAAATCGCTGCTCTGAGTTTGACTCGAATCAAGAGCGAGAGACGCGATAGAGGAAGACGGTTGCCGTGTTCGAGGTCCCATTGGCCTGCTCGTGCGAAAAGAGGACCTGGGAGAAAGGTTGACGGCAACGTCAGATTCTGTCATTCTGTAACTTTTGGTGATGGCCGAAGTGAGTTAATGCGCCTTTGCCCTGAGGGCGAGTATCGGTGAAGGTAGGGGGAGAGTGGCTGGCCTCCAACAAGATAGCAAATGTCAGGCGCTGAGGCTAGACGGTATCGGACACTTCCCATTCCCACATATGAACGAGGTGGGAGCCTGAAAAATAATGTCAAGCCACGTGAGAAGCAAATTCGGCCCGCAACAAAATTAAGAATGGGCGCTTGGAATTTGAAAACGTGAAGGCGGGTGCCTTGAAACTTTCGGAATTGACGGTGGAGGATGTTAGAAAAGGAAATTCATGGACAGCGTGTATTGGAGCAAGTCGGTGTTAGTAGGCATAAAATGTTACTGCGATGAATATTCAAGACTCTGTTGCATGGCGATCCGAAGTGATTTATCGAAAGCGTCGAGCCTTCAAGCTTCGCTGCGTAACATGAGTAAGCCAAAACATACGCACTATAGGGGTATTGAAAATGAAAAAAGTTATTATCACAACAGATTGAACGATTTGAACATCTTAAGTTGAAATGGGCCTTCTCTTCCTATGAAAAAATATCTTTGTAGTTAGTATAACAGAAAACAAAGATAGGTCATAAATGGACGGGTATTCTGAATACCAAACCTGATTCTCATATCCACCCGTAACCATCTGCATAACAATTGATTGCACCCACAGCATTCTCCACAGCCAAGTATGAATGTTATCACACTTCTTTCTATAAAAGCCCAGCAGAGCAAAACTGCTGGACTAACAATGACCTTGCCGTGAAAAACCTTCTCGCACTAGAACCCGTCATAAATAAAGGTCAGCAATTCCCAAGAACCGTGCAGGGGACAAACGGCATTACTAACAGAACCATCTCTCTCTCCACTTTCGCCTACGACATTTCCGATTGTCGCCACACGCCACCAGAATGAGATCGAGCACAACGGCACAAGGACTACGCAACGCTGTATCATGGAGAATCATGGCCACGTAGCCGGTTATGCTTCCCCCTTCTCTCCACTTGCCGCATACTTCGCTTCTCCCGCTTACTCTCCCGTAAGCGACATCGGGATCCTTTACCCGACTCGGCTTTCATGTCAGTGCGGTCTTGAGATGGGAAAGTGCGCAGTGAATGCATAATATTAGTGGTTGGCAAATACATTCACCCGAGAGGAGACATCCGCAGTGCGCGTACCGGGTCTTCTGAGAGAGATCAGAGCATCAGCGATGTGACAAGAAGAGATCAAGAACGCAGATTTAGAGATTTACATTCCATGCCTGGCAAGTGACGTAGAACATCAACTATAACTGGCGTTCCCTCGATCACATTGGTGTAGTTCGAGACCATTGGACTTCAAGTGACGCTCCGCAAGGTACCTACCTCTTCGTGGCGAAAGTGGCATGTGTACCGACGATGAAAGTCAACACGACCATGGAAGCTGACGAAGAGAACATGAAGCCAAGACATCTACACATTTTGGGGATGAGAAAACACCATCGAACGATAGGCAAGTAGTTGACGTGTAGTACTCAGCTTCCGCATTTTTTTTTCCGGTACGGTAAGTGACTAACAAACGCACACGAAAATCAGCTGTAGTCACTGATGGCTCTGCTCATCCTTGCATAATATGAGCGGAATACGCACATGTCGAAAAGAAAAAACGCTGCAGTTTTCGTCAACTATCCCAAATTTCAGTGCCTACTTTGACAAATCAACGAATGATAGGGCAAACCTTCGTTCGGATATGCACTCACTGGTCCTGTTTTGTGGGAACAGACGCATGACTTGGACTTACCGGACTCTGCCCGGGATGTTCCCTTGATGATACGCCACTGCGTCACCGTCTCAGCAAGCAGGGGGGTACAAAGTTGGGTTCCACATACAAAGGCAACGTCCCACATACACAAAGTCGGCGGAAATCGAGGGTTCTCTCGTAAGGTATCATGCCGCTGTAGTCCATGTTAGGTTGGTCCAGAAGCGAAAAGTCTGCGAAGCATTTAGAAAGTATACTTGAGTGGAGTAGTGCTTGTACAAATTTACCTACCGGCATTTCTAGTAGAACATTCAAATTGCTATACCCTCCTGGTTGTCATCTGAAGAGGATATTAGAGGGAAAAAGCCAGTTCGCCCAGTCATTTCGGCACGGCTATATGTTAAGTGGACGCGTCAGAGAGTCCCACCAGTCCTTCAACCGCCTCTGTGACGTACCTGGATTGTTGATAACACAACAGCATGCCATTTCCAACACGAAGACTGACGGATTCTTCTCATAACCACGCAGAGCCAAAGGTGCACGTGCCGACCATGCCAAGACAGCACCCCAGCGATATAAGACAAGTATTTAGTTTTTCTGGAACTCCTGTGAACATTTCAAAGGCAATCAGACCGACCTCGATGGATTAAATACTATATAATGGCTCACGTATGAATTTTTGCCAGGATATACCCACCGAATTTGTGTGGAATTCATGGAAGTCAACTCTCACAACCATTCCTGCACCTAGCTGTCAAGGCCTAAACAGTATAAACACCCTCCTCAGACGGCAGTTTGCAACACTGTACACAGGATGTACAATGTTGAGACACCTACGAAGCAGAATTGCATGTCGTGTAGCTGTTCCAATATGCGAGAACACTAATGGCAGGGAGATGCATAGCTGAAATCAGCGATATGGGCGTAAGGGAAGAATTGCTGGATGACATGCATTATGTTGCAGTGACAGGCCTCTCGGACTGTTGCGTAGTCGAAAGTCGAAAAAACAAAAAAAGGAAGGAGCTATCCCGTGAGCCGAAGTCAGGTTCGGTGCATCCTCGGGTCCAGCTCATATTCATATCGCCGGATGATGAACGGCACCAGACTTGCCCTCCATCTAAGGGTGAGTGTAACGAGCGTGCCGAGATATCACTGAATACTCATGAAGAACTGGGGGCAGTGAAGAAAATGGGGACTGGATTCGCGACTTGACCCCCCAATTCCTGCTCCAAATATGAATTCTACAGGGGATGCCCATCAATTATCCAATTCATGAGACTTTTCAGCAAAGAAAGGCCCGAGTCGGATCAGAGTTGCAGGAGGAGAATGGCGTATCTGTTCAACGGAGCTATAAGGGAGCAAGGAGGGTTGGAGCCTGCCGTTGAAAGATTTGCGACACAATTCCTCAGCTGTTGGCCTTCTTTCGTGATAGTGGTTCTTCACGCAAGAGTATCATTTCCCCGGGTGAAGTCTCGCGTCTGCCGTTTGCGCCAAGGCAACAATCTTCCACTCCCTCATTTCATTGCTTCTGAGAATCCTCCACGCAACTGCTTACGCCAGAACCATTTCTTACACCATGGAACTTTCCTTTTCGCATGGACAACGCCACTGGATCTCTATGAGCAAGAAATTGCGAAGCAAAACTTGATGGTCGTGTAGATCATTATTCCTGCAGACGAGAGCACTAGTGCTGAAACGAGGAATAACGTGAAGAATGGAATGCAAGATCTATCGGTACGCTTGAGTCCTGTAGGATGGGCTTTAGGCAATCTCCGGCTAAACAAAATCCCGACCGTGTCTGATGAGAAATGAGAAACAACGGACACAAAGAATTACTACACGTACATCCATTATTTAATTATCAAAGAGAATTAAATAACGTTACCTTTAAAAGGTTTGTGGAAACCTACAAGCTCCTGGCCCAAATCCTCTGTCCTCCCCCAAAGCTTTATCGACGACACTCATCATTGCCAGCACCTTCTCCTCCTCCCACTTCTTCGCTACTACCTGTATACCCACCGGCATGCCTTTCATAGGCATGGGATCATAGAATGGCTTCTTCCATCTATAAAGCTGATCCTCCAGGATGCTCACTTTGTCAGATGAGCGCGTCCACTCTTCCGTCAATCCGTCCTTCTCAGGGTCAACCCGCGTCACAGGAATGCACCCGGCACTGCTCTGGACGATGTTGTAAAGTACAGTGCCCATGACCAGAGGAGAAAGCCTTGTCGCACCACTGTACACGCCAAGACTCAGTGACCATGATATCTCACCAAAAACAGGAAGCACTCACCCCTCAGGCAACTGCGGAAGGGCCTGAACCGGAGCTATGATCCCGTCGAACCCATACCTGTTCCAGACCTGATATGACAAGGTTGTTAGAACATTCATCACGCCGCCGGGACGACCTCACATTCATATAGAACATTCGGTTGTAATCCTGCTTCTTTCGAGTCCATTTGCTGTATTCAGAATATGACTTGGAGCCTGCAACAAGGAGGATGTCTGCGGCCCTCCAATCCCCCAGGATCTTGGAAACGATAAGGTGAGCAAAAGCTTTCAGCGGGTCTGTGCGGTTGATTAAATCAACGCTGATTGCAGTTGCATGAAAAGACATAAAACGGAGCCTTACATGGAACTCTTGAGCCATAGACGACCAATTTAAGTGTATCGTCCTGGAGTGAAGATCGGATGAGGAATCAGCGTCAGTTATTCAAGCAACCCACCAGAGCATCGGGACCAAGATTGCTTAGCATGTTTCTGTACGAGTCTGAAGAGTTAAGCGCAACAAATGCTAGTAATGCTTCATGTACTAATCTTAACGAGTTAGAATCCTTCTTCCGAAGAGGAAAAAACGCTAGCGCTGACCATTAGGAGGCTCAAACTCAATGCACTCATGGCCATGCTTTCGCAACGCGCTGACAGTTTCCAAAACTGCACGTTTATTAGCCGGAGAGGATTTAACAAATCCATCTGAAATGCCTTCATGTGATACACACGCGCTCCAAGATACTATACACGAACCTGACGTATAATAGCCAAATTTGAGCTTCTCGGGCAAATTGGGCTCCCGATAGGGCATAGGAGGAACATGTGAAATGGCATCTGGCATACCGAACAGGGTGCGACAGAAGAGCTTCAAATCTTCGACCGACCTAAATGAATTGAAACTGTGTTAATTGACCTGACAGTTCGAATGAAGGAGTAGCTGGCCTAGCCATGGGCCCATTGATTGCTATCAGTCCTTCAAAACCGGGATCGGGCCCTAGGAGTGAATATAGAAATCAGACATGACAACGATACGGACAGTAACATACCTCTACATCCAAACGTAGAGACCCTAGGGACGGACGGCATGAGAGAGTAAACACCGCAGTATGCAGAGGGGATGCGTAGACTTCCGGCAATGTCAGAGCCTATGCCCAAAGCAGAGCCGTCCATGGCGATAATAGCCCCCTCGCCTCCAGAACTACCACCACAAGTGTAACCTGGGTTGTATGGGTTGGTAGTGCGTCCCCACAAGGGGTTATTGCATTCAAAGGAAAGCATAGTCTGGGGAACGTTTGTCTTGACCATCGGAATGCCTCCTGCAGCGATAATATGGTCGACGAGCTACAACATAGTATTACTTTGAGAGTTCATTTAGCATATGAATAAAGGCGTACCGCTGCGTTCTCCTCTGCTGGATCGTTAGCCCACTGAGTGAAGCCAATCGTTGTGTCGTAACCCTTGACTCTATCTGCTCTGCGTAAGAGTCGAAGAAATACCTCAATTGTTAATAATACTCACAGAGATCCTGCATATATGCATGAATACGACGCCCTAAGTGACAGGAGAATGAGTACACACCTTTACACTGAACGGAACTCCGTGCAGGGGCCCATGGATCTTCTTGGTAGCTGCGAACTCAGCATCAAGGTCCTTAGCCTGTGCACGCGCGTCCTTGAACATGACTGTACCTATGGGTCAGCTCCAGCGCGCTAGCCAGCTTGTGCAGCTCAAACCTTCTGTCAAGCAATTCGTCGCCGCCTGAGCCTCAACGGCCTGCGCGATGTACGCTTCGAGGACCTCAGTTGCGGTCCATTCTCCGCTCTCGATACGAGATACGATGTCGCAAGCTGCAGGTATCCATGGTAAGTAAACTTAAACGCAGAGGAACTGTCCACACCGGTCGCCTGCAAGTACTTCTCACAATCACTGCTCTTGCCAGAGGAGCTCTCCACCTCCTCCAAAAGACGAGCACGTTCAACACGTTTTTCGTGGACAATGGCCTTGTTGGAGGAGAAACTGGACCCCATGCAAGACGTTCGCTGTAGAGCCGCTGTCGTGGATCCCCCGGGTCCGAGACGGGGTCGGCAATTTAAACTAGCATGTGAATACCGGCCCCGCCTCCACCGATATTATGTAGCACTTGGTTTCATCGGTAAAGAGAATGGTGGTAGCAAAGAAAGCTCTTTATCACCTTTGATGGACGGCTGCTTGATATGGGTTAGCGAACTTGCGTTGATCGGAAGCTTGCAGATTGTTCATTATTCCAACAAGATAAATAAGAGTAGAAAAGGGTTGACAAGGGTAGGGTAGCACAAATCTGTACGGTAAGTTACTAGAATATATTACTTCTGCTTGTCACGAAGATCCTGGAGAAACCTGATAACGTCCTTCGCGACATCTTCCCCTTTGTTTCCCTCTCCATCAGCCTCTCCACCTTTGATGACAGCATAGAAAGCGGCAAGGTCAGCCGCATGTTCTACCAAGGAGTTCAGCTGTACGGTACGTGTCGTCTTGGTGGGACAAAGCCCATCTAGGATGACGGTCTGGTTCTTTTCGTTTCCTTTCATGAGTAATCCAAAAAGGACAGAAAGATGGCCCAGCAGGAAGGATGCGTCCGCGCTTTGCAGTGGATCAGAACCCAAAGCGGGAGAAGGCTGACGCTCCATTTTGACCTTTGGGTCCTCAGAGATAGGAACTTGATGGAGGTAAACTCGAGCCAGGAGATTAAGCGCATTGGCGGGGTGACGGCAGCAGCATTTATGCAGGCAGGCAGGCTTCGTCAAGGTACAGGAAGGATCAAAGACTAGAACAGAGAGATCAGCCCACTGATGCCGAGAAGATGGAATGATGCATACGCAAATCCCGTAGGACATCCTTCGCGTCTTCGACTTCTTGAACCAGATTGGTGAAAAGGCCGAGCGCAAGGCAGAGTCGGTCTAGAACACGAGCCTGGGATATATCGTCCTCAGAATTTTCTTTGTCGTCGAGCTCTATATCGCTCTCCTCCTTCTTCACCTCGGTGTTCGTTTTGCCGTTCAGCGTCTTTGCTTTTCCTTGACGTTCATGACGTATGCGATCGGCCCTGACGATTGTTCGAATGATGAACAGTGGCGCTGACGGATGCGCAAGGACGTTCTCGCACCAGTCCTGGTCTCTGTGACTGAGGCTAACCAGAACGCGAAATATCATATCTAAGCAATCGTCTGTTGTAGAAAATCAGCCGCTGGAAACTCCTAATCTTACAATGGCGCACCGACGTCTGCATTGCTACCGGACTTGGAACTCTTCATCGCAATTTCGGTGCAGACTGCACAAGAGATTAGCCCATTAAGGAGCCAATCATCTCGCGCTTTCTCAATAAGATTTCTTGACTGAACACTACTGTACCCAGGGCCCGCCCATTGGCCAAGGAGGAAGCTGTCAAACAGTCGCAAGATATTATGAGTGCTTGAGAAGTCTATACTTTTATCATAACGGGTAGTTGTCGACGGGAAGGGTTTATCCAAATGATGACGAAGCGACTTGAGTAATGATGCGAAGTGAACTGTAGACAGAAACGAAGGTGGAAGAGCTGCCAGAGCATGTGTTATTAACAGAGATGTTGAAACCTAAAAGAGTTTGAGGGCGGGAGGGCCTCGAAGGAGCAATGCGACTCACAGCAACTCCGTCTGCAAATAGAGAGGACGAGGAAATAGTTGAGTGGATTGAACGTAACTGAATAAGACGGTTTAGTAAATGGTCGCCTATAAGCCCGTTGTATTTACCAAAATCTGTTCGTTTTTCTTGACTCCCAGTTTACGAAGCTGGATATCCGGAGAACTTCCTGCTATGATTAACAAAAGGTCGGTTTCAGGGGTGAGGCAGGCAAGCATAGCAAAGAGCGTTGTTGCGAAATATGACGTTGGCACGGAGCTGGTGGATGGCGAACTGGAGCGTTCAGCGACATCGGCTAGAGACACGTCGTCTCTAGCGACGAGTGCCGAGAAAAAGGCCAGAATAAGGTCTAAAATCTGAAAGGAGCTCAGAGAGAGCGAGATGCGCAGGCGTCAGACCAACCTGGTCTTTCCCATCTCCTGCACCATTATCGACGAAGGTGTCCCAGGTTTGACCGATAAAGTCTGCTGCTTTGGCCTTGCGAGTAAAATCAGAGTCGCAGAGTTTTGTCGCTATTTCCAAAGCACTGGATCCCATAAGTATAGCATGACATTCAGAAGATGGACTCTCACCTCGCCCTTCGCAAGCCCACGGCGCCATCTTTATCCATGCCTTCAATGAGATATCCAACCTCGTCCAAGAATCTTCTATTCTCTCCCTTGCTCCGGAGCTCCGTGATACTCTTCAGCGGGTTCATCATTCCATTGGGAAGAGGTTCAGGGACGAGAACATTATGATAGGCCTTGCCTCTCGATTTGCTCTTGGACCTTTTGGGGGAAGACGAGGTAGGTGTCGCAGGATCGGAATCAGAATGCGACTGCGATTGGGAAGGCTGAGGATACAGATCGTCCTCTGACATGTCGACGCCCCAACGAGAGCGGAGAGAAGAATATGACTCCCGGTCGAGAAAGTCATCATCTTCGAGACCTAGGCCATTTGCAGAGGAATTTACGGGCAAGGAAACGAGAAAGGATCTTGATTTTCCGGCATAGGTACGTTTTGTCGGGGCACGAGGCTGTGGGGGTGGTAGATCTGGAAAGGGCACTGTTGGTTTCGGCGGCGAGAGAATGGATGGCAACGAAGGCGTCCGTCGAGCTAGACTCGGTGTGGAATTTCCTGACCGGCTAGTGCTGTCTATTGAGGACTCCGTTTTTGACCGCCCCAGCATGCGCCTTGCAAGCTTTCCTGGGGATCCCGACGATGACACTGCTGGCGATGCCGTTTCGAATATTTGGGACAAGTCTCTCGGTATTTTGGAGGGCGTTGGCGGGGTGGTGCGCCTTCGCCACTTCGGAACATCTTCATCGCTGTCGATGGCTTCGCTGAGTTTCCTTTTGGTAGAATTACGACTGTAGGTACGAGGAAAGGACATGGATGTGGCCGACCAGGGCGGACCGTGCCACCAAGGAGAATTCGGCGGTTGTCACACAAGTGACGACGCGTCACCTTGTCACGGTCAACAGACGGCTCATTACCCTCAGAGTAATGGAGATCCTCCAGAATCGTATCGACTCGTTTACGCGTTCAAAGCGCGTAAAAAATGGCCAGAAAACAACCGTTGCACTCAAATGGCCCCATCCGTCCGCCTTCCAGGCGAATCCAGAGACGTTGGCAGAGGCTGGTTTCTATTACGACCCCAGCCCAGAGGACAGGGACAGTGTTACCTGCTACATGTGCAGCAAGCAGCTCAGCGAATGGGACAGTGATGATGACCCGTTCGATATTCACTATCGCAAATGTGCAAAGACTTGTTCTTGGGCAGTGGTCCGATGTGGTTTGCGAAATGATGTAGACAATCAGGGAAGGTAAGGATAAATGGGGCGCTGTTGTCGTTTTTGCAGCTGAACCCTTCACAGATTTGTGTCCCAGAATAAGAATCGCCTGCCTCTATCCAAGGCGATGGAGAAGGCTCGACTTGACACCTTTACCTTCGACGATGGCTGGCCTCACGATAGTACCAAGAACGGATGCACCTCGAAGAAAGTACGAATTCACGCATACCAGCGTCCACACTCATTAATCCTTAATTTCTCACAGATGGCGCGTGCTGGCTTCATATACATGCCCCAAGAACCGGGGGACGATCTTGCTACGTGCTTATATTGCGGCGTCTCCTTGAGTGGATGGGATGATGATGATGATCCATGGTGCGTCTTCCCTTCTTTTCTCTCGTTCTTATTCTCATATATTCTATAGGGAAGAACATCTGAAGCGAGTCAAGAAGGCCAATGGCAACTGCCCCATCTTTGCCGACCTTTCCCCAGCTCCCAAGCCACCCCCCAAATCGAAATCCAAGAGCAAACATAATGATGTGATTATGCCTACGAAGGGCTTCGATGGCGCAGAAAACTCTTCCGATGTCTCCTCCATGCCTGAGAGCAGCCGTGTTGCCAAGACGCCGCGTAAACCTCGAGCCACTGGGAAGGGCGCCAAAACTCCGGGCACCCGTTCACAAGCCTCATCTAAAGCCAGTCGTCGCTCTGCACATACAGGAGAGGCATATACAGAAGAGGACGATGAAGACGATGCCATGACCGCTCCTCTCCCACCACCTCGGATCCGAAAGGCTTCGACTAGATCGCGTTCGGCCTCCCGCGCCCCGTCGGTCGATGATGATTCCCTCCGCAAATCATCGAAATCGAGATCCAAGTCAAAGGCTGTCGCTGAAACCGAGGGGAAGGAGGACGACGACCCAGAACCCCCTCCTCTCAAGCCCTCAAGATCAAAATCAAAATCTCGGGCGGTTGAGGATGAGGTGCCATTAGGGAGAAGTACAACACGTAAACCGTCGGTAAAAACCAAGACGAAAGCTGCCGGCTATTCCACAGCCGATGAAACGAGATCCAAACCGAACGACATATCTGAAACGGAGGAGGAAGAGAGCGAAATTGGTCTCCCGCCTCCTAAGCCCTCGAGATCCAAGTCAAAGTCACGAGCGGTTAGGGAACGTGAGGTGGATGAGGATGAAATACCTCTGGCGAAAAGCACTACCCGCAAACCGTCATCCAGGGCGCCGGCCAGAACTCTATCACCACAGGATCTGAACGATGATGCGCCGGTCAAGAAACCACCTTCCAGAGCGACGAAACCATCGCGGTCTAAACCCCTCCCCCCTCCTCCAGATACGCAGTCGGAAGATGAAGCGGTGCTCGCAAAGAAGGCATTTTCTAGATCGACTCGATCCAAAGCAAAGCTACCCCTGCGGGACGACGAATCCGTTCTGGAACCACCAACCAAAGGTTCGTCTAGGTCAACTCGACATAAGGGACAACCACCTTCAGATAGTCAGCTAGAAGATGAGTTCTCCGCACCAGCCATCTCAGAATTCAACTCAAATAAGCCTCTATCTAAACCTACATCGAAGGTGCAACCGAAGCTTACTTCCACTCAGAAGGCTGACCCAGGAGTGGTGGAGTTGCAGTCGGAGGAAGACATGAGTCAATATGTTCCTCCAAAGACTCCTGCGCCGTCGAAGAAAGCCTCCAAACCACGAGTCAAGTCGAAGCCCACTCCAGCAGAGGGTCCTCAGGGTTCTGACGTCGACGATGCAGTCACGGCCCCAGCCCCCTCGCATGCCCGAAAGCCCTCTAAATCGCAGGCCACGAAAGTCAAAGCCAATGAAGTCGGGCCGGAGGCACCTTCTGCCCTTCGTTGTGGAGAAAAACCTTCGTCTCCCGAGGGGCATTCCTCCTCATCCCGGCAACCACCTGGACCCAGAAACAATGACCTTTCAGGGCCTGATGAAGACGTAATCATGGAGGAAATACATGGGCGCTCCCAAATGAAACTGAACGGCAGCAGCGCTCGCTATAATGTTCCTCACGTGGCCTCATATTCAGGGAATGCACACCGTGTGAAGGCGAAAACTTCTCAGCATGAAGCCGAACGTAACCTCGCTTCCAATACACAATCATCCTCCCATGTCAGCCAAAGTGGCACAACAAGCGATGTAGAACGGAGCGAGATAGATGCAGGGTTAAAACTGGTAGAGATTTCATCGGAGGAAGAAGATGAAAAAGGACCACTGCCTCAGAAACCCAAACCATCCCACTCGAAGGGGAAAGGAAAAGGCAAGGCAAAGGCGGCGACGGTGGATATCTCGTCCGAAATACACCATCAGACCCCAGAAGAAACACAACCACAGGCGCCGGATGTGCGAATGGATGACACAAACGAGGGCAATTCAATGCTCGACATAGAGACACAGCCGTTGACCCCTCCTCGTTCTCCACCTCGTTCCGTCCCGCTGTCTCCTCCATCAATAAATACTGACCCTCAGCACGACAGTAGTCAATCCTTGGATGCTGGTTTCCAGTTCTTGCCTCCTCTCGCGTTGGAATCGTTTGTTCCGCTTGAAAGCCTTACGGAAGCTGAGTTGTCGATGACTGTTGAGGAGTGGATCAGATACCAGATGGGTGTTGAATACGAAAAATTCAAGCAGGATGGTGAGCGGGAATTAGCCGCTTTCGAGAGGAAGGCGGAGGAAGTCAGAAAAGCCATTGAGGCACTGTGAGCGCGGTGCTTTCTTTTTTTCCCCACTTTTCCTTTTATTTTCTAAGTACACAATAGACCTTAACTCGCGCATGGACTTTCTGACGCTATTATTATGGTCGATTTGCTTGTTCACGATCGATATACTCTTTGATCCAAATGACTTCTCTACTTACATGTATCTGCGAGTCAAAGGTCAAACCTTTCGTAGTTTGCACGATCCATTGGCCATCGCAATGCATATTTATACTGACTCTATATCGCAACTCGACCATTCATTCAGACCTGTAATCACGAGAACTCACAACGCCAGTTTAAGTATCCGTGCTGGATTCAACTGAATATCTCTCGTCCTATTGTATCGCACTTGTCCGATTCGGAAGAGTTTCATGGCTGGACATAGACTATATAACATGGAACGACTACCGAGTCGGAGCTAACGTAATTAGGTCTTGTGGCGAGTCTGGAGTTATCCCAAACGCGGATAGGCCAGCGCTGTATTGACCAGGACCATGACGATGGCAAGCCAAATCTGACGTACTTACTTACTGGACGTCGCAGCCGGCAGCAAAATGCAGCAATTAGAGCAGGGTGACTCAATTACATCCCCTGATTCCTTGATTGAATATTCGAGATTTTTGCCTTCTCAAGGTCGACGCCACTCAAGGTCGAGGCCCGTAATGCAAGATGCTTCCCTCATGTTTCAACGTACCGTGCATGCTTTGAGCTGTCTTTGAAGCACGATCACGTTCGCAGGTTTCTGTCACTGCCAATTGCTGTCATCGGGAAATTAAACCTTCATTGGCACAAGACGGTCAACGTTACGAGAAGAGATTCTTCACTAATGAACACACCATTACTTTCTGATATATCACCTCATGCAGTCGGATGTTGTGAGTGAGAGCTCCTAGGGCGCTAAAACTAAAAGACATGTGCTTCAAATACCTGTCTTATCGTAGATCAATGAAGGTGAGTTATTATACAAACACCCGGTCCTGTCAGCTGTAGGAAATTTCACATCATAACAAGTTATCTGAAGTATTTGCGCGTATGGGCTACTATATTTCTTACATCCTCCAATCAAAGAAAGATGCCGCTGTTTATGGCCCCTTAAAGTCACGTCACGTCACATCCAACTTTTTGCTTTCAATGTATGACTCGTTCTGGACCCGCAGCCAGTCAATAGACACCTATACCCTCATTGGCCGATGGGCTAACTGGAGTCTGTGATTTTCTGAGGATGAGCCGTTTCCCTGGGCCAGTTATGCTAGTAGTGACCTATTGAACTTCGCCGAATCGACGTAGCCGAGGGTACCAACCGCCTCCGCCTACCCACGGCTCAATCGCACTTTTCAGAGGACTGATCGCACTCATTTCGTGGGCGTCATTTTTCTCACATTATCGATACCGATCAGGTCAGCCGGCTGATCAGATTATAAAAATTAGAGCTCGAGGTACCCGTTACTACTCCTCTGTATACTCCCAAGGAACCCAGCTCAAAAAACACACGTAGGAAAATCCATCATATCGGACGCGTGCGACCGGAGCCCCCAGTTTAGACTGTTTGATCAGTCCCAAAACTGTGCTCCTCGCGGTTCTGTATGTAAACGAAACAGATGACGCCACATGATGAAGGGCAAAGGAGATTAGGAACGGACCCAATGTTTGTTCAGAACACCCGTGAATGAAGGCATGGCTATGTGGTTAATTTTAAGATAGAATCTGATGTAATGGTGTTACAGAAAGAGATGCACCAAATGTGCGATTTTATCGACCGCGGAGTCGGGCCGCCGCTTGTTGTCTCCGTTTGTTTCGTATGTCGATTTGGTTTCCAAGTTGGTATCTGCATCGCCATGAAATATGTCTGCCACCTCTGCAGAAGGTATGGAACATCCGAAATTTAACGCTTACCACGTCCACATCGTGAGAGGGGACTGGTGCTGGTTCGTAATTGTAACGACTTGTTTGCATCGACCTTGATCTAGCTTTGTGCCAGCGCGGCTTTCCCAAAGGCACCGCTGTCCACACGGAACAGTAAATCTTGTGCAATTCGTGCATTCCTGCTCCTTAAAAGCCCAATTCTGACGGAGACTGGACTTCTCCATCCGTAGCAACTTCTCTGTTACTGTCACCTTTATCGAGTTTCTCCTTTCTTCCAGTGCCTCGTGTTCGTGCTGTATGGTGCATGACCGTCGAGTCGTTCTCTGGTCGCATCCCTGGTCCTGTCGACGCTAGATCTTCCTGTTGGTGTCCAGCCTTCAATCCTTTGCTTCGCGCTAATCATGCTCCTAAGGCCATGCCATTTTTAGATTTACCTGTGGACCTCTTTCTGGCTGTTTTTCGCTTCCTCAGTCTTGACGACATTCTGAGGATAAGACGGGTAGATCAATTGATTTCCTAATTACAATCGCCGATATAGATTTCAATTACTTGTAGGTCTGCAGGTACTTGCACGAGCTTTGTAGGCTTCCTAGCGTCTGGCATCTCCTTCTTCGCACACAAATCATAACGCAGAGTATCCCTTTCCCTTCAGGCCCTCCGGGATGGCTTAATAACCTAGGGGCAGGGAAGCTCGAAGGCCTCGTTGTCCGCGCTGTTCGATCCCGCCGCAACTGGACTTCGCCGTCGCCTCGCGCCACGAGGCAGCTGGAAATTAGTATCGGGCCGACTAGATTACCTGCCCAGGAAAGACGGGTTATCGCCCTCAAATTTTTAACTCGTGGCCCACACTCCTACATTCTGTCCGCCGCCCTCAGTATTCATGCGCGGCCGAATCCTGCCCAGCTCTCTATCGAGTGCTGGGATATCAACCGCACCCCCTTCTGCATCGCGAGGCGTCAAGGGCCATGGCTAGGTGGATGTGCCTTCAATAAAGATGCTTCTTATCCACCTTCAGTCGCGGTTAAAGGCCAAGATTCTAGGTACGCTGTTTTTCTTCGTCGCTTTCGGTGACGCTTACCCCTTAGCATAGTCTTCAGGTGTTTTCCATCTCTACCACGGCCCATAACCCCAGCGCCGCCTTCGCTACCATCGCCAGGATGCCTGGCCCCGTACACGAGCTCCTTGCATTCTCAGGCTCCATCGTCCTGATACGCAATCATAATGATCAACTCTTCGTCTGCGACGTACGCCGTGTGGGACACCGCATGGAACTTGTCAGGCCTCCCCTCCCGCCTCCTCAAGCCGCACAACCAACTCAGGTATGTAACAATGCAGCCGAATCGGGGTCCTTCTCACTATATGCTTGGCAGGCTGAAGCATGTTTTGAAACCCTTATTTTCAACGACTTTCTAATCATCCTGCGATCCAGGTTCCTTGCGATCTACTCCCTCCATTTATTCCGTCAGGCAACGACGAGCCGAGGCGTCCTTCATCCCTTGGCACATCACGTTTGGCAATGGAGTGTCGACTCTGGTCGTCTGGCCTTCCACACTTCCTACGCACGGGGTCCCCAGCCCATCAGCGTTTTAATCAGATTCGCGAGCTCATTCCCTTGGCCTACGAATATGCTCAATCACTTCGTTATATATCCCAACCCTCCAGGGTCACACTTGCTCTACGACTTCACTCCGATTCAAGTGCAGAGCATATCTGCACCATTACGGCTTTTTGCTCTAACTGACATGGCCATCGGGGAGTATAATACGGCGGTGTGGTTGGACACGGATACAGAAAGTTATTTCCTACAAGCATCTTCGGGACAAAGACTTGCCGGATGCATACTTAGTCGTGTCAATGAGGGTCGAGTCACTGACACGAATGCTTCGACTGTCTACAACATGCACGAAGGCGCCAGCTGGACCCGAGTGTCCTTAGATGAGAGAAACGACAAGATAGCAATCGGAACGCTAGATGGAAGGATAATTATTTTGGAACTTGCGTAAGATAGCTGCACGCTCTCGTTTCACCTGAATTCTTACACTAAATGCAGATGACCCGATATGTCTGATGTTTTTCATGGTCTGCATATGCTTGCATTGTACGAAGGCACGCCGATGGTTAGTATCATACGTCTTTGATTGACGGCAGATATGGTAATTGAAGATTGATGAAAATCTCATGGAATAGTAGCAATAAGGACCTTCCTATTAGGGTCAATAATCGAGACCATACACAGAAATGAGGTGCATGTACCGCGGAGGGAGTAAGTCCGAGCTCCCTTAAAGACTTGGAGAAATCTGAACGAGAAAACGTTTTCCTATCCAGGAGCAGCAGCATGAGGTTTCGGTGTCAAACAACGTAACTGGTAACTTGCCTCGGGAAGTGTTGGGCAAACATTACCGTTTCAACGTCAACAGATAGCAACTGTGCCGCAAGGAATTCTGCAACCTCACGTAAAGCTAAGGAGATGAAAGTCAGGTCATGCGATGAGATTATGAATGGCGTACGTACGAGCATCACTCGATAGAGTCGTTGTGTACGGCTGCCCTCCCGAGGACATGCGTATTTGTAATCGAGTTTCTTTGAATTCCCTACCTTTAACACCAGATGACGACGCAGCCGCCGGAGCGGGGGAAGTAGCAGGAGCGGTAGTTGATAGATTGTCAGTGATAGGTTTACCCTCTCGAAGGGCCTTTTCCCTGGCAGCTTTCTCAGCACGAGCTTTCTTGTCGGCCTCAATCTGTGCTTTCACTGCCGCTTTAGCTTTAGCATCTTCGATCTTATCTGAGCATCAAGGGTGAATAAAAATGTAACAAGCGCAGCGATGATAGGTGAACCTCTTTTTCTTTGTTCCGCCTCCTTTATGGCCTCCTTAACCTTGAGTTCCTCTTTGATTTTATTCATGTCCTGTAATCGGTAATAAAACAACGGAAGAAGAACAAAAAAACAGGAATAAATCGGACCTTGCCTGCTTTTCGACGAATTTTCTCATTCTCCTTGTGTTCGACAGCCTCCTCAACAGCTTTCTTGGCGCGCTTTTCGGACGTCTTTTCCCGGAGTTCAGCGAGCTTTGCAATCTTTTCTTCCTCCGTAAGGGGCTTGATCTGCTCATAAGGGTGATCATGCGGAGAAGCGAGGATTCCTCAAAGAAGTGGACTCACCTCTTCTGTGGACTCTTCGAATGCAATATGGCCGCTCTTTTCAGCATGGAAATTGGCGAGAGCTGTATTCCGGAAAGTTTTGCCACACTCTGAACATTTGATACTCTGTGTTCATCATTAGGCGGGCAATAATACGACAACACGTCTTGGGTCACACACCTTAGCTTCCAGGCCAGCTAGATTAGCGGTGGCTTCTGCGTCGTCGTCCTCATCGACGTCCATCGGTGCGGAGCCAGCTGACTCTGATACTGAACCCATATCCGGTATAGGCTGTTCTCCGTGCTCCAATATGTGGTCAATTGCTGGCTGCAGTCCACGATTTCCCGTCGCCTTGAGCGCCCCTGGAGAGTCGAGTCGCGATCGAAACGAAGTAATCGTGATATTTGGATGAAATTCCCTTACACTCGACACGTGCGGCCTCAAATCCCATACCAATAAGACTATCTCTGTCGCTAGGCATTGTTGCAAGAAAAGTCGAGGTGTATTCGGTGGCAATGTGATGTGATAGTAGAAGGGACGAGTACTAAAGGTCACGTCACAATTTCCTTTTTGAGGTCATCACTAATTACGTTCTGCAGAAAGTCTCGCAATAACGCATCTCAAACAGGGTTATTCAAAAATTCTACATATGCATTGCGTGTCATTACCAATTTTCAGACCAAAACCGAGGGAAACGAGAAAACTGACATTCCTTCCACGGCAGATAGGACGCGTCGCATCACGTGTAGTTTCGGAGTTTGTCGGAGTTCCAATTTACAGCACTCCAATAAGATATCCTTTGTATTTTTCCTTATCACTATCACGATTCAACCGCCCTGCATGGACGACACGCACGCTCAAAATCGTGTTGAAAGGTTGGAAGTAGAGGAAGAAGATGCCCGTATAAAAAGAATAGGTACGCTCCCCTCCCTGCACCGTGAAATCCGTCTGACCTTCGCATAGAGGCCGTAATGCACAAGCTCAATACTGCCTCCGACCCTAGGCCTCCAGCGACCACGGCTAAGTCTTTTGACTTTGGCGAAAGAAGGACTTTTGCTGTGGACGCCCCAAGCGAACGTGGGCATTCTGATACACCTCCAGTTGCTAAGGCTGACGATATCCGCGTCCTAGTTCTGTCTCGCGTGCAAGCATTCCTGCCTCAGATGGAGGCATCAAATGCTATTTTGGCGCAGCGTGTTGAGTTAGATCCGAAAAGCGTTAACATTGAACATATCACAGAGGGAATGAATCAATACATTGAAATGGTTCGTCGTCATCCAACCCCAGCTATACTGTCTATCTAACTCTGTCTTAGAACCTAGGTCTTGGAGTCTTTGAACATCATAAAGATGCCCAATCCCAGCAGGGTCTTGACTTTCAGATGGGCTCGTCTTCATCTTCCGAGTCAGACGAAGAGGATTCCTCGGATACAGATACTGATTCGTCCTCCGAAATTATCACGTCGTTCTTACCTTCCCCGCGTCTAATCAAACCGCTTCCGAAGCGTGGGCTCTCAGGCAACAAATCTCCTCGTATTATCGTACTAGGAGGCCAGGAATTTTCAGAGTCTTCGAGTACTTGTTGAATCTCTTCCTGGGGTTCGTGTTGTGGTGGGTTGACTGTTTGATCTTTCTCCATGTAATTCATTTTCCGTTTGTCTGTATGTAGTTCATACTTACTATATAGCCGCGTCAGCTACACCTTCTACTCAATATTTCACTGGATCTATGAAATTGGGCTCGCCCTATCTTTCGCTCTCTGACTACGGCCACGCTACTTGCTGCTCTGGATACATACCTTATGGTGTATAAGAGATGACCGCGTCATCTAACTCCATTTCAACACGGACTTTATTCACTCAAATCCAATACTTGCGTGGAAACAATCCTGCAGTATGCAAGTCGGATGCTACTTTGCCGGTTTTAATGGGGTAGAAAATTGACCTCCAAATATACCCGTCGGACGCGTGTGATCTTCAGGACACGACATGTATGGAGTTCAGAAATACTACGACCGATGCTAGTCTGACTCTGGACCCGGCGACGAACAGTATAGCTATTTAAAATTGTGATAGTCAGTCCTCGGCACCTCGACTCGTTCCTGGACTGTCCTTGCAACAGCATGACCACATACACCGGGTACCACAAGCAATGCATAAATCACGATCGACATCTATTCCGCACGAAATTCATATAAACTTAAATTTCTGAATGGTGTCCTGATGATGATAGGATCGGACACTGGGGTGCCGCTCCGTTTCGCGGGACGATGTCCTCCTGTTCAGCAACCTGCCCGAGCTAGAATCTGAGGCCCTCGGGCTCCTTTCACTGCTAGAGGAACAGTTTCTCTGGGAACAATCAATCGCAATGCTGCGAGGGGTGGTCTAATGGGGCGTGCAGAGACGGAAAGCCGTGTCCAGATGTGCCATGTGCATCGGTGGGCTTTCGCAGCCGTTGTTTCTTTATGGAAATCGCGACCGTGCAATCTCGATATCGATCCATGTCCGATGGACTTATCTCTCTTTCATCGTGACGACCCTGAGGCGACGTTAACCTAAGGCCTGGCGGGCACTGGCCTCTGGGTAATCGGAGGTCATGAATTATGAGTAAGCCCTGTCAGGATTTTGTGGCCTACTTCAAACACTTTCTGAATATTAGGGTAATTACAAAAAATACATCAGGCTTTCATCTTTCCGATCAACGGACACATTGAAATCAGATGCGCATTCACTATATTACAGACAAGAACTAAAAGCAACGGTTTTACAAGGAGGAAGAGTACGACAAGTACTACTCTATGGAAGATGCATTGCAGTACATACACTCAGTATCAATTATTCCGGCAAGAACAGTGAAAGCACTGAAGGCCATGAGGTATATCCGTGCCATAAGACTCAAAAACGGTTTCCGCCTGAAACTACCGCGATTCAAGCAGGCTAAGCGCCTCCTGTACTGACCCATCGATTGAAGTTGTCCAGGCTACGAAGTATAATCGTTAGCATCGGAGCCACAGTCAGCGTATACTCAATCGACATACCCCACTCCCAGTTTCGTGTAAACCTATTACCCAAATGTTGAAGCTTCTCCCATAATTGACTGTCTGATAGCCGCTCCCAATCAATGTCGTCAGCAAAAGTGAAGTAACGACCGTTTAACCGCGACCGTTCTTGCACCTGGAGAGCAAGGGGGCGTCTAACGTTATCGTAAACTTGCAGGGCCCGCTCGATGTTTCCCCTGTGCGTGCCCCGATGTCTCAGGACAGTAGCAAGGATGTAGGCATCCTACGGGTCGTGAGTAAATGTCCATACCTGTGGCGGAAAGTACGAAACATACTTCAATAGCTTGGCCGGCTCCTGATCCCTGATGGGGACACATTGCATGTGCCTAAAAATGCACGTGAGTTTCTATCCAATTACCACTTTCGAATCCTACATACCGCATCACCCAAGAGGGCGACTCTGCCTGAGACGAAAGACTTCATCGGTTTGACTGTATGTACGGCCCACTGAAGGGGTCTGTCAACACACTGAGTTAAATGAGTAAGGAGCCCTATGAATTATGGCAGACAGAACCCACAGAAATCAACATGAGAACCTCAGGTTCCCAGGTCTGGAAGTTTGACGCGAATGCCGACACATCAGTGGCGCTCATCCATGGTCCGTTGAACTTGGTGCCTTCCAAGTCATGCCTCATTACGAAGGCTACGAAATTGATTGCTCTACCCTGAGAAATTGGGTATGCGATGACGAACTGGTAAAAATGAGTGAGAGGGTCCCGTGCTAGTAGGAAAACTTTGAAACGTACGCCGTTCTTGCCTAGATACTGCAGTCAAAAAGGAAATAACATCAGCATGTGTCTCGCACAAGTTGGAACGGCATTCTGAATACGTACTTGCATGGGCGTTGTTAGGACACTGTGGCTTGGATTACAGGCTCGAAGCTTTGCAGAAGGAATGAGAGCACGGTACGCGACCTGCCCACTCCAGGATGGATGAATGGCGTCCAGTGCTCGGGCAGCTTCACTCGGCCGACCTTCCGCTTGGGCCCAGCGGGATCTTTCGTTCAGCAAGGTTGCTCTCACGGAAGATTTTAGGCCATCAGCGCCAATGAGTAGGTCACAAGTCGCTTTGCTTCCGTCCTCGAAAAGAAGTTCAACGGGGCCAGTAAGATCCTGTGTATAGGTCCGTATACGCTTTTTGAAGAACATCCTCGTGGACGGTGGGAGGTGGCTGACAAGAACCTGCTGGAAATCGGCTCGGTGGATAGTGATCAAAGTACCTGTAGCATTGATATCAGTACGAAATCAATCAGCTGGAAGAAGATGCCTTACCATGGGTCACAAGCGTATAGAAATCTACTCCCTTTAGTTGGTCGCTCTTTCGGTATCTGAAAGCTCGTACTGGACGGTGATAATTAAAAAGGCATCTCGGACAATCGAGTGAACAAGATACCTGGCCCATCTTTCACTTCTGATTCCGTTCGCTTCAGTAGTTCCTGGTCAATGCCGAGTGCCTTAATGACCTTCCACGGTCCTGCAATTTTTCAGCGCGGTGATAATTGACATGTGAGCTAAACAGACTTACGAGGGAAAATTCCAATCCCAGCTCCCACTTCAGCCAGTTGAGATGCAGATTCGTAGACGTCGACTTGTACGTCCGAGTATTTTGCAAGGGCTAACGCGCATGTCAATCCGCCTATACCTGCGCCGCTGTCCAATAAAAATCCCCGACGGTTAGTATGCGCGCTTCAGGGAAGTCAAGTACAGGACTTACCAAATAGCTACCCGGAGTCGTGGTTGGTTCATTGCAGGTTGTTGAAAAAATCGCTGGGAAGAGAATACAAGGTATAAATAGTGGAGAAACGGGCTATGATAGTTCTGGATATCCAAGAAGGCCGCCATGTTGAGGGATTTCGTTTTATATTTGACACCATCTGACCGGCATAGAAATGCGACGCGTCCGAAATTGACATGTGTAATCTAAAGAAAGACGGTTCTGCCTAATTTCCCATTTCATCCATTTGTCCCACGATTCGGTCGCGCGGCAAGGAGCCTATCCTCGCCCCCATTAACAACGGGTCAAATGATCAAATGTTGGTGAGTATAGTCGAGGTAGGCGCTTGTATCGCAATCTTTCACGAGGCACGCGGAATCAATTCAAAATCCAGCCTCGCCGTTTCGAAGGCCTTCTTTCGCTCTTGTGGAACCTCGAGACCCTCTCAATTCCACTTTCAACGTCGAGATCGTTATGTACCCTGGATCCCTCGGACTGCGACATTTGAATGCCGAAATTTGCAACTTGTGTGTACACAGATCCAGAACAGGCCCAGATAGATGTGAGTTTTCGGTGGAAATGAATAAGTAACCAAGAGAAACGATATGAATGGCGTACCAGGCCCCGGGTCACCACGATGCAATACTTGATTACGGGTGTACAGCAGGGAAAGCCGCGCCGCTAGTACGTTGAGCTGATGGTGGGTGAGATGGGATAAGAAAGCATATAGCCTCCGGTATTCATTCAAAACTGCATGCAAGACCCGATCTTCCCCCACGTGCGAATCATGATCCTTTTTATCGATCATTTGCTCGCGTGCAAGAAGCTCGACGAGTCTTACCTAGTGGACATAACTTGCTTATTCTTGAAGCAAAAGAATCCTGATTTCCCGGAACGAGGAAAGCGGCGTTGAATTGTGAAATTACTCACGGCGGAAACACCTGTATAATGAGAGGCTCTGGGTGCTTTGCTCACGCGGCACGCATTCACAAGGAAGGGGACGGAGAAACAACTGTAAGCGAGGGTAACCTCCGATTTGGGCGCCCTGAAGTCTATCGGCGGCCCGAAAAAATCAAAGTTCTTTTTTAGTTCTACCGTGGGGAAAATCAGTATCAGGCAACACTGGCAGGCACACATGTAAGTAACAGAGAGAGCAGAGAGACAAAGATTGTAGCCTGTATAAAAAGCACTCGGGACATCAGCGCACTCGTTACTCAATCTATGATGACTACGACAACATTACCTCTCGGCTCGCAGGTGCCTTGTAAGCACGCCATTCCGTATGGGACTCTAAGCTTTGCTACCAAGTTGGAACATGATGCTCGGCAGCTGCTGCGGTAGCTTTTTCGCTCCTTCTGTTCGATATCTTTTAAGAACCACCAGAGGTAGTGGGTGCGTAGGGCGATCCATTCATTCGAGAAGATAAGAACCTGTTCTGGAGGCACTGGAAGAAATATTTCTCCGAGCATTCATTCCCAGAAGAGCCACTCCCATGACTGAGTGTGCCCCACAGAGATTTCAGGGTCGAGATCAGTTCATTCATCCGCATCTCTGGAACTCTGCAGTCCTTGTACGCACACAGCAACCAAAGGACAGGGCTGACGGATGGGACAGTATTTGGAATGCATCCTCGTCCCGACTCGGACCAAGAAAATTCTCAGAACGATGAATCCATAACAGCAGTCGATTCGCGCGATTTGGGCGGGGTCGACCTAGAGTGTTCACACATGTCGGTGACGTAAGACAGACTTCCGATGATCTACACTGCAAACTTCTTCCAGGGCTTGAAGACCTGCATGAGCAGTATGTTCCCTAAGTGGCGAACCGTCACCGTACCTGGGAAGGCATTCACTGCTCCATATGTTCTCGAGTGAATATGGTTCATACCTGCTATATGAAGATTTAGGACAAAGGGTTTGCGGTTCTATTCAAGGTATTCTCCCTAGTAGTTCTCTTCGGATATGAATATCACGCCGAATGGTTAACACGCGAAAGACGAGCTTGTCATTCACACACTACAAGGACGGAACATTTACAGACATCTTGTCGCTTCTGAGGTAATATGTGGGCCTAGACTCGCGCCAATTAGCTATAATGCAACGTATTGAAAAGTCACCGTACCGTCTACCAACCAAATATCAAGTCCGACACCTGACCAAGAACACCTTTACTCGGAGAAGCACCACCCAAGGGCATGTTTATAGAGCCTGCTGGATTTCCTCCTTTTGCTGCCCAGGCGTGCGGCTGTGGTGTCGTTGGAGGCTTGTCAGAAGCACCGACTCGCTTGAATACAGAAGTAGAAGGTGCAAGCTTAATCGGTGTTCCTACTAACGGCGTGCTGGTGCCCAAATGCGACGCAGGGGAAGGCTCATCTACGGCCATCGCATTCGACACAAGACTGGAATCCACGCTCGCACGTAACGGCTGCCCAAGTAGAGCTTCAGCCTGCGCTGGATCCTATTCATCCAAGTCGTAAGCCAAGGAAATGATGACATGAATCACACGTACCGCCCACTTCGCACCTACCATCCAAGATCCCGCGAGAATCTCCCCATTCTTGCGAACGGCGCGCATAGCATCGCCTGGATCTCGGTATCCAATTCTGAAGCAATTCGTGATTTCTATATTCGGATCTGCGTCTGTCGAATCACCTAGCGACTTGAAATACTCTGCGGTAACGCTATACCTATCCGGGGGGTAGCCGAATACAATTATATACAACGGCTGGGAATTGGGGGATGCTGTAGAAGTGCGAGATCGCCTTGATAGTGACGATGAGTGGTCCACTGTTGACGACTTGAGAAAGTTTAAATGCACCATGGCGCAAAGGGCCACGTGGACGTACCCTAGGTTGGTAGCGCGCATTGACATTTGGGATCTCATTGGGAATATCATTGACGGACATCATAGGAGGTGCATTCTCATCGTCAGCCAGGGACTGCCGCTGCCTACACCACGTCAAACACCAATAGTGAATGCAAATTTCGGCATACGCACCTGGAAGTTTCGAACATGGAATCCATGCCAAAGTCCGACGCTGATCCTCTCATTAATGAATGATTCATTTTTGCCTTTGTTGGTACTATTGGTGCGTCGTCGGTACGCTGGCTCTGTGGCGATGTCTGACTCAAAATTAGCGTCGTGGCATCAACACCATACAATAGATATCTACATTTCCTGGTGTCAATTGCTACCCAAATGTTAAAGGGTGGCTTTCATTTAGTAGAACACGGTCCTTACCATGAGATATCCAGCCTGGTAATTGCTCCTTGGCTGGGATAATGATTCGCTGAGTGACGCGCTGAGGGAGCTACTGGATCCCGGATTCCAAGCAGAGCTGTGATGGGAGGTTGAAAGAGGTGTCATTCCCGCAACTGAGAATGATGAACTCGACATGATGGCAGTGAGAAAGAAAGAAATCCTATGCCTCAAAAGGATCGAAAACAATGGGTAGTGTTTCAATGTTTGAAATGTTGTCTCTAGACAAACCGTGACGTGACGTTACATCCGTCTTGGGACTCGGCATTTCGGAAATACCATATTTCTCAATCGGTCCGTCGGACAGAATCCTTCCTTGTCCTAGACCACAGTATCTTCTAATCCGTCTGCTCAGTCATCCCTGACCCACGAAATCAGGCGCTTAATACCCTTTCCTTCACAGTTTATGCGTTTCAGGACCCTTGCAGATATATTCGAGATTCCTATTAGCTGCCGTTTTGGACTAGACGTGTCTGCATATGTTTTATAACGCGCTGCACAGCCGTCTTACTAATTGGAACGCGACCTCATCAATGTCTACTCTAGTGTAAGATACAGCCACACTGATTTTGGTTACAACTTTCCTCGAAGATGTGAAACTTGATTGTGGTCGTGCTTCAGATCAGTCAAAAAGATCTGAGGGCCTAAGGCTTTCTTGGTTATTTCTCGAAAGCTGCTTTCCAGCCCAGGAGATACGGTCAGAGTATAGGCTGGTGCTTGAATTTTTTACGTTGTTATTTTTCTTCGCCATAAGAGCATTGTAAAATAGATGACACCGCGATGGAATCTGAATACTCAAGAGCAGTGGTGGTGAACGAAAGCCAAGAACGGTGATCACCACATCACACGACCGTGACACCTCCTTGCTCACCAACCATCATCACTGACTGCGACACTTTACTTCTCTACTGATTGACGTTGACGTCTTCAACTATACCGGACCTCGCCGTGAACAACAGCGCCGAAAAGAAGAAATCAGTCACCCGATTACCGGCGCCCCGCGCCGCAGCCATTATGCTGTCTGCGCCCATGGCATCCCAACGTTCGCCTACCCCCGTAGATCAGGATTTGCAGACGTTGTACGACGAAGTATGGGCTGGATTTGCGCTGGAAGAACCACCGTCGGCAGTGTCATCAGAAAGGGACCTCGACAACATATATAGTGTCTACGGTGCAGATAACGAGTATTCACCGACCAGTCATGGTGCGTGGACCTATTTGAATTATGTGTTGTACTTGCAGATTGACGCCCTCTCGATATAGGTCCTAACACTCGCCACGAGCTACCTGTTCCTTCATCACGGCCTTCGCGAAATACGCCATCACCATCACCTGCCAGTGGGAGCGGCAGTGTTCGTCGACTTCCGCCAACGCCCGGTTCTGCTCATACGCCATCCCCTTCCTTCTCCATGCCTGAGCCAGACGTCTACGAACCGCAGCATCGACCGAGTCTCAGCAGCTCAGAGTCATATTCGCCGGGAAATTTATCCACAGACATGCTTCGAGGAACATCTGCCAGCGGCAAGGGTGGAAGCATGAGCGGTCGGCGCCTCCCAGCCCCACCCACTACCGGTCCTCGTATTCTTGAACACCTGTCCGACATCCGGACATCATCCTCAAGTGGAAGTCCCTCAGGGGACCCTCCGTATCGAGCTTCTCCCAATTATAACAACCGCGGTTCCGGAGACTCTTATGCTGCGTACAATTCGTTACCTTCGTCCTCAAATAGGCGGGCAGGCGTAGTTCGAGAGCCCTCTTACCGATCGTCGCCGAGTACAGGAGACACAAGGCGGACGCCTTCACCGTCCTTTGATTACTACAATACAGGTCTTAGTATGCCCTCTTCTGGATCTCCATCGCTGCCCCGAGAGAACGTCTCTGGTACATTGGGTGGAGATTCGTCTTACCGTCAATACCCGAGCAGCAGTGATCCAATGAGGGCGCCTTCTCCGTCCCCGAGGCCCAGTTCTCCCCCTCTTCCTCAGCACAGCGGCGCCTTAGGACACACAATGTCGCCTTCTGGATCATCATTGGAAGTTCCACGAGCAGTCGCCCGCCGTCCGAGCAGGGAGTTTCAAAATGATTACCTCTCGCAGGGGGATTACACACCATCATCGGATGTTGTCCCTCCAAGTGCGTGTTTTTTCTTAGATATGGTGATGCAGGTTAATGACACCAACTATAGCGTCTAGTTATGTAGATGTTAGGTCTGGACGTCGAAACGCGTCGGTTAATCGCGGCCTTCACCAAATAACAGGCTCAACATCACTGCCGGAGCATCTATCACCACCTCCCGTAACCACTTACTATCCCTCTACCTCATTCCTGGAACCTGCAAGTCCATCTGATCAGTTTTATGACGCCAGTCCTAGCACTGTTGTGCGCCGCCCTAGTGATATGTTACGTGATATCGCGAATTACTCACATGCCGAAGAACCTGAAGGAACGGAGGACGTTGAATATTGGGAAGACGAGGAGGAAGGGGAAGAAAGTTTTGTCAACTTCTCGCTATTGTCACATCTGGCTGTCCAGTTGAAAGACAAAGTACCGAGAGGGACTCATGTGAAGGGGAGTATACCGTACCCACGGGCATTCACGGGTAAGGATATTGTGGTGAGTTGGCTTTCAATACTCTGGTAATTTTAGCTTGAAACGCTGCGCAGTCAACAATACAATCGCTGATACAGCGCGAACTCGCTATCAATCTCAGCATGTCAACGAACGATCGGCGGGCCGCTCTGCAGGTGGCAAGGAGTCTACAAAGCCAACTCTTCTTCTATGAAGTCGAATGGGGCGGACGCGTGCTGCAGGATGGCGTCGAGGACGTGTATATGTTCCTCGATGACCAGGAGGGTACTTCGGACTTTGCTCCGATGCGGGAGGAACTGCCGACAGGCGTGGTGACAATGCTGACAAAATGTTATGTCTCGACATGTGTTGACGAGTCTCCTTGTTATTCCTATTCGTGCCCACGAAGGGTGAGATCTCGATCTAGGTTTTTGTCATACATTTGCTCACATTAGTAGCAGGGAAACTCTATACTAGGCTCATCGAGTGGTCCAGTGGAGCTACCAGTATCGGTGCCAAAACCAGATTGGCCTAGTACGGTACCTAAGGACGTCATTGATGCACTGCCTGAGAGCGAGATCAACCGTCAGACGTATGTTTATCTCTCAAAAGGAAGGATTACAGTGGCTGACTTGATATGCCAGCATCATCCACAAAATCATCAACAAGGAGGATCAATACATCCAGGATCTGGACATTATTGAAACCGATTTCATCAAACCGCTTCGACTTGCAAACCCACCAATCATATCACCTCCGGAAAAATTGGAAGAGTTCATTGATGATGTCTTTGGCAACATCTTGGATTTGCGGGAGTGCAATCGGCGGCTGCTGGAGGTGATGTATGTTCGACAACGTGAGCAACAATACGTGATCCAGCGGATTGGAGACGTATTCCTCACTGCCGCAACCGAGTTCAGACTGGCTTATCCTATCTACATCGGTCATTACCCGTTAGCAGAAAAGAGGCTAAAGGACGAGGTCGAAAATAACCCAGAATTCAGACGGTTCCTCGAGGTACGCGCGAAATGTGGCCATCATTTATATTAGCTCATTGTATGTTGTAGCAATGTTCGAGACAAACAACAAGACAGGGCGCAGACAACTTGCGCCTTGACCTGAAGCACTTCCTCAACCGGCCATCGGAGCACCTGCAAAAATATCCAGTGTTTTTGGAGGCCATTTATCATGAAACAGCCGTAGGAAATCCTGACGCGGACTACCTTATGGAAGCTATTGAAGCCATCAAGAGCTTGCAAACTATGGCTCAGTTGAGGACCTTCCAGTCCGCTATGGGGAAGGGTGCTCCTGGTAAATGGGAGTGGCACGATCTCGTCTCGACGGAGGTACGGAAAAGTCTACCGAAGGAGGAAGCAAAGCGTCAATCGTATGTCTTGGCTTTTCATCGGGTATAACTCTCTTAAATTCGGTTTAGGATCATCTTTGAGCTCATCAAGGGCGAGATGGCATACGTCAAGGATCTGGAGAACATTGACATTGTAAATTTCAATAGCTCCATCTCTTTCAGGTCCTGAGTCTATTTTCATAGATGTACATCAAAGGACTGCGTACCGCAGACCCGCCGATTATTCCTCCCGACAGACTGAATAGTTTCATCAAGGACGTGTTTCATAACTTTGCTGAGCTGGGATATCACCACCGAAAGTTGGTGGAGAAGTTCCACGAGATCCAGCGCGAACAGCATCCTGTGATTCGTACTGTCACTGCAGCTATGTTCGATGCTGCTCTGAACTTCAGGGATGCGTATATGGAGTACATCCCTAATTATCCCATAGCAGCGTACAGGATCGATGATGAAATGGCCAATAATCCCTCATTCAAGGCCTTCGTCGAGGTAATTTTCATCGTTTATCTAACATGACTGGTTTTTAATATGTCTGTGATATTAGCAATGTGTTCGTCATCCAGATGCCCATCGTCTTGACATGAAGAACTTCATTAATCGACCTATCCCCCGTTTGCTTCGGTATGAGCTTCTACTGAAGGGTATCCTGGACGAGACGCCGCCCGGACACGATGACCGGAAGGAGATACCCCAGGTCCTGGAGGTCATCAAATCTATCGGCAAAGATACCGAACCTGGCGTGGTATCCGCGAAGCAAAAGGTAGAGTTGTGGCGCTACAATTCCAATCTGGTCTTTAAGCACGGAGAATCAATCGTATGTCAATGTTCAATTCATGCGATTTCCAATTATTCATCAGAAACCGGTAATCTAGGACATGGATCTTCTTGATGAGAACCGTTCGCTGATACACTCGGGGAAACTATTACGGCAACCTGATGGCGGCTTAGAGTGGAATGGATGGAGCGAGTTGTTTGTTCTCCTTTTCGATAATTACCGTTCGTTTATCTGTCATTTGAATTTGATAGTGTGCTGACTGTACCATTAGTCGTTTTGACAAAACCAAAGGAACGGGATGGTGTAACGATGTACTATGTGAACAGAAGGGTAAATGTCTGAAGAGCACGCCATCCGATTTCATCCTAACTGTTTCGTAGCCTACGCCCCTGGACCTTCTTACCTTGGTCAATTTCACAGATCCGCCGACTCAACGTAATACCGGTTTACTTCGTAATTTGAGAGGAGGAGAACGACACACGGAAGGCCCCAATGGTACTCCTGGGGTATCGTCTCCGGAGAGCGCCGCCGACTCTCGTTCCGTCTATCCGTTGACGCTGCATCATAACGGTAGAATGGGTGGCCCATACATCCTCTATGCGGAGTCTGCCCAGGCGAGAGCAGAGTGGAAGCAGAAGCTCGAAGAGGCTTTGGGGATCCGTAAAGTCGTGCAGGAGTCAAACAAGGTCTTTGAGATTGAAACATTGAGTGCCGATACGTTTTTGGTGCCTGCGATGGTTGGTGGATCCACTTCACCGCCTGCTTGGAACCAAGAGAACTCGTTTACGGGAAAGGTCACTTGCTCTGTTCCGTTCAGTAAGTGGATCTATCTCAGGCGAGACTTGTTCTTACGCATCCCTTCAAGATACCGCAGATGGACGGGGACTTGTCGCTATTGGGTGTGCAGAAGGCGTATGGATTGGGTTCAGGCATGATCCAAAATGTAAGTACTCCTTTTGTAGGGTTCTCGTCTTGACCGACTACTTCAAAACAGCAATGCGCCGTGTCTTACATCTCAAGCTGGTGACTCAATGTGCCATGTTGGAGGAGTTCGGACTTTTCTTAGTCTTGGCTGACAAAGTATTGGTTTCTGCTTGCTGATCTTGAATCGGTGCTGACGATCCAAATAGTCTCTTTTCGCCTACCATATCGAAGCACTAGTACCTTCATCTCCTCAAAATGCTCATGCTTCGCAAGTCCCACAAAAACTGAATGGAAACAAGGACGTTCATTTCTTCAGCGTTGGGAATCTTCATGGTCGAACATTAGTCATCTACATGAAGAAGAAAGCGGTGCGAACATTACTTTTTCCCCTTGTCTTACGCTCATTGACAAAATCCGATTAGCTGAACAGCATCTTCCGAGTATTGGAGCCGGTGGGGGACAAGATCAATGAGCGGGTGAGGACTCCAGGTGGCCTTGGGTCCCGTCTGGGGTTCCGCTCTGCAAGATCGGAATGGTTCAGGATATACAGAGTTTGTGTCATGCTTTTTTTCACTGACAGGACTTATCACGCCGCTTCTTAGGATTTCTTCCTGCCATCAGAATCGTTTGACCTCATTTTCTTGAAAGCCAGGATCGCAATCCTTTGCACAAAAGGCTTTGAAATCATGGATCTTCATGAGTACGCCCGTGTCCGTTACTGTCTTTGTCATGTCCTCACAGTTGGTACAGCTTCAAGAGTGCAACGATTCCCCATACCGATGACCCAAAGTTAGTTGCAATCACCAAGCGCGGCGAATCGTGTCGTCCTATCGGAATGTTTAGATCAGCTGATGACGAATTCCTTCTGTGCTATGATGGTAGGTCATGCGCAGCTATCCTTATGAGCATAACAGGACTAAGCACTTCACGATGCAGAGTTTGGACTCTATGTCGACAAGCACGGAGACCCGAGTCGATCTTCGGGTAGTATTGAATGGGAGGGTACGGCTGAGCGTGCTGCTCTGCATCTGCCATACATCCTCTTGTTCGATAGCCGCTTTATTGAGGTCCGCCGCCTCGAGACTGGCAGACTAGTGCAGATCATACCGGGCATCGATGTTCGTTGCATATGGGATGGTCGTGGAGCCAATCGAACGAATCCAGTAACGACGCCTCCGGCTAATGGTTCTGCTGACGATGATATGGTGCAAGAAGCGCAAATTCATGCCGTGATGAACTCGACAGAACAGCAAGGCGCGAGGGTGATGTCCCGAGCTGTTGCACAGCATGTATTCGAACTCGTGCCTACTATACCATTATATCCTCCTGGACCCGTCCAACTTCCACAAGCAGTGCCATATCAGCCATCATATTCCCCACCCCTTACTCCCGAAATGAGAACCTCTGTGTCCTGGAGGCCATGAGATATGTGATGTCTTTGCTACTATCCTTGTTGTATATCTAGTTCGATTTCATCTCGTCGGAACCAAGGCGGTCGTTCCGCTGGACATGCTGGGTTTGAATGTGATATTCGGAAGAATAAGGTACTGTACTTATTACGGTGTAATGACCGTGCACGAAATGGAATGGGACATTGGATAGACATTACGATAGATCTGTATGGAGTTCAAACGCGCGTCTACTCGTCCAGTTTGCTACCATGTCTTTTTCTCGGGAGTATATACAGTAAGCCAGACCCGGCTGCTGCGGGAAATGAGCTGCTGAGGTACGCAATTCGTAAGTATACCCCGATGGAATAGGCGGTACTGACTCAGACCGGCCCGAGGGTGAGAAGGATATAAGGAGCCACTGGTTCAAAATATTTAGAATCATTGCAGCAACACCATGTCTAGCACAACACTTATGCTTACACAGAATCGCGTCCGCGTCGCCGGATTTTTGAAGAGGAAGTCCGGTATCTCAAAAGAAGAATTCACGCGTCGCTGGCCCCAGCATGCCGAGCTATTCAAATCCACAGAAATGTCAAAGAATATCCTCAAGTACGAACAGGTGTGTCGTCTATTTTGCTTTCAACAGATTCATGCTGACTACAGGAACGCAGATGCACGTGAATGAGGAAACCAATGCCTTGCTCAAGCAAATGGGGGCCCAGACGTGCGACTGGGACGGTATAGCAATCATGGAAGGCGAATCATTCGAGAAAGTCTTGAGTGCACGTTCATTTTTTCTATATAGATGGCAATGGTTGTTCTAACCCCTGCTTGCAAATTTAGATTACGACGAACGAAGAGTACGAACGAGTTCTTGTACCAGACGAGTTGAGGTTCCTCGATCGCGAGAAGACCCGGGTGGTGCCATTGAATTTTGGCGTAGACCTGAAAAGTAGGAAGACGTGATGGTCAGTTCAGGTCAGTTCTGATAATTAATGATATGTAATGCAGATATGAAGATCTCATCTCATACTAAAATCTTGGGATGAACTCGACTAAACATACTTCTGGCGCACTGATCTTGCACATATTGTGATAACATTGGCGCTGAAGAAGAAAAGGATGATACAGTTGTACCAGATTGGAGAAAGAGACTGCTGAGGTGTGGAGGTTGCGTGAAGAACCACTAAACAGAACTTGTGCTTTATCATCTTAGCGTCGTTCATTTATACAAGGTAAATAAACTCGAGTGACATATGAAAATTTATCTGCCCCATGGCTGAGTTGGTTACAGCGTCCGACTGTTATTCGTTTGGCCGGGTAAATAATCGGAAGGTCGAGAGTTCGAGCCTCTCTGGGGCAGTTGTTTAGTGGGTACAACCATTTTTGCCCCCATTTGAAGAGGGCTAAATTACTGTCTTTTTACCTTCGACCTCCCCCTTCCTTGGTAATTTATTGTTCAACACAAGTGTCAAGCACAATGTCCATAGTCACATTTGTTGGGATAGCAATCCCAAGCGAGTACGAGAATGTACTTGAAGACACTACAACAATCAGCAGCAGCTGAATTTGACCATGACCAGGACTTATATAGTAATATGTAGAAAGCTCTCGAAGTAGCATGAAATGTATATAAGTACAATGTCTCTCTCTCGAGGCTAATCTAATCCTCTATACTGTACTCTCCTCTGTACTTTCAACAACATCCATCCTCAAAATATGACAATATGTAGATGCACTTATACACAATTTTATATATTGAGTTGATCTCTAGGTACTCCAGACCTCCATTTCTCAAGGTACTCTCTGCGCTCCTCCTCCTCCTGAGCATGCCTTTCCTGGGAAACCTTCGTGTTACCCCAGAAGAATAACATAACATCATCTTCATCCCAGATATCCGAAGGCTCTGATTCAATGGCCGACTCTGCACCGGTATTCCCCTCATTCCGTTCTGATGCCAATTGTCTTGCCCCTAGTCCCTCAGCTGTTCCTCCTTCCCTCTCGCCATCCTCATCTTCTCTCCTCCGCTCCTCATGCTTCCTGATGCTGTTGCCATGATCGTGTTTCTCCTTTGTTGGCCCCATTGGCACCGATGCAGGTTTTGGCGGTTTAGGAATGCCGGGACGTTGCGTCACAACGTTCAGATTTTTGCCCCAGTGCTTCACAGCAACAGCCCCGTAAGTGTAGTGCAGGAAGAGATCGGCCGGCTTGTGAAATCGATGGCATCGTTGTTGTTGGGTACTTGATTCAGGTCGGACTTTCTTCCCAGGTGAGCAAGGGTGTTTCTACCAAGTATATCGTCTTGGTAGACTACCCGATCAGCCAATTCGCCATTCAGTTCTACCGCATCGCCATTCTCATCCACCAGGTTCCTAACAGCGGCTCAGGACCGCACCAGCCGATGCACCGGAGATATTTCGAAGGGTAGAGGCAGACTTCTGTCGCGATTTGCCTAGGAATTTCCAAGTTGAATGGATCTTCTTGAGGCACCAAAAAATTGGGCGGGGCATGGTGGTCGTCAGAACTGCAGTGAGTGGTAGTCGGTCCACAGTCGGCGGGGTACATAGATAGGTAGAAAGTGGCTAACAGCGAACTAGCCCCAAGACGCAAAAAGACTCGTTGGAAGGTGAGCAACGGAAGCAACAGACACTAGTGTGGTCCAGAGCACGCCAAATGACGGACCGTGATAGGAAAATGGACTCAGGGAGCAAGAGATGTCTCAAACACTCTTGTAACAAGTAATAGAGACGTGAAAGACGCGGATATCGTTTCAGAGGCTTATGAGGAAGCCGTCACTACCATCTTGTCAACGAATTCGAAGACCTTCGACCCCAATAGCGTGAGTATTACTGGGGCCAAACAATTCTAATCGACATATATTGCATTCAAGTATTCTCCCTAGCTACTTTGTACGTACATGCATAAACATAGCTACGCGTCCAAGGAGACGGTAATTATTAGATAGATATAAAGCTACAGTTGTGTTAACTACTACAAAGGCAGCGGCAAAGGAGAGGCAGTGTGGCAAAATAGGAATACAAGGTATGATGAAAGAGCGAGCATGCATACGGTCGGAGTATACATGTTGTACAACGGCCAGCGCTAAAGATAGGGGATGGTAAGCAACTTACGGATGGTTAAAGAACGGTGAGAGAACGTACCAAGATATCTATGACCTATGGAAGAATCCCTTGACGCTCAACTTGGACTTTTTCGGGGTGCGTGAGTGGGCATGAGTAGATGGGATAGGACGAGGAACCGAAACGGGAATGGGAGGGAGAGGCGCGCTCGGCGGCACGAAAGACTGCTCGAGGAACTCCTTCCTGGCGAGGTTAAGCGGAGTAGGACGTTTCTTCCTGCCATCGGCAGTGAGGATAGGCTGGAGAGTCATTGGTGCGAGTTTGACCTTCTATAATGCAATAATCAGGATCGCATACGAAAAAGCAGTGAAGCAACTGAGACGAACCTGAGCGATATCAAGCGACTCGCCCCGGAATTTGACCCACTGGGAGGGTGCCTGCTCTCCTTCGGAGTCAGAGGAGTCAGAGGAATCAAGGTCGTCCTTCTGAAGGAGCCATTGGTACTCCATCTGCTCATCACGGTCCCACCAGACGCGGCCGGTACCGTCACGGTAGACGTCAGCACGAGTACCAACAGGAAGGTTACCCTGCTGCTTGGTCTGGGCGTCCATGACACGGGTGATGTGTGTGCTCATCTTCCCACCACTGGTGAACTGCATGAGCATGAGCTCGTTCATGAGCGTCGGGGGCAGCTGCTGCGCGTGTTTTTTCGACTTTGCCGGGAAAGACATGGATCTAGAGCGTGGACGAGAACGAGAGAGGAGTGAGAAGGGATTTTTCTTCGCCTGGTGAGAAGAGACATTATCGGTATCGTCTTTATGGGAAGAGGGGTAATTGTGATTATCGGGCTTATTGTGTTGCTTATTGTTACGGGCGTGATTAGAAAGCGGAGGCTTATTGTTAAGGTGGGGTGGCGTAGACGGCGTTTTGGGCAGGTGCACGAACACGGATGTATATCCGAGATTCGTCAGATCGAATTTGGCGTAGTGGGCAGACGTCGGGGTGTAGACCGATTTGGCCGTTGCAGGGGTATCGGGAAATGTGCCAGCATTGGCGCTCTGAGGCGAGAGAGGCGCCGGTGAACCTGGGTGCACTGCCGATGCCCAGGTGACGATGCTGGCGGTGAACGAGGAAACTGTCGAGGATCGTGGGCGGGACATGATGGTCGTGGGGTATGTAAAACTTGAATATGGGTATGCTGGGTATGTCTAGGTCTGCCCGGTATCGTCAGCGTCGTCGGGAACGCCAAAGAAGGTACTTGCTTACCGTTAAGAGTATTGGAAGGAGGCTAGCTCGCTGTGTCGTCCTCGTCGTGCTCAGCCATGGTCTTATACTTTAGGCAAACAAAAACCCTGCCCACAATAGTAAGGCTCCAGCCAAACAAATAGTTCCCTTCAACACATTCTTGGATCGTCGCAACAATGTTCTTCTGGAAAGAAGGACAATAAAAACGCTGAACAATAGTTCATTGGCTCCGCCGCTTTCTCCCCGCCTGCTCATTGTTTATTGCAACTTTCTTCTTCCTTTCCTGACAGCTTTTTCCCGACGGCCGCATTTTGACATACGGGTTATCATGTTTTCGCCTAGCGTATTAATTGTCGCCGTATTGATTATTGTGCGACGGCGTTGTTATCTTATTTCACCTCCAGGACAGCTCTATTATCCTGAGCTGGTGTACGTGGTCGCGTCGCGACTTGGCGAGTGGTCGTCGCGCTTCGGCGGCGGCCATTTGATCTGCGCTTTGCCTCCGTTATTGTTTCAGTTTGATTCCGTGGGAGCAGATTTTGTGTAGAAACCATTAACAGTCAGTGGACATCGTCACCCTTCGGTCTTCAAATGTTTGGATACTTGGCAGAGACTTAATCCGGCAATGCTGTACCCTGTCATTGTTCGAATGCCATGCTGGTGCCTTGACATTTACTTCCGTGGATGCATTTTCGGCGATCTTCAATGTCGGAGTCTTGGGGGGTGACGGACTTTTACAGACTGCCTACAAGATCTAGTATGAACGTCAAGGATTATTGTCCCATGGCTGAGTTGGTTACAGTGTCCGACTGTTATAGTCTTCTTGCTTTATTAATAATCAATTGGAAGGTCGAGAGTTCGACCCTCTCTGGGGTAGTATACTTTGTATGAGTCTCTACTTTTGGTCGAGATCTGAGATTCGTGAATATCTATTCAACTATAATTCAATGATTGTCAGTGGATGTTACTTTTGCCTATCAATGCTACAAGACTTGCATGTTTTCAATTTTGTAAGGCTTGCATGGTGTCTATACTACTCGTTCATCAGATGCACCTTATGACCTCGTGTCTTTTGTCTATCCCCATTCGATGTGATGGTAGGTTCAGAAATGACCTGTTTATTGCAATGTCTGTTCCAGGTCACCTTTCAATATAGACATTTGGAGACGCCTGCTTCTGACAAGCCTTATGGTGACTGACATCGCTAAGGTCGCGTCGCATCAGTTGTGAAGACAATGCGTGGTATCTTCTGTATTCACCCCCGTAAGGTCAATTAGGTACAAACAGTCAGAAGCGTCGTCGGAGACCAAATTGGCTCATAGCATCATTTCCCTTCGCGTATTAGCCCACGAGAAGGAAGTGGAAGACGTGGGAAAGGCAAGCTCTTGACCCTAACCTTACACTTCAGCCTTTGTGCTGCTTGCTTTTTTCCAGCACCACGACAATGCACTACCGCAAAAATGAATCAGCGCCATCCTAGGTCGTACTTGCAAGCCTGGCTTGTTTAACACTAGCTATGACTATTTCGATACAGCAGTGAGACAAGTACCAGATGCTAGAGGTACTGGCTTTAAGGTATGTATATATGCACTTCAAGGTAAACTGATGTATCTCAATAGGCTTATAAATACCAGCATCGTGTTCCCGCTAGTCACCCATATGCTACTTCAGCTATCTTGTGCTCTGAGTCAAGAAAAGGACATGAACGAGGCACCAATTCACAAGTTTCGCCTCCGATGGCAGCATTGGGGATCTGTGTCCTAGCTGTTCCGGGAGCGGCTTGACACAGGTTCAGCTTTGGAGAGGGGCATTTCCGTGCATCCCATGCTGGACTTGTCGTGTTTTGGCTGCTAGCAACGATGGACTCGAATGTGGGGAGAACAAAAGTCTGGCGAAGTCCTCTAAGAAAGTGACACGCGTTTGTAGCACCTAATAGAGTATGCTGTTAGCTATAACGTAGACTACAGAATACCAATCAGTGACATAAACGAAGTAATATAAGTAGATACTCACCCTCACACAGCGTAGCGATAAGCAGAAACGCGGTG